CACATCATGAGTCCCTCCCTCAATCGTCACCCTCTCCCTCAGAGCTTCCCTCTCACCGAATCCTAGGCCGCTCAATCTCTCCTCACTCCAGCCCACAGCTATTTCCAGCTGCTCCCCACCGGCTCTGAATGCCGGCACGTGTTTCAAATTAACATCCCAAACAAGTATTTGCCTGCCCCACAAAGCCGCTTCTTTACTATACGTATTGTCTCATCTCCGTTAAGAGCATCACCGTTCTCTCAAAATGTCAGCGTAATCCTGAATTCCCCTCTCGCTCCTCAATTCAGCCATCACGGGAGTCTGCCCTGAAACTGACCAGAGCCTCCTATCACATGGATGAACCTCACAAACACAATGGCGGCAGGAAAGCAACCTGCAGGAAAATTAACACGGGGTTTAATCGTGCAGAACAAAGCATGTCTTGTCTAGGACTGTCTGTAATGAAGAAATGCATGGGAGCGGTAAAGTCCAAACCTCAGGAGAGGGTTTACTGTCTGCAGGAAGGAAGTGAGGCCACCGAGGTGCTGGCGGTCACTGACCTGGGGTGAGCAGTGGACACGCAGCTCAGGAGCAGCACCCCATTCCTTATGAAGTCAAGGACGTTAGTAAGCGAACTACACACTGCCCGTACAGTGCTCATTTCATTGATTCATGCTCCTGAATTGCTGCTCCCTCTGCCTAAATGACTTATTTCTGCCTTGTCCTCAGCCTTGTCCATCAGAAGAGTTCTAGCTAATACTTCAAAACAAATATCAAATGTCACCTCCTCTGACTCCCACAGGGATATCTAATTTCTCATTCTTCAGTGATTCCCCCAGCACTGGGCGCATACATGCTGCCAAGTTTTATGTCATATTCTAATTCATTCACCCTCCCCCACTCACCTTTCTCTTCCATCCCTCCCTCCCCCCATCCTTATGCAACATATACATTAATGTACATGCTTATATGTGTAGGGTAAATAATGTGCAATTATGTATATTATATACTATGTATCACTCATGTATTATATATGTGGCATATAGTTTAATGGGTGTATTTTTAAAATATTTCAATATTGGCATAATACATAAAATTAATTCCACTTCTCTCATATAGGGAGTAGTTTAAGGGAGTAGTTTCAGTAGAATTTCAGCTTTGGGCACTGACATAGGAACTTGAGCTTCTTCCTCGAGTTACTTCCCTTCTCTGGTCTATAAGACCAGGGTGGTACATATACTACAAAGACTTCATTTTAAGAGTTGCTCCCAAAAATATTTGTGAGGGGCGTTAGTACAAGAATAAGGAAAAAGCATAGAACGGGTGCTGGTTGGCCAACGATGAAAGTGGGTGTTCAGTGGTTGTCCTGATCATGTTAGTGTTAATAGGTTTGCTGCTGGTAGCCAGGTAGGCATTAGCTGAGGGCTAGGAGTGCTGTGCTTAGTTGTTTTGAGGAATGGAGTATTGAGATAGTGGCATTGAACCGAGAGGATTGGGGCTAGACTGTGTCCTGGTTTGTTGGAATGGATGGTAGGATCACATAGGCAGGTAGGAACTGCCACACTGGCTTGCTGTGGGGGAGGGTTTGAGGCTTGGCTGGGTGTAGTTATCTGGTCTCCTGGGAGGTCGGGTGAAAAGAGACCTAATGTTAATGTTAAAATTAGGAGCAACAGGCTGAGGATCTTTGGTGTAGCATGGGTGGAATGGAATTCTGTCTGTCAGATGGGATTCCTGTTGGGTTATTGGATCCTGTTTCATGAAGGAATAGATGTTCAATTACTAGAGCTGAGATGAGAGTAAATAGAAGGATGAAGTGGAAGGCAAAGAATCGGGTGAGGGCGGCTTTATCAGCCGAGAATCCTCCTCAGATTCCCTCATCCAGGCTGGTTTGAATGTCAGACATTGCTGAGATTTGTGATGATGGTTGCCCCTCAGAAAGATACTTGATCTCATGGTAGTACATAACCCATAACTGTTGTTGCTGTTACAGTAAATAGTAAAATGATTCTGATATTCCAGGTCTCTGTGAGTACATAAGATTTGTAATATAGCGCTTGTCCCACGTGTAGAAATAGGCAGCAAAAATATGAATGAGCCCTGGCCAGTGTGGCTCAGTTGGTTGAGCATCGTCCCATGCACCACAAGGGTCATGGGTTCGATTCCCCATCAGGGCACATACCCAGGTTGCAGGTTTGAACCCCAGTCAGAGTAGGAAGCAACCGATCGATGTTTCTCTCCCTTCCTCTCTAAAATCAAACTTTTTAAAATGAATGCTCCGTTGGCATGTAGATATTGGGTAATTCAGCCATAGTTTACATCCTGGCAGATGCTGTTGCGAAAGAGAAAGCAGGGACTGTCTGATGTGAGGTATAGAGCCAGAAGCCCTGTGAGGATTTGCAGGGCAGGCAGATTCCTGGAGGGGATGTGGAGTTTCATCAATGAGTGAGTTGTTGATCATTTTAATTAGTGGGCGGGATTTTTGGATATTGGTCATTACTGTTTTATAGTTCAGATACAGTGATGATTTTTCATGTCATTGATCCTGGATAGATTCCATGTAAGAATAATGATTGACATAATGTATTTTAAGTAGTTTTTGTGAATAGTTTTGTGGGATTTTCTTCAAAACACTCACCAGTTTATGGAGGACTTGAGTCAATGGGGTGTGGAGGGGGTGGTTGTGGGACTGTGATGAATTTTGATGGGTCTTCTTTAGGCTTGGAAGTATTTTCAATTGATTTGTGGGAAATGTTGGGAGTCTTTGGTTATACAACAGCTGTGGCTACTGAACAATATCCCGAAGTGTGAGTTTCTAATAAAACTGTCCTGGGAGCATTTGCCTCTGGTTTAACTAGAGAAGTTATATTAATTTTATGTGAACTAAAAATGAGGAGGTGGAGGTTGTATTTAAGATTAATGGGCCAGGGGGCTGGGCTGTTCATGACACTGGGGATGCTGGATTTTTCAGAGAAGCTGTGGGTACTACGGCTTTCTATAGTTATATAGTTGACTTGTAGTCAAAGGAAAGGTTACTGGTCGATCCTTGCTTACTGGAGTCCTTATTATAAAAATTACTTGTGGAAACTATAATGTGGCTTAGTGTCAGTGTAATCAGAAAAAAAAGAGAAGTACAATTTGACTAGGTCTTTTTTGGTTGGATGGTAGTGGAGCTTTTATTTGGAACTGGGAGATCAGTTTTGGTAAAACATTTTCTAATCAGATTAGGTTGAGCAGTACTGGTGCTGACTCTTGGTTCATTTTGCTGATAACGTTCATTAATGGTGAGAGGTGGTAGCTGATAGTTGGAAACTACCCAAGAAGGTTAGAGAATTTGAATAGGTTTGAAGGATAATTAAATTTTAGATGCTGTGTCATAAGGTAGAATTCAAGTACAAGAACAAAACCTAGTGCAGTTACCGAGGGCTGTCAGTTTCAAATGATAACATGTAGTTACCTGTGGAATAGTTTGTTGGGGTAAAACTGTTGGAAATAAAGAAAGCAGCCAAGATGCTTCTCATGAAGACACATTTAATTGAACGTGTTGGGAGGCTTATTTGTACTAAGGCCGCGGTTCTCAACCTGTGGGTCTCGACCCGTTTGGCGGTCGAACGACCCTTTCACAGGGGTCGCCTAAGACCATCCTGCATATCAGATATTTACATTACGATTCATAACAGTAGCAACATGACAGTTATGAAGTAGCAACGAAAATAATTTTATGGTTGGGTCACAACATGTGAACTGTATTTAAAGGGCCAGAAGGTTGAGAACCACTGTTAAAGTTAGAGGAGGAGAGCGTGGTTGTGCTAGGACAGAGATGACTGAGGACTGCAGAGGCTGCTAAGGAAGGGGCACGAGGGGAGTCAGCGGGGCTCAGGCGTAGCCTCCTGCCCACCTGGGTTGTGAGGTGCAGGATGACTCTTCAGCTCCCACCTGACAGCCTGCACCCACTGCCTCCCTGCGGCATGCGTGTTAGGTTTGGACGACTAGGTCTTTGGAGAAGAATCCTGTGAGCAAAGGCCTTCCCGTAAGTGCGAGGCTTCCATAATGGGTGCAGTGCTGGGGAAGGAAGGGTGACGTGATCAATAGGCTGCCAACTTGGTCTTCAGGTTATGATTAATGACGCTCCCAGAACTAAGAATGCGTGTGTGCCGATGTGGTTAATGCCGATGGTCACTATTCTTAGGCCGAATTGGCTTGAGGTAGAAAAGGCGACAATGATTTCAGTTCCGTTGTGAGTGAGCGCAGCTTGCTGTGATCACGTGGTAATGGCTCCTGGGCATGATCTTGTTCGGATGAGCTCAGTTTTCTGTTAATGGTGAATCAGGTTAGTAGGAAGATGCCTGCTGTGACTGCTGTACTTGGGTGGCTGGAGCAGGGCTGACGGTGCGGGACCTTCTACAGTGGAAGGCAGTCGTGGGTGACGTCCGAATTGAGTGGATTTTCCTGTTGCAGCTAGCAGGAGCCCAGCCAGTGGGAAAGTAGTATTGCTAAGGTTGAGTAAAAAGATCGGTTGAAGATCTTTAGGAGTCAAAATTAAACAAGAATCACGCCATCGACACAGTAAATCCGATGTCCCTAATGCAGTTAGACTGCAGTGTTTGCGTCTGTTCGACCATCATCTGATTGGTTAGTAGGAATGATGTCATTCCCCTCCTTCTCATCTGATGACTAGTCGAAAAAGATTGTTAGTGGGGCATAAGATTAATAGTATGAGACGTATAAGGAGGTATTTAAGAAATTGGCTAATGATAGGATCTGAGAGTGTATATCATGCTGAGAATTCTGTGATCGAGCTCAGGAGTAGTGGCTACTGGTGTAAATACAGGGTGTCCCCCCAAAATGTACATGCACTTTGAGTGATTATAAAGTCAGTGTTGCCCTAACCAGTTTGGCTCAGTGGGTAGAGTGTCTGCCTGCGGACTCAAGGGTCCCGGGTTCAATTCCGGTCAAGGGGATGTACCTTGGTTGCGGGCACATCCCCAGTGGGGGGTGTGCAGGAGGCCGCTGATTGATGTTTCTCTCTCATTGATGTTTCTAACTCTCTATCCCTCTCCCTTCCTCTCTGTAAAAAAATCAATAAAATATATATTTTTTAAAAAGTCAGTGTTTATGAGCATCAGCCTATGAACCAGGAGGTCATGGTTCAATGACCAGTCAGGGCATATGCACGGGTTGCGGGCTGGATTCCCGGTGGGGGTCATGTGGGAGGCGGCCCATCAATGATTCTCTCCCATCATTGATGTTTCTGTCTCTCTCCCTCTCCCTTCCTCTCTAAAATCAATATAAATATTAAAAATAAAGTCAGTGTTTAACATACATTTTCAGAATCTAAAGAAACCTCCAGAAATGAATAATTTTTTGTCAATGCCTATTTTTATTTTTATGTTATTTTTATTTTTTTTATTTGAGAGGAATGAAGAGAGAGCAAGGCATCAATGATGAGAGAGAATCATTGATTGGCCACCTCCAGAATGCGCCCCACTGGGGATCCAGCCCACAATCCGGCATGTGCCCCAACCGGTAATCAAACCATGACCTCCCGGTTCATAGGCGACACTCACCACTGAGCCACGCTGGCCGGGTGCTCAATGCCTGTTTTTAAACGAATGACCGTTCTGGTCTAGGCATTGCTGATAATGAGAAGCAATAGTCACAGACGTCAAGAATCATTTCATTCAGTATTTGTGTGCCCTCAATTCATCGACTGTTGCGGGTTTTGTACCATAAACTTTATCGTTTATGTATTCCCATTAAAAAAAGTCTAGTGGCACTTTAGGATAAATTTTCTTTGTTCAAAGCTTAGTCTGGGTTCACCCATTATTTCAAATCAGTTAAACCTGAAAAGGAGTGAGTTATCAGCTGTTAAAGTGTATACACATTTTTGGGGGACACCCTTTGTTATTGGGAAGTAGTCTAGCTTAAGGTTAAGTGTTGTTTTTAGAGTTTGAATAGTTATTCAGAGTCAATTTGAGATGGTTCTTTCTTGGCCCAATTGGATAAATTTTGTTGGATTAGACTAGTGATAAGTGTATGAAATTGTAGTTTGTACATAGTGAGGACACATCTGGCTTTCATAGATTTTAGAGGTGGTTGCTGTGATTGGTAGGATTAGTAAAGTAGAGAAATTAGTATTGAGGAAGCAAATAGAAATCACTACTTTCATTTGGAGTTGCACTAATTTTTTAGTTTCCAAGACCAATGGATAACTCCTATAAAGGCCATACTGATATATGTGGAGGCAGGAATTAGCAGTTCTTGCATATTCTTTCAGTAAATAAGTATTTTTAGTTTATTATGTCCTCATGAAGCCATATAGTACAAGGTTCCCAAAATGATTTCAGGGTAGGTGGGTAGGAGGAGGGGCAGCGAGTGTACTGTTAGGGTGTTTCCTCGTGTGAGGATGGTTTAATGTTTCTGTGATGCGTTTTCCTCGTTTTAATTAGTATGTAGGGGGAACAGAGGGCGGTAATAACAATGTCAGCTCCTGTAAGGGTGATAGGTACATTAGACCATGAGACTGTTGATTATAACTACGAGGAATTCTCCAGTTAAAATAATTGTTGGGGGTAAAGCTGGATTAGTAAGATTTGCTAGTAGTCATCGTGCTACTATTGGTGGAAGAATTGTTTGTAGGCCATGAGCTAAAGTTATAGTTTGGCTGTGAATTCGTTCATAATTTGAGTTTGCCGGGGGAGTAGTACTGAGGAGGTGAGGCCGTGTGCGATTAGCAGGGCAGGGCTCCTACTGTATGGCTTCCCAGGGTTTGAATAAGGATGGCTGCAATTACTAGTGCTGTGTGGTTGGTGGAAGATGTGATTTTAAGTCTGTCTGGTGTAGAGAGAACTGGGTATGATTGCGTCTCATAAGGACTGGGAAGGAGTGTGCTGTAACTTTGTTAGGAGTGTTAGCATTACTGGGCTCGGACCATTATAGCACCCTAGTGTAGGTAATACAGTTGCAAGAACTACAGAGCCAGCAATGGGACTTCTCTGTGTACTTTTTGGTCATAGAGGCCATAGAGAGGCCTTTTTACTGTAAGTGCTATGACTGTGCATGCGAGTCATAGAAAAGTATTAGATCAAGAAGTAGGCAGAGGCTGAATTCAGTACTAAGCTAGTAGGAATGTAAGGAGCCCAGCCAGTGTGGCTCAGTGGTTGAGCATCAACCTATGAACCAGGAGGTCACGGTTCAATTCCTGGTCAGGGCACATGTTCAGGTTGCAGGCTCAATCCCCCGTAGGGGGCGTGCAGGAGGCAGCTGATCAATGATCTCTCTCATCATTGATGTTTCTATCTCTCTCTCCCTCTCTGAAATCAATAAAAATATATAAAAAGTAAAGAGCCTATAGGTTTTGCATATGGATTAGTGTAACGAGGAGTGGAAGTGACCCCACAGTGGGTGAAACGGGAAGTAAAGTCCTGCCTTCAGTCGTCTGTTAGACTTCCTCAGCCAGTGAGGATGAGGGTAGCACTAGCGCTGCTTCAAATAGACTGTAAAATAGGATTAGCTCTGCGGTGGTGAACATTATCTCTAGGAACGTTGGCCGCGTGTCCTGGAATTGCCGGCGATGCAGAATCTCGGGCTTCACCCCAGAACCTGCACTTAACAAAACTGTGAATGTTAAAGTCTGAGAAGCACCCCTGGGGCGTGCTCCCAACATGTGCCCACTGCCTAGAACTGTTTGTTTCTAGTCCAAGATAAGCACAGAAATGGAGTAAGCAAGTTAGAGACTTTTATAGCAACTGAGCAGACTTAACTTCAGGCTGGAAACCAATTTTATAGGCTAAGAAGTCCATCATGATAGCAAGAGCATCTCCTTAGGGGTTTTCTTTGTTTCTCCAACATTTAACAGGAGGTACTCGTAATAGATGCTCAACAAACACCGATGAATAATTGCTTAACAAAACATAACATTTCTTGGCCTATATTTGAATTTCTGACAGCAAAATGTCCTCCATCATCGCCTGGTTCAAGAGATAAGAGGAACCCCGTCTATGTAGCGCCAGCTATGAACAGTCCAGTTACGCGCCCAGAAAGAACCTTGAAAGAGAAGCAGCTCTTCAAGCTGACGGGGGAGATTTTGGGTATGGAGGTGGGGCGTGTCGATGCCGCAGCGCAGTGCCCAGCGAGGACGGGGGCGGGGATAAATGGGAACTACGGGAGGGTAAGGGCATTTTAAGGCGTTCATTTCTGGGTTCCGGTAAACAAGGTGGTGGGTAAACAGGGACTCCTGAAGTCTGGAGATCTCACTGAGTGCTTGCGTAAGTCACTTTCTCTACCTACGGAATGGAATGTAAGAACAAAACTGGATCCACCTCCTTCACAGGGTGGAGGGAGAACGGATGTGCTCTGAAAAATGGGTATCCTGTCCGTGCCTGGAGCTGTTACACAGCTGGCGTGGGGAGTACTGGTTCCCTGACCCCAAGGAGAGAGATTGTTTCCACTGTGCCTTCCCTTCTTGTGAACACGGGGGGGTGGGGGGGGGGGGGAGAGCCTTTAGTTTTAAGAACTAAAATACAAAAATTGTGTGTGGGATTTTATGTATCTTAAGTAAAATTTCTAATTAGTGGCAGAATGATTCTTGGAAGGGATATATATAGATATAATCACTAACAGCCAAATGTTTTTGCTTATGTTTACAATTATTAGGTTAAACCATGTGAAGTTGTCAATTTTTTTTTACTGCTTTTGGCCTGTGGAAGTGTATTGTAGACTTAGAAAACATGAAGAAAAAGCTGTAGAGGCTGTCTAAGCTCTAGGCTCAGTGATGGCTGTGTTCTCTGCAATAGCACAAATCCTCTTCCTGGTCCTGTTGATGACCGCGGTCCACTCCTCGCAGAACCCCAGCCGCTTCCACCTCCATCGGGCTCTCCGGAAGAGCTTTTCTCACGGCTTCTCGGAGATCAGCCTTCTGCAGCACTTCTACCCCTGGGCCAGGCACACCCTCCTTCCCAACCTGTACGGGGATCACAGAGGTAAGGACACAGTCCTGGGCCCAGCCACGCAACTGTGGGGTTCAGTTACTTTCCCAGACACCCCACCATGACGTGCTGGACACGGGAGAAAGGTCAGCTGCCTTTTCCACATGGCTGCACCCATGAGGGGGAAGGCGCGGCACCCCAAGGATTCCACTCCCTGGACCTCATCTGAGCAGGTTCAGGTTTATGTCTCTCCAGTCAAGGGTGATCGGGCCCATGGGGTGGATCCCCACTGGTGAGTCTCACAAGAGGCTGATAAGAGTGAGGATTTATTCACTCATAGCAGGGGTTGGGAACCTCCTTTCTGCCCAGGGCCATTGGGATATTTACAACATTCGCGGGCCATACAAAATTATCACCTTAAAAATTAGCCTGCTGTTTGGTTAAATATCTAATTAACTCACCCCTAATGCCTTGGCAGCACCAGACAAATGATTTCGAGGGCCTGATGTGGCCCGCTGGCTGGATGTTCCCCACCCTGCCTTATAGCATAAGAAGTAACGGGAGGGCCCCAGTGGGTTTGGCTCAGTGGATGGAGCATCGGCCCACGGACTGAAGGGTCCAGGTTCAATTCCGGTCAAGGCCACATGCCTGGGTTGTGGGCTCAATCCCCAGTAGGGAGTGTGCAGGAGGCAGCCGATCAATGATTCTCATCATTGATGTTTCTATCGCTCTCTCCCTCTCCCTTCCTCTCTGAAATCAATAAAAATATATTTTAAAAAAGTAACGGGAGTGGTCCCTGGGACTGGTTGCCTCCTTGCAGAGAGAACCACATGTGGCTGAAAAGGTTGTTCAGTAAGCACAGAACCAGGAAAATGGTAACCAGAAAGATCTATTGGATACATTGCCTTGTGTGCAATCTTTCCAAGTCTGTGATGTGTCTGTAACTTTTCTTGTTTAGTTATCCAGTTCAGTTGCACAAATATATATTGAGCACCTAGTATGCTGGGAACTTCCTAGGGGCTAATGATAGAAAGATGGATATAATATGGTCTGTATCTTTAAAGAAACTCACCATCAAGAGCAGTTGGTAGGCTTTGCCCTGGACAGTGTTGCAGAAATGCTAAAAACAATGTCTTTCCTAAAGAATGCTTCTTGTTCAGTATTTTTCACCAGTTACCAACACTTTGTCATATTATTACTTTATATCCTTTCAGTAAGCTGTATTCTGGAAATTGTTGCATTCATTTAGCTCAGGATTGGTGGCTTCCTGTTGGAATTTAGAACACCTGAAAAAATCGAAAAGACATGTTCATCTCGGCAAACATTCACAGTCTTTTCTTAAAGATGTACGAGGTGCCTTTAGGATGTACAAGGTGCCTTTAGAAGAGATTTTTACTCCTATTTGGTGCATGTTGATTCTTTCTAGTTCAGTTTTAGGTGGCGACAGTTCTAGGATCAGGGCATGTTCAATTTGCAGTCGGTAACCCTGTGCTGAATAAAATACTGACTAAAAAGGAAACTGAGCTGCAGGTGACTAAGCTGCTGCCATTATGATAGGTCCAGTTCTCTTCTAGGACTATTTGGTTCTGCAGTACAGTGTCCTGGTTTGGCTCAGTGGATAGAGCACCGGCCTGCAGACCAAAGGGTCCCGGGTTCGATTCTGGTCAAGGGCACGTACCTTGGTTGCAGACTCCTCCCCAGCCCAGGCCCTGGTCGGGGGTCGTGCAGGAGGCAACCAATTGATGAGTTTCTCTCTGTCTTTCTCTCTTCCACTCTCCCTAAAAATCAGTGGAAATCCTTGGGTGAGGATTAACAAAACAAAACAAAAGCTTAGTATATCTAAGTGTTTAGTGCAGCCGTGGGCAAACTACGGCCCGCGCGGCCGGATCCGGCCCATTTGAAATGAATAAAACTAAAAAAAAAAAAGACCGTACCCTTTTATGTAATGATGTTTACTTTGAATTTATATTAGTTCACACAAACACTCCATCCATGCTTTTGTTCCAGCCCTCCGGTCCAGTTTAAGAACCCATTGTGGCCCTAGTCAAAAAGTTTGCCCACCCCTGGTTTAGTGTATCAGCACATGGTATTCACTGGATAAGTGCTAGCTATTGTTAACTGGTGAACTAGAAGCTCTGGCTAATCTAGAACCAAAGTGTACATGAATTACCTGGACATACCTGGAAAATGAATTACCTGGAATCACCAGATTGCAGCAGCAATTTGTAGATGGCAATAAAGAAACAGAACTAGGTAGACATGGGTGAAGCACAGTAAAAATCGGCCCTAACATGGGTTATCTCTTCAATTCTAAAAATCTTTACTTTCAGAATTGACGTAGCCCAGTCCTCTTAGGCCAGTTGTTTTCAGGAACATTGAAGCCCAAGCCATTCGTGGCAGATAATCAATCAGGACTGACTTCTGCAGGCCTATTATCTGAGGCACAGACAGGAATGACCGCTCCTGAGTCCCTTGGCATGTGGTGCTGGTGGCAGGACCAAGGTCAAATGGCACTGTAGCAACGCCCACAGGAGGACAGAGCGGTTTCTAGATCTGTAGCCAGGCCCACAGTTGGTGAGTTAGCCATTGGGGGGACCTGCCTTCTCAAAACGGACCTTGTTTGTCTTGGACTTCATGGAGTTTCACAGTCACCCACTAAATCTCAAAATGCCCACAAAGGCACTTCTGTCTGCAGGGACCTGCCAGATTATTACTGAGAGACACAAGTAAGGGACCTCATATTCCACTATCTCCCTCAGTTGTCATGATCTACCTAGACCAGTGGTCGGCAAACTGCGGCTCGAGAGCCACATGCGGCTCTTTGGCCCCTTGAGTGTGGCTCTTCCTAAGCCTTAGGAGTACCCTAATTAAGTTAATAACAGTGTACCTACCTATATAGTTTAAGTTTAAAAAATTTGGCTCTCAAAAGAAATTTCAATCGTTGTACTGTTGATATTTGGCTCTGTTGACTAATGAGTTTGCCAACCACTGATAGACCTATACATTATCTAGTTCATTACATCTGGTTGCATTAACTGGGAACTCCAAAAATGTTTTTAAAAACAGTGGTGAAACTGCAGCTTTTGTTAAGAACATAACGAGGCAATTTTTACAATGGCTTCCTGTACTCTCTCACTAGGATTTATTACCGATGGGAACTCCTTCCTTTTGGGCAATGTTCTGCTTCGTCAGATTCGCATTCTGAAGCCATCTCATCAAGATCTGGAGGATACAGAGAACTATGGGGTTAACTGGAGCCCCCCTGAAACAAACAACACAGAATCAGACAGCATTTGGCATTATCAGAATCAGGAGACACTGGGTGGCTACCCCGTCCAAGGGGAGTTTGCCACTTACTCGGGAGGATACGCTGTCAGACTTGGGAGGAACTCTAGTTCTGCAACCAGGTGAGCGAGCCTGAGCCCTAAACAAGAGGACCAAGATGTTTGCTTCGGTCCGTTCTTAGGACAAGTAGAAATTAGGACCCATTTGAGTAGTTTGACAGCAACTATAATGACACTTGTAGACACCTTTATTTTAGGCTTTTAAGGAAATGTATCTTTTAGTTTGAAAATTCCTTGTTCAATCTCAAACTACAGGGTTATGTTTTAGCATGCCGGTTTGCCAAATCTCATTCTTTTTCTCATCTGGAAAAACATAACAGATTCAATCCTAGCTGCAGCTGAACTCGGTAAGTCTAGCTAGGGCAAACTATACTCTTCAAACATAAGAGAGAACACTACCCTTCATAAGAACCACAAATAATCCAAAATTCAAATGCCCAAAATAACCTGTCAGAGAGATCTAGATTAGTGTTTATATGAATCCTGAGAGTCTGTCATTATGTATGAAAATGTCTAAGTTAAATTATTATTCATTTAAATTTATAGCAAGACATTAAAAACAATGCCAATCAAATGACATTTCGACCCCTTACACCTCTCAAAACTGAATATATATTAGTAAAGAGTAGCATTTAACACTTCAAATAGTAGTTGACAGAGCATATAAAATTCTACCTCACACTTCAAATGCCAAATATATTCTTTTGAACGTTTAACCTTGGTGTGACTACTATTGTGAAAACTTTATCCTTACTATAGTCTTTTATAGTCACGTTATCACAGTGAAAGTTTGGGCATTGGTAATTATAAAACACTGCACAGGTCATCTAGGTCAGGGAATGTAGCTTCTCATCTGGTCTGAGTAATATTGGGACTGCCAGGGCATTTAGCTCCTTTGCAAGGTTGAGTGGAGCAAGTAGCAGGCCTGTCCCTGTCTTCCCAGAGTTCTGCAGCATCTTGAACAGAGCCGCTGGCTAGACCGTCGCACCCAAAGCCTCTTTGTGGAATTTGTGGTCTTCAATGCTAACGTGAACCTGTTCTGTGTAGTGACCCTGATTCTGGAATCCAACAATGTGGGTACGAAGGCCTCTTCTCTCCTCCCTCTGACCTGGGTATCTCAGAAGTCCCGATTTCTTACATCATTAAAAGACACTATTTTAATTAAAGTTATTACACATAATATAATTTTAAAAGTCAAATAGTTAGGCAAAACCTAGCAGTCCTCATACCCCACCTCATTCTTATACCCTTGAGAAACTTTCAGCTTTTTTAACTGGTTCTTTTGGAGTTTAAAAATTAACATGATTATTAGCTATTTCATGAATCTTCCAGTTTTAGATAGTGTTTTTTATGACATGAAGATTTTTCTTATACCCACAAATATCCCTAACATACACATACATATACATACCTTCTCTCTTTTCTCATTTTCCCAATATAACTTATGGTTAATATTGAATATTTCCATTATTATAATATATTTTTCAAAGATTAGCTATGTAATGTATTACAATTCCTTTTCTTTCATAACTGTTTGTTTTCCCTATAGTTTTTGTTTGTTTGTTTTTGGTTTTGCATGCATTCTATTAATTGGAGATGAACCAAACTCTTCCTAGAAGTAAATCTCATTCTGTTCAAAAGTATCACATAAGCTATCATTTTGTGATCCTTTTGGCACAGTGGGATTGGTTCTTCTCCAGGCCGGCTCTAGAGTCTTATCCTGACTCTCCCTTCCCTGCCACCCCAGGGATTATCTTCACTTCTCTCCTCAGTTGGGCCTCCTTTCTCCTAGATCCCATGTCTTCCTCTCTTGGTTTACTTCTCATTTTGCTGGAGCACATCCTACAGTAACTTCCTGGAAGGATATAAGGGAAGTACATTTTTTGAAGCCTTACATGTTAAAAAAAAATTTTTGTCATCACATTTGGTTGCTTATTTGACTGGATACAATTGTTTTTTGGAGAGTAGTCCATTGCCTTCTAACTTCTCATACTGTTAATATGATGGTCCCACTCCCAAGTTTTTAGAATTGTCTTTGTCCCCAGGGTTATGAAAGGATCTGACCGACCTCGTTGTAAGGCCTTTCATCTGAAAATGTGTCCCTAAGCTCTGATAAGTTTTATTTGCATTTCTTTGTAAACTTCCCCTCTATTTTCTCTTCCTGACATTCCTAGAATTTTGAGGTAGGAACTCCTGGACTGATCCTCTGATTTTCTTAGGTTTTCGCTATTTTCCATCTTATTTCCGAAAGATTACTTCAATTTCTAAACCATTTGAAATTTTCATCTTTATATTTTAATTTCTAAGAATTGTGTTCTCATATTTCTTTTGCATAGTCTCCTGTTTATGGAATCAATATCCTCTCAACTCTGAGGATACTGTAGGTTCATTTTGTTTTTATCAGCTTCTTCATTTTCTCTAATTTCTGAGCTTTTTATTTATTTGCTTTAATTTCTGGTTTTTAATGTTAGAGTTTTAAGTATCTGGCTGTTCTTTCATATTTGAGACAGTAAAAAAACAAAAAAAAACAAATGCTAATTAGGAACTCTGTGCGTGGATAGAGCTTGTCAACTGGCACCTGTCTTTTCTCTTGGGCAGTCAGTTTTCAGGAGGGACGCTTCCAACGCCTGTCTTGAGGATAAGCCTGTTAAAGAAGTTGAGGGGAGTAAGGATCTCACCATGCAGTATGTAAACTTCCTCTGAAGTCCCTCTTCCATAGACTTGCAGATGTACTCTGAGTTCAGATTTCTCTCTAGTTCAGCGTCACTAGGAAATAAACCTTTAGTCTTGGGGTAGTGGAAGGCAGGATGGGTGGATATCTGGTTGTGACAGGGAGGAAATTTGGGATCTGTTTAAGTTCATTCTTGCCATCATTTCCACTTTCAGTTCCAATTGACCCTCTGCCTTCAGAGGCACCTGCTGCCCCTCGTTTCCCAGCCTTTCTAGGGTTTGTGGTAAGAATGGGCTGGCTTCTTCCTGCTTAGGTTTCAGCTTTCTTGAATCTGCTGAGTCAGTGTCATCTGTCCATTTTCCAGCTTCCAGTTTGTTCCTCTCATTTGCCCTCTTCTTTACCTTAGTCATTTTTCATCCCTTCATTGTCATTGTAGAGGCATTTTGTTAAGGGACTAGAGGGAAACTGGTACATTGAATTCCCCTTCCTTTAACAGGAGGTCTGTCCTAATCCTTTTCTTCTCTCCCCCAGAATTTGCCCACAAGTGTCCTATTTACCACCAGGGTTTACTTCTAATCAGGAATTTCTTCTTCCCAGACCCACACAGAGTACACCACTTCCCTATACTTACTTCCTGAGGGAAAGTCCCAGTCTTTTTTTTTTTTTTTAAGGCATTCTTTTTTTAAAAAATATATTTTATTGATTTTTTACAGAGAGGAAGGGAGAGAGATAGAGTTAGAAACATCAATGAGAGAGAAACATCTATCAGTTGCCTCATGCACACACCCCACTGGGGATGTGCCCACAACCAAGGTACATGCCCTTGACCGGAATAGAACCTGGGACCCTTGATTCTGCAGGCCGATGCTCTATCCACTGAGCCAAACCGGTTAGGGTAGAAAGTCCCAGTCTTGAGAGCTAACTATGTGAAGTCGGAATTTGTTCTTAAAATGGCACTTTCTACTAAGGGTATATCTTAGTTCTAATATTTTGGGGCTTTGTGAAAGTTATATTCACAAGATCTTTCATACTTTATAAAACTGCAACAAAATCACTGTCTTTCTAGGTGGAGTCTGAAGCTTTTTAAGTCTATCCTCATACAAACATCTGAGTATTCATGGGATAATATTAATGCTTTAAATACATTTGAAATTGTTCAAAGCATTTTAATCATACTTTCTGAAAATATATTGTAAATAGCTTTAAACGAAAGTACCACACTTACGTTTGACTCTGTTGTCCCCATTTTACATTGCAGTGATCAGTTCTCTGTAAAACACCAGGTTCCAACACTAGGTCTGTACATCCCTGCGGCTATTCTAACTCATAAGGGTAACACCTGTAACAGCTATTCAATCATTGACACTGCCCTCTAGGTGGGATCAACAGTATAATCCTCTCCCCTCTACTAACTTCTTTTTTTTTCTTTTTTGTTCCCCTCTACTAACTTTTAATGCAATAAGCACATTTCTCCAATAGCTTTGCACATGATTTCATTTACTATTCATGACACCTCTAGAGGAAATACTGAGCTTAGAAACTCAAGAACATTTGAAACAAATAATGGAGCGACAGTTGGGGTTATTTCAAAGACAGAGTTTGAAGGGAAAGTTCTTAAGACTCATGACTCAATGTTATTTTCAGGTGCTTTCTTCGCCTCTGTAAGACTGGACACTTTAACTTCCCTTCAGGCCTCAAGGAAGGACTTTGCCTGGTCTATTGCCTCACAAGTCATCTATTATCTACTAGTCTGTTACTACGGCTTCATACAGGTGAGTTGAAAATTCTCAAGCTTGCCAGGTATTATATGGGGAGCTACACAATGAGCTATTATTGCTTGAAGTATAGCTGATTTGGTCTTTTCCAGAAACTTGACTTCAGTTAAAGGCTGACTAGTTTTCCACGAAGTAGCTCTTTCAGTTTTCAAGAGTTAAAGAACTAGGTCTGTATAAAGATTATTTTGTGTGCAGTGTTATTAACCCTATAAAGCAACAGCAAGACTGAAAGCACGATGAACAGAGCAAGTACTCAAAATACAGATGCTGTACGCAAAAGGTAACATATCTTAAGCCAAACACAGTGTTTTCTTTATTTTCAGGCTTGATAACTAACGTAGAAACTTTTTAAATTAAGTTTAAGCAATGAGAAAAATGACTGTACCCAGTGAAAGCTGTATTAGAGAAGGCCACCTTTTCGTAAGCAGCAGCTCTGAGCGACTACAGAGCAGAAAGGAGACTATAACATTGTGCCCAGGTCAGATCCAAGTCCCCAGCTGAGCGCGCTTTGCCAGTGTTCATGACATTTCATTAGGGAGAGACGCAGCTAACCGTTCAGGCAAGCAGCAGTGACGGTGCTGTCTGTTTAGGGTCGCCGGCTGAAACAGCAGAGATGGAGGTTCTTAACGAGGAAGAAAAACATTCTCAACATGAGCATAATCCTTACCAGCTTTGCCATCTTGATGCTTGACATCAAGCTTATTTCTCTACATAAGAAGAACATGGCACAATACCACCACGACCGTGACAGGTAAGAGGGGGCCCGAGAAGCAACAGACGTTCCTCCTCGACGTCCAAAGTGTCCTGATTCACACAGGATTCTTTCAAACTCCCTCTCCTCCTCCACTGCTTTGGTATTTTTGTATAATACCAACGTTAAACAGAAACCTCAGACTAATGTCCCCAGCAGAGAAAACAATTAACTAGAAGCTTTTATTGCTAATCAAGTTCTTCTGCCTTTCACAGCACAGGGGCCTGGATGTGTCCTTCTATTTACCACCTGGGTCATTATTTTGCACCCTGGCCAAGGAATAAAACCTAAGACAAGACAAATGGTCATCTTTTAAGTAAAACCACAACAGGTAGTACATACTTAAATCCAAAGCAGCTGCTTTCTGGGTAGGGATGTTCACCCATTCTGGTGCCCCTGATCAACCTTTTCTAACCTTTCATGGTCAACAGCCTGGGCCACTGATCTGTGTAAGACTGAGGCACTGTCCCAGGAAGGCCTTGCAGAGGGCTGTTATGCAGGGACAGTGGGTCTGTGCAGTCTGAATGATGCTGGCAGCTGAGGTCCAGCCTGTTGTGTGGCATTGCCTAGTTTTTAGACAATAAAAGAATTGTGATTGAATGCCAACATGCTCATATCTATGGTGGTCTAGATGCTGCAACAAAATTATGAATGCGTCTCTCAAATAACAAAACCTAAAAAAAATAAACCAGCTCCTAATTGGTTATGAACACCCCTCACCTCCAGTTTAATCATCTTTCTACTCTCAGCACTGGTAAACCTAGAGGATCAGTTATCTACTGGCAGAGGACAGTACAGGATTACAGCATGACAGACCAGCCTAATGGCACACGTCATTGTTAACTCATCTCCTTTTGATAGGAGAGGTTTAACTCAAGGCAGAGCAATAGAGGCGGCTGGCCTTGGTTTCCAGGATAAACCTGGAGTAAAGAAATCAGCTACAGGTCAAAATTTCAAATTTTCTTCACAACTCCCAACCAAACACATTTCTTCTCTCATATGCACAAATACAGGAGCCCACACTAGAAGGCGGCATTCGTACATCAAGCATCTCACCTAACAGGACTCACACAACTGCTACACTGGGCAGTGGGAACTGGAGAAGCTGGCAGCACAGGAATTGGTGATGGCACACAGTTCACACTGAGTAACTGTCAGCCTTCCCGCTGCAGGTTCATCAGCTTCTATGAGGCAGTAACCGTGAACTCGGCTGTCATTCACCTCATGGGCTTCCTGGTTCTGCTGGCAACTGTTCAGCTATGGACGCTGCTGCATCTGAACCCCCGGCTGCAGGTCATCGGAAGAACACTCACCAAAGCCTGGGATGAGGTGGTGGGCTTCCTGCTGGTCATTGTGATCCTGCTGACAGGCTACGCCATGGCTGTGAGCCTCATTGTGTCTGTCTTTCCTGGGGGCTATGGTCTTGGAGTCACTTTGCCTCCCTTAGAAAAGATCACTATATGGAAAATCATCAGTTCAAGCTGGCACTGAGTTTTGGAGAAAAAGTATTGGAGTAAGAAAGCTGGTTTTGGTTGTAGTTCCATACTGAACAATAGGACTTAAATTCACACATTGTCTCATCTCTAAAGTGGGGATAAAATTTAGCTCACAGGAATGAAGGTCAAATTTATATGAAAATACTATGTAATTACAAAGGAATCTTACGTATTTCTTAGGCAGAGTAATTGAAATGGCCACTAAAGCATTTCCTTATTCCATTCGTTCTATGTTGACCTCATCGCTATCAAGCACCTCGAGACAGAAATAACTGCAATGGCCTCCACTGCTCTCCACCCCGACCCGTCTTTCTTCCTCTTTTCAGTTTAACCTGCTGTTTGGATGGAGCATGTCCGACTACCGAACCTTTGTCAGCTCAGCAGTGACTTTTGTTGGTCTCCTGATGGGAATCTCTCATTATAAGGAGGTAAAAAAAAAAAATCCTGTTTTCCCTACAGACCTCTATTTGGTTGAATATGCAGGGTTGGGCAAAAGTAGGAGTACAGGAAACAGTATTTTCCACACAACTGTAACCTACTTCTGGCTCCTGTACCTAACAAAGGGATACTGTCTATAAATGCAGCCCCTGCTATCCCAGTGAACACTGGAAAAGGGAGAGAGCGCCTTTGCCATTCTGGTTTATGGTACCACCGATGTATACAAGCTTTTGGGTGGCTATTTTCAGAAATCTGCCCTTTCCTAACCACATGGTCCCACCTCTCTCACTACCTGTATCCTTAATCTTACTGCCAAGGACACTGGGAGTGAGCTGTGCTCTTGTACCCGACCAGATCAACACGGGGCTGCTGCTGCCTTTGCAGTGGCCCTTTGAAGTATACAATGGAAATGACTTTAAAAAAGGGCAGTACAATTCCAGAAGAGCTGTGACATATCTGTTAACCAATACTCATTTCAGAGAGCCTATTCCTCTCCAGGAAATACCAATAGAACCCCTTCCCATTCCACATAAAAAAATTAAATAGGAAACCCAGATAAGAACTTGGGTCCAATGCACAAGCATATATTAGATTTGATTAGGGAAGGGAAAAACTGCAATTCAAATTAGTGAAACTGACAAGATTTTCATCAAGGCTTATCATTCTGATAATCTAGATTTCAAAGGTTACTAACTAAAATGGACAACATAACATAGTTTCTAAAGGGGAAAGTTGCCATCTCCCTAAAATAACTGTTTTGGGAGGATTATTTTATTGTGGTCCCAGCCCTAATCACTAGGGAATGAAGTCCTCAGCTCTGGAACACTTTCTATACTAAAGAACTAACAATCAGAATAATAAACTTTTGTTAAATCATATTATATAATGTGAAGGGTAAATGAAGTTATACTTATTGGGAAAAATCTTATATCAAAAACTCAGATAGCTCAAACCTGATATAATTACCCAATTAAGTGGATGACAGGCTGGTACTAGGAAATGTTTTGACATATAGATTTGCATCATAATGATATTTAGTGTAAGCATTCATCCTCTAAGTTGTTGGTCTTTTTCTAAACAATGCCAAAAATGAAGGAGCAATACCAAGGCAAAACATTTATTAGTACTGGAAAATCAACATCACTTGATTTGTAGGTTTAAAGTTGTGAATACATGGAAGTTATTATCAATGATTGTATGAAGTATAAAACCTACTTTTGCCCACCCCTGTATTTTCTGGAATTGTTAGAACTCACATGGGCTTTGAATAATTTTAATTTTGCAACTCACCTGCTTTCTTCTTGGAAAGCCCTGAAGAGAACTGTTTTTACAGCCTTAGAGTCAGTCATTCTTGCTCTAAAGTATTCTTTTTAAGTAGTTTTGCTTTGCTCCCTAGTTTCTACCAGTGTTTTCTTATGTGAATAAATCCCAAATGTTAGCACGTAACTTATTTTTAAAGTAGAAATCGAACTGTCCATGTTTAAATTAAAAGTGTTTTATTGTCTTTCCAGATTATTGCTTTAGACACAGTCCTGGGATCCTTTCTGATCCTCACCAGTGTCATCTTGATGGTACTCGTGATCATTAACCTTTTTGTTTCTGCCATTCTAATGTCCTTTGGTAAAGAAAGAAAGTCCCTTAAGGTAAGTCAGTCTGCGGCTTGGTAATTTTATATACAGGTTTCCCCACTATCCAAAAGTAGAGCAGGTTCCTGTAAAAACTTTCAAAAGCCAAACTAGCATAAAGTATAAAAGCAATTATCGTCAATTTAAATGGGAAAATTTTTAAAGCTTTCCCAGTCTCCCTAAAATAGCCTACAAGTAATAATACATCAAGCCTAAAACAGCACTAACATATAGTAAAAGCTGATATAATATACAGCTTACATAAAGAAAAAAAATAACAGTTCAGTGTGCACTATTTCTATAATAGCTCACTGCAAACACTTCCCATTTCGCCTTTTTCATAAAAGCAAGTCCTCTTCCAATATCTTTGGTTAGTGAAAATAGGTACTACCATACATCTTCCCTAAAAGTGAAGTGGCGTAAAGTGGGGAATACTTGTATAAGCCATACCATTTTAACAGCAAATCATTAAAGGAAATAGTATCCCTACTATGTATGTTATTTTTACCTTTGATACTTTTTTCCTTCAATATACTTTTCTCCTTTTGTCTTCTAATAGACTTGGAAAGAAGCTACACTGATGGATATGCTGCTACAGAAGCTCTCAAGTTTGTTAGGAATCCAGTGCACCAGAACACACGTGAGTAAACAGCTGTGACAGTCGTGGGCACTGACACTGAACTATCTTAACCCTGTTACCAGCTAGCGAGTACTTACTTTTGCATGGCATAGCTTAGAAAATTACAGATGTTTACAATACACTTTGTTAAATGTTGTCAGTAAGGAATCAAAATGCCCTTCGCTCAAAGTCCTTATGTTTATGATCTTGGCACTGCTGGGAAAGGGTTAACGCTGCAAGAATGAGTGACACATTTAACCGGCTCTGCTGCCAAACGAATAACAGAACACACACAACCAATGTTCCAGGACGGCTGTGGGAGATTATTAAAAATAAAGACGCAGGCGCACCGTCGGCCCGACGGGGAGCATTTCTCACACTGTCCTCCGTGCCCTGATTTCATTAGGTCCTGGAAGCCGCTGCAGAGTCCCAGAGGAGTAACCAAGCAAACTCACAGATGCTTTCTGGGCTTAAATACAGAGACTGAAAGGGTTCCTTACTGCTGCAGGCATCCACATTACCCAGGGAGCCAAAGGTAAGGTCTGGCTTGTGCCCAGCATGGGTCACTTGCTTACAATATTCTCCACTAAAATCCAACTTTGCAGCTCCCTATTCAACCCAACCAGTGGAGAAAGCAGGTCATAGAATTCTTAACTTTATTATCAGCTACCAAGGTATTAGATACAAACCAACCAAAAACATTAAAGAAAGGTTGCTTGAGACAGGTATATACAGATATACTACACAGAAGCCAAAATCTTATCATCCGCTCCCAAAGCCATCCCTGTGGGAAAGGATGGCCTTAGCTAAGGGGCAAAGGAGCATGTTAGTTACAACAATGGTACGAGTCTTGTCCATCAAGGAAAGCAGCAGACTACAGCCACATGGGCACCAAAATGTATGAGATTAGTTTTTAAAGGTTCTCTTCATCATCAAGTTTTCAAATGAAAACAGGAACCCCTCTTCTCCTGTAGGCTTTCCAGCTCACTATTCAAGAGACTTGAATACTTCTATTAAGGCAACTGGAAGCCCACCTTAGCCTTGAATGGTGACTTCTGCCCTTGATGTGGCCTGTTCTTCCTTTGTCAGTAATACAATCCAGCAGAACATGCTAGGGGAAAAACAGGAATTTATACAGTGCTGCCCTCTGATAAAAGGGAAACAGCACGCAAAGCCAAAAGGCCACAGAGGGCTCCCTGGGAATCCAGTAGAACTGAGAGGCCTTCAACTGTCCAAATAAACTTTGCAGCTGGATCCAGGTGGAACACTGCCCTGCAGCAAGGAGTAGTGTAAATGCCAATGAGAGGACCCAGCTTCCAAGAACGGTTACAGTGGCTTCCTGAGTCATTCATATCAGAATGAGAAAATAGACATCTTAGCCTTGATTCTCACTCACCACAAATCCACCTGTACTAAGTCTAGAACCTCAGCATAGGGCTGAGACACTTCGTAAGTACTCTCTTCCACAGCCCAGCCATCTTTACCTTCTCTCCCCTGTAGAGGGATGGTGGGACAGGCGAGGAGAGAGCCTGGGCTAACACTGACAGGAAACAGACAAGCACGGCTTACAGGAGTCAGCTGCTCCGGGCTCACAGTGTCTCCAGTCATTCATCTCTTAGGAGCAATAAAGAACTGGAAAGCACCACAATTTGGTAGAGCAGGAAGCGAGCCCATAGGAAGAGTGTGCTCGGTGATGGTTAAGAGATGGAACAGAATTTCATGGAGATTCTTAGTTACAAGGCGAAACTTCTCAGTCTCAACTCCCAGGACTTGGATGGTGCCTGGATTAGGAGGCCTATGTTTTCTTTTTCAACTCTTCAAATCTCCGGGAAAGATCATCAAAGTCAATGTCCTCAGATGCTGAGGTGTTGGCACCAGCAGATGCAGTTGGTAGTGTATCTGGCACGGACGGCAACTCTGGAAGTACAAAGTTGTCATAGGTATCCACGGGTCTCGCAGGGGGCTTGGCAGAGGCTTCTGGCTTGGGTCCAGGACCTAATTAAATTAGGGCAAAGAGCACAGTGTTACAAATGCCAGGGAGGTGGCTCAGAGCCGTAGTCCCCTTTGGCAGAAACAACAAAACAATCAAATACAGTAGAAGTTTTCTTTCTAAATGATTAATTCTAAAGGTAAGTACACAGAGCATTTATTTAAACACACTGTCCCCTTTCACAAAGGCCTGCTCCCATAGCAACGAAGTCCAAAGTCTGGAGTGGTACCAGAATTCTGTTGGATGAAGTTGCTCTTTAAGGCTTATCGGGAAAATAAGAAATGTTAATGTCAATCCTATTTGATGGACTGGGATCTGATCTGTACTTATAGTCTTCCATTTTATAAGTTAAAAATCACTCCCTCCTCTATTTACTGTATATTTATTTCTATTTGTATGTAAGTTCTAGAACAGGTAAACCTAAACTATAGTTTTAGAAAATAAGAACCGTTCTTGCCTCTGGGGTGGAGTTGACTGAAAGGAACTAAAGGGAACTATCCTAGGGTGATAGAAAAGTTTTATAACTTTGCTGAGGTGGTGGTTACATATTATATGTGGGTGCATAGACACATGTAATATCAAAACTCATCAACAATAATTTTATGTATAGAAATTATGTAAAATACAACTCTCTAATTTAAAAAAATATATACTCCCTGTGGGCTTCTAGGGTGCTGGTAGTGGTTTTGAATAGATGGCTACATACTTATAATTTGTGCCTATTCACCCCTCCTTTTAATTTCCAGGCACAATGGAAGCTGAATCAGCAGGAACATAAAGAAGTTGAAAAAATAAAAATGTGTGAAAAAGAAACAAGGAACTTGTGAGATTCTTTGGGGCCAGGGAAGATTATTTTCCTTTTGGCAGAGGGAAATCCTGAGTTCTGTTTTTGCCATACTGCATTTGGAGGGTGGACAGGGCATGTGGATTGAATTCCATGTATGAGAAAACAGCAAAGGGCTCAGCATTGAGCCTTGAGGGTTTCTAACTCACACTTACCAACAATCTGTGCAGAAGAGACATTCTTATCAGCATTACTGTCATCCACCTGAAACACAAACATTGTTACCAAAGAAAGCAATGGCATCACTGGAGAAAGTATGGACACATATATAAGCCCCTGTGCTGTCCAAAAGCTAAGCTGCTCAGCGAAAGCATCAGAACCTGCCCCTCCACTCCTTCCTGATCTTCCAGATAGATACCAGATGATATAGATGCCATGTTGAAAACCAAGCAGAGAAAAAGGAAATCTAACCACAATGTAACAACACCTCTTTAATCTGATACCTTCACCTTCCAGGCAGAGAAAGCACTAAATCACTGACTTCATCTCCAAGAACCAAGTCTTCAAACAGTTGTGGGGCAATGCTTCAATGCATGCAAGACCGAAACATAAGAAAAACGCAGGCCCAAGGTAATATAACCAAAGGAAAGAATACTAAGCAAGCTCAGGAACAGGAGAATCTCCCTAGATGAGTAATTTCCACAGCAAACGCCATACCAATTTGTTTTCTCAGTTATGCATCAGATGGAAACAGCTCTCAAAAGGCACATACTGGCTGAACAAAAAAGGATAGCAGAAAACAAGTCATCTAATTCTAAACCAAAGCTGCTACAACCACCTACAGAGTTCAAAGCATCAAATAGCCAATTAGAGCAAGTTTTAACCACAATACTAAAATGTAAAACTAATGCTACAGGACACTTGTGTGTCAGACAAAAATCTGGTCACTACTTTAAAATCTGCTTCACACAGTACTGAGAATTTATAAAGCTGGTAGTTTAATTATGAGATTCTAGCATTAGGACTGTACCAGTTCCAGGAAGTCTCTATATAGCCAAAAAAAAGACGGTTAAGCCCTAACCGGTTTGGCTCAGTGGATAGAGCGTCGGCCTGCGGACTCAAAGGTCCCAGGTTCGATTCCAGTCAAGGGCATGTACTTTGGTTGTGGGCACATCCCCAGTAGGGGGTGTGCATGAGGCAGCTGATCGATGTCTCTCTCTCATCCATGTTTCTAACTCTCTATCCCTCTCCCTTCCTCTCTGTAAAAAATCAATAAAATATATTAAAAAAAAAAAAAAAAGACGGTTAAGTGCCCTACTAGAACTTTCTAAGATCTGCAGCTCCCTCCTGATCCTGGCTGAATTGCGGACAAAGCATTGCCACCAATGATGCTGCTGCCACCACCACACCCCACTTCCAGGATAATGTAAAAGCAACACAATCCAGAGCAAGAACAAGGCTGGTACTAGAGTTGATCAAAACTTTGCCTTCCCTTTGGCCATTATTTTGCTCTCTCTTCATGGGATTCACTTTCCTGCTGCTTACAAAAGAGGCTCAGGCACTTACAGATTCATACGATGGGGGAACTGGTATCTGAGGTGGGTGAACATTGGGAAAGGCCTGATAAGGCCCCATTGGCAATCCATTGAAATCCGACTGCAAGAGGAGAAAGGCAACATCAGAGACAGTGCCCCCAACTAGCGATTTCCTCCAGTAAATATATATATACACACACAGAGAAGGTCCTCAAATAATGTCATTTCATTATAATGTTGAGTGCCATAGAAAAGTAACTCTGGTTTCTATCAATTAGCCTATGGTAAAATTGGGTTTCATAATACATCATTTCACTTAAAGTCACAGAACTATCAATGACATTAAATAGGACTTATTAAACACAAGAACCCCAAAAGAAGAAAAACAAAATACCACATGTCATCAGAAGGATTGCAGATTTTTAAAGATCTGTAGCCAAAAGCTGTTATGCAAATTACTAAATCCATTGCTTACGGAAAATTATTAGACTTTACAACAATGACCTTCATCTTCTTGTCTACAAAAGAGGTTTTTTTACTTGGCAATAAATGATTGTATTCATTTTTATTTTTAAAGCTACTAATCTGGCCCTGGCCAGTTTTGACTCAGTGGATAGAGCGTGGGCCTGCGGACTGAAGGGTCCCAGGTTCAATTCTGGTCAGGGGCACATGCCACAGTTGTGGGCTCATGCAGGAGGCAGCCAATCAATGATTCCCTCTCATCACTGATGTTTCTGTCTCTCTCTCCCTCTTCCTTCCTCTCTGAAATCAACAACAAAAAACTACTAATCTGCGAGCAACAGGTCCCGAATGTTTAATTAAAGAATAAACTACATGAAGATGAGTTTTTCTAGCACCATCTCTCGAGATTTTTCCACTGCATTACTTCTAGCTGAACCAAAAAGCTTTCTCTAAATCCCAATATTTTTCACACAATGTGATCATTAAGTTAATATTTGTTCTTACTGCTTAATCCTCTTGACATTCTACAACTCCTGAGTATATTCACAGAGCCAACCTGTCATTTTCTAGAGCTTACGTAACATTTATTTATATGTATACTTACTGGTCCCTTCGGAAGTGGGTATGAGAAAGGAGTACTTGGAGATGGCATGGGCATGGGCATGGGCATGGACACCGTTCCATCAGGTCCACCTACGGGTGCTGTGAACCCGCCCCCACCTCCTCCTCTTCCAGGGCCCCCTTTCTTCACATCATCTGTGAATCCAACATCAATAAGATCTGTCTCTACTCCAGGGGGAGCTTCTGCCTGAGAAAAAGAGAGAAATTCATATCATCACCCCACATCGCAGGCGAGGTTCCCAGGAAGCAGACTCTGAGATGGAGATTGGCATGAAGGAAGTTTACTAGGGCGATCTAATGACCTGTGGGAAAGTGAAGGAAGCAGGGATGGGTCAAGTAAGAAGTCGGGCTATTATGCAACCAAAGGCTTCAGCCAATTCGCCAGGGATCTCTGGAGCTAGGTGGGGTGACCCTATAGCAGATGTCCCCAACTGTGTCAAAGAGGAAGTGTCTTTTTTATTTTTTGTTAATCTTCACCTGAAGGCATTTTTTCCATTGATTTTTAAAGAGAGTAAGAAGGGGGAGACAGAAACATCGTTTTGAGAGACATCGTTTTGAGAGACATCGATTAGTTGTCTCCCGCATGTGTCCCGACTGGGGCCAGGAATCGAGCCTGCAACTGAGATACGTGCCCCTGACTAGAATCAAACTCGGGACCAAGCTGATGCTCTACCCACTGAACCAGATCAGCCAGGGCAAAGGGAAGTGTCTTTAAATCCCTGCACTGACCAGTTACTGAATACTGCCCCCAGGAAAGACTGGGTAAGGGGCCACTGCTGGAGGGATACTCAGCTTTGTGTGAGACACCAGTGACCAATACTCTCAAGAGCTGGGGGATTACATCTTCTGTTCTGAAAATGTGGGGTGGTGGTTGTCTCAGCAGCATATCAAAGCATCTGCTAAGGGTGGGGTGGGAACTGGGTGGAGGAGAGCTGGGGGGGGGGGGGGAAGAGGAACAACTGTAATAATCTGAACAATAAAGATTTAATTAAAAAAAAAAAAAGCATCTGCTAAATGCCATTGACCTTAACTGCTGGATGATAATTTTTGGCATCTTTACCCTCCTTACACCGCCAGTCTCTTTAGGACAGAGACCTTGTTTTTATATATCTCTGTATTAACAGCTTTCTGTGCATTGTCTGGCACATCACAGGTATCTAATAAGCATCAAGGTTTGTACCTTTTCAAAGTGCTTTCAGGTATTCTTTTCATCTGATCCATATGAGATATGTAGGCACAATTTTTACCCAAAAAGGCACTAACTGGGCAAAGGTTTAAACCTTCGCACACAAACTGCAGTGCAAGGAATACGGTTAAAGAAAGTGCTATCTAGAGACTCACTTTTCTGAGTACTCTGAAAGACTCTAAACTCACCATGACCACAGAGTCAGGCTCATAGGGCACATTGTAGTTCTTGGCAATTTCAATCAGGTATCTCTCCACCAGGATTTTGGGCGGAGCTTCCACACTCAGTTTGTGCATTAGCTGTAATTAAAAGACCCAGGGTTAAGATGCACCTACACCAACCAGCCCAAGTCTAACCTGTCTCACTTTTACATTTTGTTCCTCTCATTTTATAGGTAAACTTAGGCAAAAACAAAACAAAACAAAAAAGGGTTCAGACAAATGATTTTTTCCAGTCACAAAATACATTACAAGACCCAACTCTCTCTCACATTTTCTGGTTATATAACTGAGGGAGCACTCACTGTCCAATATGTACTTTCATGGGTACCTGGTACTTATCGGTTTGTCATTTGTCTTTTGATGATTGGTAAAGACTGATACTGCTGCCTTCCACATTTGAATTCTTCCACCCTTCTCCCAACCTCATTTCTACCTCCGCAAATTATAAAGGGCACGAAGAACAGAGGGCAAATAAGATACGACACAGAACAACAGCCTCACAAGTCAGAGGTGTAGGGCCAAGGTAAGGAGTGGACTGCACTGCCAACCAGAAAGCCTTCCTCCCACTCTCACTATGAAATGTGGAACCCTAGATGAACTCTACCATATAGTGGTAACCACTAGATCACTGCAGGCAATAAATTAACCTGCCCCCACCTTGCCCATTGCTTCATGTTTAACAAGTCTGTTCCTTACCCTGTCATTCACAGTTCCAATCTGGTTGGTCCTACATAACTTGCCATATTCCTTGCTATACTTGGCACACAACTGATCAGCAACCTACAGAGAAAAAAGAACAGTAAATAAAAGTGGAAACCATTCCTATAGACTGCTTCAAGCTTTCTCCTATCAACAGTAAACAGGCTTCTATTACAGGATATTCAAAAAACTGGGGTCTATAAAACCTTAAGGGGTACATACTAATTAACTTGGTATTGTTTATGTATCCATCCAATGAGCTGCAACTATATGCGGAACTCTAGAGTAAGCATTACGATATACACTATAAATAATGATGAACAACACCAGACACTGTTCCTACTCTTAGAGAATCTTATAGTTCTCAGGGAAAACAGTCATTACTCAATCACACAGATAAAGGTACAAATGCAGCTGTGAAAAGTGCTACCAAGGGAAAGTATACCATACTATGAGAACAGAATAAGATCTGATATATATATATATATTTTAAAAAAAGGTAACTGGGTAGTGGGCACACAATACAATATACAGATGATGAATTATAGAATTGTACATTTGAAACTCATAATGTTACTTACTAATCAATGTCGCTTTAATAAATTTAATTTTAATAAAAGAAAAATCAGGTACGACTTCCAGAAGACATTTAACTAAATGAGGGAAGGAAGGGTATTACAAAAAAAGAAAACATGTGTAAAGGCCTCTGGTGGAAAAACAGGGCCAATCAATCCTCAAGCCAGAATTAGTCTAGTGCAGAGCCTGAGGGAGGAATGTGGTAGGAACCGAGAAAAGCAAGTGGGGGCCAGACAATGCAGGGCCATGTAGGCCATATAAAAAGTTTTGTTTCTATCACAAGCGCAACAGAAAGATACCAAAGGGCTTTAAAATAAGGTGTAGTGACAGGATCAGATCAGTGTTTTGAAAAGAACCCTCAGTTGTCCTGATGTAATGGGGAACAGAGTAAAGAAAACCAAAGCAGATATAGGAAGAACATTCAAGAAGTTACTACATAGTTCAAGGAGGAGATGACAGTGGCATTGGACCAGAGTGGTCCCAACACCTGCGAGCTCACTGAGGGAGCACTCACTGTCCAATATGTAGACTTTCACGGGTACCTGGTACTTATCAGTTTGTCATTTGTCTTTTGATGATTTTTGTTTTGCTTTATATTAATGTAGAATTTTAAAATATTTGCTTAATTTATCATTCTTCATTTATAGCTTTTGGGTTTTGTGGCATACTTAGTTATGACATTATTTTCTTAATCTACCTAGTTTTCTTCAAGTTTGTATGGTTTCATTCTTTTAAAGAAATGTAAATCTTTGTTTCATTTGGAATGAATCTATAATAATAAAAGGGTAATATGCTAATTAGACTGGACATCATTCCGGACGAAGCCAGGGCCTGAGGGAAGCCCGGGTCCCGGGTGCCAGAGGGAAGCCAGCGCCAGCAGCCGGGGGAAGGACGGCCTACTCTTGCACAAATTTCATGCATTGGGCCCCTAGTCCTATATAATAAAAGCCTAATATGCTAAGTGTCCAGTCATCTGGTCGCCCGTTCAACCAATCAAAGTGTAATATGCTAATGATATGCTAAGGCCTCTCAACCACTCACTATGATGTGTACTGACCACCATGGGGCAGACAGTCACTATGACGTGCACTGACCACCAGGGGACAGACAATCGACCAGTCGCTATGATGTGCACTGACCACCAGGGGCCAGACACTCCGACCGGTAGGTGAGCTTGCTGCTGGGGTCTGGCCGATTGGAACTGACATGCCCCGGAACCTTCCTGCAGTCCCTTCCCGGCTGGCCAACCTCCCACGTCCCTCCCCAGCCCCAATCATGCAATGGTGGGGGTCCCTCGGCCTGGCCTGCAGGCTCTCACAATCCGAGACCCTTCGGGGGATGTTGAAGAGTCGGTTTTGGCCTGATCCTTTAGGCCAGGCGGAGGGACCCCACTGGTGCATGAATTCGTGCACCGGGCCTCTAGTCTTAATATAAAGGAAAAGTATAGGAGAGGTTAAAAATGAGGTTAAAACTGTAAGAAGCAGTTGTCACTGACAGCTGTCATAGGGGAAGGGGCTGGAGGTTGGGTGAGAAGGGGGAAGGGCTTCAGTTAAAAAAAAAAAAAAGAAAGACTCATGGACACAGACAACAGAATGGTGATTGCCAGAGGGAAGGGGCAGAGGGGTAGAGGAGAGGAGGTAGAGGAAGGTAAAGGGGGGGTAAATGGTGATGGGAGATGACTTGACTTCGGGTGATAAACACACAATTACAAGATATCAGATGGTATATTATACAATTGTATATCTGAAACCTATATAATTTATTAACCAATATCACCCAATAAGTGAAATTAAAAAAAAACACTGTATAAATATTTTCCCTACTGTATCAGAATACAGGTTTACTCTCTGGGGAGGTTAAACTAAAGGGACTCTGGACTCCAAGCACAGCAGGGAGCAGAGATACTTACTGACCACAGAAGAATTAAGTGTACGTCTTCTATAAGAGAAGAATGAGACCTTTGGCTTCCTTCTCTCCTGGGCTCTCAGAAATGCTGACAGCCAGCTTATACCTTCCAGGTGTAGGATTCCTCTCTAAGGAAAATGACCAACCCAAGGAAAGAAAACTAGTTCTTGACAGTCTGGAGTTCCCTCAAGAAAGGGCTTAGTCAGATCATTCAACAATGAAGGCATCTGGCAGTAAGCCCCACCCAAGCATACAAGAGGTTCCAATTTGCTTTTTAAAAGTGTCTTACTTGCCCAGCCGGCATGGCTCAGTGGTTGAACATCGAACTATGAACCAGGAGGTCATGGTTCGATTCCCAGTCAGGGCACATGCCCGGGTTGTGGGCTCAATCCCAGTTTGGGGCATGCAGGAGGCAGCTGATCAATGATTCTCTCTCATCACTGAAGTTTCTATCTCTCTCTCCCTCTCCCTTCCTCTCTGAAATCAATAAAAAACATTTTAAATAATAAATTTGTCTTACTCATAAATATAAACCAACAGCCAAGAGTTATCAAAACTAAGAAAAGCCTCTACTATAAAACAGTCTAAATCTAAGAAACAGAAAGAAAACAAACATTACAGAAACAAAAGATTAAAAGAAACTATAAACCCTGGCCAGTGCTTCTCAATGGTTAGAGCAGGGGGTCCTCAAACTGCGGCCCGCCGAAAACATTTGTTTTTTTACTTCAAAATAAGATATGTGCAGTGTGCATAGGAATTTGTTCATAGTTTTTTTTTAAACTATAATCCAGCCCGCCAACGGTCTGAGGGACAGTGAACTGGCCCCCTGTTTAAAAAGTTTGAGGACCCCTGGGTTAGAGCGTCGGCCTACGTACAGAAGGGTTGTAGGTTCGATTCCTGGTCAAGGGCACCTATCTGGACTGCAGGTTCACATGCAGGAAGGCAACCATCAATGTGTCTCTCTCACATCGATGGTTGTTTCCTCTTTCTCCCCCCACCCCTCCCACTCTCTCTCTGAAAAAGCAATGAAAAAAATATCCTCAGGTGAGGATTCACAAAAAAATAAATAAATAAACTATAATATTCTCAGAGAGTTAGTTAAGAAGACATTGTAGCCATGAAACAAAAACAACAGACTATAAAAAATATTCAGAGAATTAAAAAGAGCTCTTAAAAAATAAAATAAGAGAAGGACATGGGTTGGTAGAAAAGACTGAGACAATCTTAGAGAAGATAAAACAAGTACACAAAGATGCAGAAAGAAAATGAGAAAAATAACTGAACTGTTTTCAATTGAGTCAGTACCATATCCATGTTGTTGCAGGCAGGTTTTTAGTTAACGTCTGTCTCGTCTGCTAGACTCAAAGCTACAGTGTAGGGCTGGTATCCTATTTTGCACACCATTATACCCTCAGTGTCCACTTAGCACATAACATCTGCTCAATAAATATTTGTGAAATGAATGAATGAAGCAAAACATCTAAAATAAAATTAATCTTGTTTTAACTTTACTGGTTTACAATTGCGTAAGAACTTTTCTATTTGTATATACTTAAATAACATTTGTCAAAAAATAAAAAATTAATGGCACCACTTTAAAATGGAACCAGAGCTCCCATGCTAGGGAAACTGCTTTGCACGTTTATGCCTCAAATCTTTGCAATGTTAAAACAGGGCAAAATAACCTTTGGGCTGGGCCTAGGGCAGTGATGGCAAACCTATGACACGCGTGTCAGAGGTGACACACGAACTCATTTTGTTGATTTTTCTTTGTTAAATGGCATTTAAATATATAAAATAAATATCAAAATATAAATCTTTGTTTTACTATGGTTGCAAATATCAAAAAATTTCTATATGTGACACGGCACCAGAGTTAAGTTAGGGTTTTTCAAAATGCTGACACGCCGAGCTCAAAAGGTTCGCCATCACTGGCCTAGGGCAACAATGTGTCCCAAAGAACTGTTTGCCAAGATAACAAGAAAGCAGTTATTATGACTACTGGACTGATGCACTACTGAAATGAGAATTAAAAACATTATTTAGAATTAACAGCATTGTTATCTGCACCAATAGAAATGCCTTCCTTCTAGTGTTGCCCTTCCTTCTCATATATATCCACTGCCTTTGTCTCCTAATAGAAACACTATATGGACTTCTGCCTGAATCAGTGAATCCCCAATAACTATTCTTATTGATCTCAAATAAATGCTTATTGCCTCTCACTTTGAAAGGCCTTTTTAAAGTTAACATATCACAATAAAAATAATTTAAGACAAAACTGAGGGTACATGAAACTTTGCTCCTTAAAAAAAATTATTCAAGTTTGCAAAACACTCTTCTATGATATAAGGCCTAAAAAGGAAGAAGAAACACAAGGACACTTTATCAAGTCCTTGTCAAAGGCAGCATGAGAAGGGTACAAAATACTTGGTCACATGAGCAGAAATGACTTATGTTAATCAATATTTCTAATAATCTGAAAAACTACAGATATCACTGAAACTGGTTGTACTCACTATTTTCAATTCAGCCACTTCTGACTGGAGTCGAGGAGCAGCCCAGATAAGTGTAGACACAGATTCAGCCAGACCAGAATCTAGCTCCCTAATTAAGAAAAAAATTAATAAAATTTAACATTCTTTAAAACCAACCAACCACCCTAACATTTGTATGAAATATAGTGATATAGCCTCTAAAGCTATTTCACAAATCTCTTTAACTTTTCAATAACTCTGAACTTCTAGCCATTTTCATCACCCTATTTTACTTCTGGGAAAATTCAAAACTAAATGATGCACCGAAGGTCACCAAGTCAGGAAATGGTTCAGCCATCTCAACAGCTGTCTCTATGCTGAGATCAGGCTTCAAGGGAATAATAGGAAAAAGGTCCTTGGGTATGTGAAACAGTCCCTTAGTGCTCACCCCTACATAAGACGACCAATATTACTTCTTTCTCAAATTCCAGAGGTGATTATATTTAGGTCTTTGATCAGAATGTCTTCTTCATTAAGGTTATACAAGATGAGTAAGTTCTAGAAATCTGTTGAACAACAACTGTGCCTATAATGAACAATACTGTATTGTGTGCTTAAAAATTTTGTTAAAAGGGTACAGCTCATGTTGTGTTCTTACCAAAAAATAAAAAAAAAGGAAGGGAGGGGTGCGGGGATACAAGGAAACTTTTAAAGGTGATGTTTATTGCCTTGATTGTGGCATTTGTATACAGATATATGCATGTGTCTGAATTAATCAAACTGTATATTAATTATGTGCAGTTTTTCTATATCAATTATACATCAATAAAGGGAAAAGAAAAAATAAATAAATAAAAAGACCAAAAAAGCTTACTTCATAGACTGAATGAGGCCAAACCGGGCCAGGAGCAGGTCACAATACAACTCCAGGATCTCCATGGCTTCCACGAGGTAGTCTTCCCGTATAATGTGTTCCACTCGGATTCGAGCTCGTTCATCTTTCCCAGCAGCCAGATAGTCAGCAATCTCTTTCCTTGCTTTCTGGGCCAGTTCCGCTAAGGCACAAATCCCACTCTAGTCACACAGCAGTAGTGCACTGGGCTTGGGCCTGCAGGCAGACCTCAACCCCAACAAAGACAAGTGGATGTTTCTACTATGTCCTAGCTCACTCCCTTAGCAAATCTAGTCTAGAATTTGCTACTTTGTCTAGGTGAGAATATTGTTTGTGTACCCAGAAATTTCAGGAGTCATGTTACCTATTCCATAGCAACAGAGTATGTCCCTGCAACAAAGAGATTCAATCTAACCAGATGTACCCAAAATTTAAAGGACATAGGATCCCTAAAAGTTCATAGTACTTAGCCTGAAAGAGCCAATATTGGGATACTAGGACCCAGTGATGTATTTTGGAAGAGAAAAATATAAGGCAATCATGCATTACTCACTTTTTTTTTTCTCCAATAGTTTAAGACGGTTTATGACTAATCTCAAATTGACTCGTAAACGCTCAGCTTTAAATCCAGAGCCCAGCATACTGTGCTATTCCTCCTGGAAAAAAGAAACACAATGACTATCTTCAAGTTAAAATTAGTTCAGAAACTAACACCAGTTAGAGGGTAGATTATTTGACACTATAAACTAGAGTGGTTTTCTAATACAGACATGATCTGATTCACATTTTTTAAAGATCTTTTTGGCTACTGTGTGGAGAACTGATTGGGAGAGGGTATTAATGGAAGCAAGACAACAAAGGAGAGGATATTACTATATTCCAGATAACAGATGGAAGCAGCTTAGACTGGAGTAGTTAGGAGTGGTGGTGGAAGAAGTGATCAGATTTAAGGCTATTTTGAAAACAGAGCTGAAAGAACTTGCTGATGGATGAAATGAGTACCTATGTATATTGGTGTAGGACAGGGGTGATAAAAAGACAAGCAGGAAGGCCTCCTAATTCTCCCAAAAATCTCACCTTAAATCTGAAAGCTTTGCCTCTAAGATCAGGAACAAAAAAAGGATACTCTCACCACTGTTCTTCACACAGTACAGAAATCCTAGTCAGAGCAATCGGGCAAGAGGAAGAAATAGAAAGCATTCAAATTGGAATAAAGCAGTAAAATTGTCACTTTTTGCAGATGACATGATACAATATATAAAACACCAAGACTACCAGAAACAATAAACAAACAAAGCTAAGTTGCAGGATACAAAAATCAATGTACAAAAAATCCCTCGTGTTCCTAGTGTTAACAGCGAAATATCAGAAAAAGAAATGAAGAAAACAATTCCATTTGCAATTGCAACAAAAGGATAAATAACTAGAAATAAACAACACAGGAAGAGAAGGATCTATACACTGAAAATACAAGATGTTGTTGAAAGAAATTGATGAAGACACAAAGAAATGGAAAGACATTCCTTGTTCATGGATTGGAAGAATCAACATAGTTAAAATGGCTGTTACCTAATGCTCTATACAGATTTAATGCCATCCCAAAGGCATTTTTCAAAGAAATAGAAAAATATTCATCAAATTTGTATGGAACCACAAAAGAGCCCAAACAGCCAAAGCAATCCTGAGAAAAAAAGAACAACGCCAGTTATCATACTTCCTGGTTTCAAATTATACTACAAAGCTACAATAATCAAAACAGTATGGTACTGGCAGCAAAACAGGCACACAGACCAATAGAAAATAACTGGGAGCCTAGAAATTAGCCCACATATGTAAGGGCAATCAATTTTCAACAAATGAGCCAAAAACATGCAATGGAGAAAGAAAAGCCTCTGCAATAAATGGTGTTGGAAAAACTGGAAAGCCACATGCAAAAGAATGAAAGTAGACTGCTATTTGACACCACACTCAAAAGGGATTAAAGAGTTAAATTAAGACCTAAAACAATAAAATCCCTAGAAGAAAACATAGTTACTAAATCTACGGACATTGGTATAAGAGAGGCTTTTGTGAACCTGACCCCAAAGGCAAGCGAGGCAAAAGCAAAAATAAATGAATAGGACTACATCAAACTAAAAAGCTCTGTACAGCAAAAGAAACCATGAACAAAACAAAAAGGCAACCAACCAAATGGCAGAAGATATCTGTAAATAATAACTCTGAAATGGGGCTAATAGCCAAATATATAAAGAACTCCTACTCTCTCTCCTTCTCCCCTTCCACTCTCTAAAAGTCAATGCAGCCCTAACCGGTTTGGCTCAGTGGATAGAGCGTCGGCCTGCGGACTGAAGGGTCCCAGGTTCGATCCCGGTCAGGGGCATGTACCTTGGTTGCAGGAACATCCCCAGTAGTGAGTATGTAGGAGGCAGCTGATCGATGTTTCTCTCTCATCAATGTTTCTAACTCTCTATTCCTCTCCCTTCCTCTCTGTAAAAAATCAATAAAATATACTTAAAAAAATAAAAGTCAATGCAAAAAATATCCTCACTCCTCAGGTGAGAAATAAATAAATTAAATAAATAAATAAATCAAAATGTATAAAGAACTCCTACAACTCAGCAAGTATACAAACAATCCTATTAAAAATGGACAGAGAATCTGATCAGATGCTTTTCCCAAGACATACCAATGGTCAACATATATGAAAAGATGTTCAACTTCACTAGCTCTAAGGGAAATGCAAATCAAAACCACAATGAGACACCACCTCACATCTGTTAGGATGGCTATAATCAGTAAAACAAGAAATAACAAGTGTTGGAGATGATGTGGATAAAAAGAACCCTCATACACTGCTGGTAGGAATGTCAACTGGTATAGTTACTATGGGAAACGGTATAAAGGTTCCTCAAAAATTTAATGATAAAGCTACCATATGGCCCAGTAATTCCTCTTCTGTGTATCTACCAAGAAAAAAAAATAATTGAAAACATTTATTCATATATATATGTATCCTATGTTCACTGCAGCATTATTCACAGTAGCCAAGACATAGAAACAACCTAAATGTCTTTTGATGGATAACTGGATGAAGAAGATGTGGTGGTACATATATACTATGGAATATTATCCTACCCTATGTAATAAAACCCTAAGATGCAAATAGACCGAACGGCAGAACAACCAGTCGCTATGATGCACACTGACCCCAGGGTGGTCAGTGCTCTCCCACAGGGGGAGCATCGCTCAGCCAGAAGCTGGGGTCGCGGCTGGCCAGCGCAGAGGTGGTGGCGGGAGCCTCTCCTGCCTCTGCTGCAGGCAGGAGGTAAGGAACAAGGGGTCCCAGACTTCGAGAGGGATACCTGACTGCCAGCTTAGGCCTAATCCCACCAGCAGGCGGACATCCTCCGAGGGATTCTGGACTGCAAGAGGGCGCAGGCCGGGCTTAGGGACACCCCTCCCCCGCCAAATGTACGAATTTCATGCACTGGGCCTCTAATTCAGCCATACAAAGGATGAAATACTGCCATGGATGGATCCTGAGAGTATCATGCTCAGTGAAATAAGTCATATGGAAAAGAAATATATATATATATATATATACACACACACACACACACACACACACACACACACACATACATACACATACACACACACACACACACACACATATTTTAGAGGCCTGTTGCACTAAAAGATTCATGCAATAGGCCTTCCCTTCCCCTGGCTGCCGGCACTAGTTTTCCTCCAGCACCCAGGACCCAGGCCTTCGCTCTGGCCGGAGCCGCCTTCAAGCCTTCGCTCTGCCGCTTCGCGCCTATGTATGCAAATTAACCGCCAACAAAGATGGCAGTTAATTTGCATATCTCGCTGATTAGCCAATGGTATGCATAGCGAAGGTACGGTCAATTACCATGTTTGTCTATTATTAGATAGGATGATTTCACTCATATGTGGGATAGAAAACAACAAGCAAACATACAAAACAAACTCATAGATAACAGTATAGTGTTTACCAGAGAAGGGGGTGCAGGGAAGTTGAAGAGGGTGACAGAATGAGACTACACTTTGGATGGTGAGCACACAATTCAATATAGAGATGATATAATTTAGAATTGTACACTGGAAACTTATATAATGCTAATAACCCATGTCACCCCAATAACTTTAATTAAAATTTTAAAATATATTATCCCTCTAATTATTCAAATTTTCAGCCTTTTGGGAAAAAACCAGTGTCTAAGATCACAGAAACAGCATTAACATCTACTCGCATGCAAAGAAATACACAAAAGGGTAAAATGTCCAAGGGGGAAAAAGCTGTTCTATAAAACTTGACCACAGGAGTCTATTTACCAAGACTTAAAATGAACAGTAGAGTTACAATCAACAAAACCACTCCCCTCTCCACCCACAAGACTTAGGATATACCACCGTTCTATAGCTAAACAGCACAATTCTTATTTCTCTCAACTAATTCTGAACTTGAATCTCAAAATATGTAACATCTAAACTAAAGCAAGTGAACAGCAGACAAACCAAACCCAATATAAACAACACCAAGACAATAACTGTCTGCTTGTGCATACCACTAATAGAAAACATCAGATGTATTTTTCTTTTGTGAAATTGTCTCCAGAAGCTTTTTTTTTTTTTGCTTCCCAAAGTTTTTGTACTACATTTAATAATTAACTGCTCAGCCAGCGTGGCTCAATGGTTGAGCATCGACCTACGAACCAGAAGGTCACGGTTCAATTCTCGGTCAGGGCACATGCCCAGGTTGCCAGCTCAATCCCCAATGTGGGGCGTGGAGGAGGCAACTGATCAATGATTCTCTCTCATCACTGATGTATCTCTCTCTCTTCCACTCTAAAATCAATAAAAATATTTTTTAAATCCTATATAATAAAAGCCCAGTGACTGAATGGCAGAACAACCAGAACGACCAGTCAACCAGTCACTATGACACGCACTGAACATCAGGGGGCAGACGCTCACCCCACGAGCTGCCCCCTGGTGGTCAGTAGACTCCCGTGGTGGGAGCGCCACTCAATTGACCGGGATGGGCAGCTGCTACCACAGCAGGAGCGGGTTCATAGCCACTCGGCTGACCCCATGGGACTAGTGGCGCTCCCACAATGAGCAGATCCCCCGCAGCTCACGCCCCCCAACCAGTACACGAATCCCGTGCACCAGGCCTCTAGTAATAATAATTAACCAAGTCCCAATACATAATAGCATTTATATATCTGAATATCTGGGTACCATATACTGAACTATGTACAATCCAGTCAAGAATGTATACTGATTACCTGTATGTCAGACAATGGCTAGCTGCTAAAAATAAAAAGATAAATAAGGCAACAGCATATTTCACAGATCTAAAACAAATACTCCAAAAACTTATATGGACTCAAAGAAGACCCCAAATATCTGCAGCAATCTTGAGAAAATATCTGCAGCAATCTTGAGAAAGAAGAACAAAGTTGGAGGTATAACAATACCAGATATAAAGTTATACTACGAAGCCACCGTAATCCAAACAGCCAGGTACTGGCAGAAGAACAGGCATAATAGATCAATGGAACAGAAGAGAGACCCCAGAAATTGACCCAAACCATTACACTCAATTAGTATTTAACAAAGGAGGCAAGAACATACAATGGAGTCAAGACAGTCTCTTCAATAAATTAGTGTTGGGAAAATTGGACAGATACATGCAAAAAAAAAAAAAAAGAAAAGAAAAGAAACTAGACCACCAACTTACACCATACACAAGAATAAACTCAGCCCTGGCCAGTGTGCTATTTCTATATTGCACAAAAAGTATTAAATATTAGCTCTAAGTACACTGTGAAAAAGTTAAGTATGTCTATTGTAACCCCTATAGTAAAACATACTATACAAAACATATACTAAAAAATGCAACCTATTTTAAACTGGAACTCTAAAGTGTTCAAATAACCCAAAAGATGGCAGGGAAGCAGAAACAGAAATGAAAAAGGTACAAAGACAATAAAATGATAGGCCTACATTCAAGTACACTAGTAACTATAATAATAAAAGTGTAATATGCTAATTAGACCAGAGAGTCCTTCAGGATGAAGCCAGGGCCGGAGGGAAGCTTGGGTCCCAAGTGCCTGCGGGCGGCCAAAGGGAATTTCTTGCATGAAATTCATGCAAAAGTAGGTCTTCCTTCCCCCAGCTGCTGGCACCAGCTTCCCTCTGGCACCTGGGACATAGGGTTCCCTCCAGCCGCCGGCAGGCACCCAGAACCCAGGCTTCCCTTGCAGCCCCGGCTTCACCCGGAAGGATGTCGGTCTAATTAGCATGTTACGCTTTTATTATTATAGATTATCCTATATAATAAAAGAGTAATATGTGTAAATTGACCATCGCTCCACTACGATCACCAGCCAATCAGGAGTATGCAAATTAACCCAAAAAGATGGCGGGTTAATTTGCATACACAGGCACCAGGCAGAGAGCAGAGCAGAAGAGCCGGAGGTTTGGTGGGACGTCGCTCCCTCGGTCGCTCCCCCAAGCCACTGGGCGAGAGCAAAGCGGGAGAGCCGGCAGAGAGTGGAGTGGCTTGGGGAACTTGGCTCCCCATGCTGCCAGACTCAGAGCAGAGAGGGAGAGCTGGCGGCTTGGAGGACTTGGCAGGGTGGGAGGCTGTGGGACGGAGACAGAGCAGAAATGGAAAACCAAGAGTGTGGGAAGCACCAGGAATGCTGGGAATCGTAGTTCTGGTGGGAGACGGATCTCCTAGACACTAGAGCAGCGGTTCTCAACCTGTGGGTCGAGACCCCTTTGGCAGAATGACCCTTTCACAGGGGTCGCCTAAGACCATCCTATATATCAGCTATTTACATTACGATTCATAACAGTAGCAACATTACAGTTATGAAGTAGCAACGAAAATAATTTTATGGTTGGGTCACAACATGAGGAACTGTATTTAAAGGGCCAGAAGGTTGAGAACCACTGCACTAGAGCAAAGTGAGCCTGGAGCAAGTTACTGTTGCAGTGGGGGATGGAGGGAAGGCAAAGGTGAGAGACATAAGTAAAATCAGAGTGTCTAGGAAAAATTAAAGGGAAGATATCCTAAAACTTCCAGGAAATCTCCACCAATGAAGCAAAGGGAAAAAAAATGCCTCTATTATTCTGTGAGCAACAAACAAAACTGTGTTGGGGGTCTCAGAATATTCGCTCATATGATTGCAAAGACAGACAGAAACTCCTGGATTGGAGAGGGCTCCCCTGAGGGCTCCCAGAATGGAGAGGGTGCAGGTCGGGCTGAGGGACCCACCGCCCGTGCATGAATCTTCGTGCACCGGGCCCCCAGTACCTCAATAAAAGAGAAAATTGGAGAGGCTATATTAATGTTAGACAAAGTAGACTTCAGAGCCAGGAAAAAACAGGAATACAAAGAAACATTATATTTTTTTGTCCCCAAAAATGTATACACACACATTTTTTGATAGCTCAATTTATGTTTCTTTCTTTTCAGATTTAACCAACTGGAATTAATAATTATTCAAAATGTGTACACATTTTTTGGGACACCCTGTATAATGAAAAAAGGGTGAATTCACTAAGGAAATGTAACAATTCTAATAGTAAATGTACATAACATTCACTATACATGACACAACTTCAAAATACATAAAGAATTGACAGATAGAAAAAGAGAAATAAACAAATCCGTAATTATAGTTGAAGACTTCAAAGTACCTCCCTCATAATTGATCAAACTAGCAAACACCAATATCACCAAAGATGTAGAAATGAACACTACGAACAACTAATTACATCTCACTGAAATTTATAGAACACTTTACCCAACAGGTCAATGCACACGAAACAGTCAGGAATATAGACCATATCATGGGTCATAAAACAAACCTTAAATAAGACCCGAACACTATCACTAACTGACTGAATCTAACATTTATAGAATACTCCACCCAACACAGCAATGCACACGGAGCATTCATAAATACAGACTATATCCTCCGTGTAAAACAAACCTTAAATTAAATAGAACTAAAGTAACACAGTATGTTTTTTTTTCACAGTATGTTTTTTAACCATAATACAATTAAACTAGAAATCACTAACAAGAAACATAGCAGAAAATTGCCAAACACCTGAAAATTAGAGAACACAAATAATCTATGGGTCAAAGGGGAATTTGCAAGCAGAAAAATTGTGTTAAAGGTTTGAACTGCAAGCCCTAACCGGTTTGGCTCAGTGGATAGAGCATCGGCCTGCGGACTGAAGGGTCGCAGGTTCGGTTCCGGTCAAGGGCATGTACGTTGGTGGTGGTCACATCCCCAGTAGGGGGTGTGCAGGAGGCAGCTGATCGATGTTTCTCTCTCATCGATGTTTCCAACTCTCTCTCTCTCTCTCTCTCCCGTCCTCTCTGTGAAAAGTCAATAAAAAATATATTAAAAATAAATAAATGCGTAAACAGAAAAATTTCAATTCCCCATAAGAGTGAAGACCAGCTCTTAATGTTGATGTTACTGCTACCGAGAGTGAAATGGCTCTCCTATTACCTCATTATTAAACAGGCGGCTCGTCTCCCGTTCCCTGGGAAAGTTTCTGCCGGGCGAGTTCCAAGTCCTCGCCCAGAGCACCCGGAAGAGGAGCGCTAAACGCACACACAGGAGAGGAGCGCTAAACGCACACAGAGGAGAGGAGAAGGGCCGGGGCCGGGCCGCGGGCTCCTCACAGGGTCTCCCATCACCGGGCAGGACTCTGCGAAGGGGGCCGCGGCCGCCGTTTCCCCCAGCCAAAGGGGCGCCCACTCCGGGCCGTCCCCCCCGCCCCCCGGAGCCAGTCCAGGAGGCCGGAGACACAACCTCCCGAGGTCTTCCCGAGCCAGAGGCCGTGGGGTAGGGACGCCGCTTTCCGGTGCCGTAAAGTGCAGACCGAGTCCTTTCACCGACGGGCACCGGAGCCCAGGCCGCGGCGTTCCCGCCCCAGGGGAGAGACGCCGCGGGACAGAAAGGGACAACACGAAAGTCTGGCGGCTTCAAGTATCCCGGGCCAGAGATTCCCCAAGCAGCTCGCGACCGCGGCCCGCCCCCGGCCCCGCGCCGCAGCCGCTCGGGCCTGACCTCCGGCCTCACCCCCACATCCACTACCCTTCCCTTTCTCTTCACCTGCCACGTCAAGGCCCTTGGAACCCGGGGGTGGGGACTTCTAAATCCCGGCCACGGCGCCGGGAGGAAAACAAAGACCCTCGGCGCAGAGGACGCCAGACTCACCGGACCGAAACCAGGCGGGAACGCGGCAGAGACGGACTCCGGAACCCAGGTCCAGCATCCAAGATGGCGGCTCCGCGGCCTCAGCACAGCCAACGCGGCGGAGGGATCCGCGGGCCGAGCTGACGCGCTCTCCCTCCCAGCGATTGGCTGAGCGCCCGCGCTCCCGGGATCTCGGCCGGAGAACAGCGGGACTCCCCGCCCGGCTCCCTTAGGAACCAGCGCGGCCGGGGACTACTTCCCGCGGCGGAGGCTGCGGAGTGATGCGTCCCGTCACGCCCCCTGAGCGCGGATCTGAGTCACCTGCGGGCGCGCCGAGGGTGCCGCTGGTCTCGCCCTGTGCGCGGGGGAGCGGGTCACGGGGATCGCGGCCGGCACCGTGTTCCGGATGGTTCCGCTCCCTGGAAAAACCTGCTCAGTCTCGCCTTTCACCCACTGGCGTGACTCCCTGATGTTTACTCCCTTCTCTCGCTCCACTCCTCTCACTCTGAGGGCGGTTCTTTCTTTCTTTTTTTTTTTTTTAAACATCCATGATGAGAGAGAAGCATGGATCGGCTGCCTCCCACAAGTCCCCCACTGGGGATCGCGCCCACCACCCGGGCATGTGCCCTTGACCGGAATTGAACCTGGGACCACCCAGTTCGCAGGGCAACACTCTACCCACTGAGCCACACCAGCCAGGGCTGAGGGCGGCTCTTTCTTCGAGTGGAATAACCGAGCCGGTTTGGACCCTTCGCCCTCCCGGGGCGCCCACCACCCACCTCTCCGGTTACGCACGGAGCCCCGGCCCCGCTTTTAAACCAGATCTGAATGCTCTTTCAACCAGAACCTCGACCGTCTGTGTTATTTCGGTGGTCTGTTTCCCTAGCACCACGTTCTCGGGGAATTTGCCTTATCTCTGGATTCAGAGAACACTTTTTCATTTAGTTTTCCTTTGTTTTCAACTTGAAAACCATTCTTTTTCGGCTTCGCGTTGCAAGGGGCTTGCTGGACTCCAGGCTTCGGGGAGGAGGCAACCCTGCCCCCTGCTGTAGGGGCGGCCTCTACCGACCCCGAGATTGGGGTTCGCTACATTGCGATGCGGTCGTGTGACAGCGATGACACGATGCGTTACCATGTGCGGTTTCCGTGAATTTAGAAAGCATTGCCTTTATAACACTAAAAGTATTTCTAAACCAAACCAGATTCCAGACACTGAAAATTCATGGTGTTTGGTTCCTTTTTAATGTGGGGGCGGGGGGTGCGATAAATGCGTGCATAGATAAATGAAGCCGTCTGCAGTAAGATAACAGCATTAAAAAAATAAAAATGAGGGCGAACTGCTCGAATTTAGAGACGTAGAGACACAGCGACCAAATGTAATGTGTATGGATCCTGTTAACTATGGATTCAAACTAACTAAAAGGTATTTTTGAGACAATTGTAATGGTTATGATGTAGCTGAGATGCATGGTGAACTATGTGGAAGTGACGGGTCATGGTATCTGCAACTTACTTCCAAATACTTAAGAAAACAAAGCGTGTGTACATGTGTGTTTACATGTATGTGTACGTATATTAGACTATTATATATCAACATGGGACATGATAGTTTTCTCCCAGAAACTACTAGACTAAGCCATTGTCCCAACAATAACTATACTCTGATTCTATTCCTCATTTAATTTAAAAGGAGAATAAAAGGGACTGAATTCAATACCTTCATTTTGGTTTTTAAAAGTATAAATATGTTTCGTGTTTTTACTAATTGAGGGTACAATAAAATGAGAGACCTGTGTAACACTCTCCATGCCATTATTACTTTTTTGGAATATATATTATTCCAAACATACATATTGCTGTATTGGTGGTATTTAGGTTATTTCCAATACTTTTGCCTCTAAAAGCAATGCTGCAATGACTAGATATTTGCCTGCATGGATGGTACTTATTGAGTAAATTCCCAGAAGCAGAAGTACTGGGTCAAAGGGTAGGTATATTTTTAATGTTAACAGATAATGCCAAGTCACCCTTCAAAGAGGAAGTATCAGTTTACACCACTACCACCAATGTATGAGAGTTCCTATTTTTCCATGCCCTCAGTAGCACACTGTGTTTAGATAACTTTTGGAGTCCTTGACATTACTGCCACTTTGTTCAAACAATGAAAGTAAAGATGAGCGAAAAGTGTCTTTGAGCCCTATCTTGATAGAAATGACATGATTCATTTAGAAAAATTTCTTCCTGCCAGCAGTGGCTTGGATTCAGCAATCATCACCTGTGTCCTGCTCTTTCTAATTATTTAGATTCTGTAATACATCAATGTGAATTCAAAACAGTATCTCTGTCCCTAGCTGAACAGACCAGTTTTATTCAGATGCTAAACATATGCCAAAAAAAAACAAAAGACTGACTCACACTGTTTCACTTGAAAATCCTGTTTTGCTTTAGGATAAAAAGTAACACACAACATTTCTTTTTTTTTTTTTTAACACACATTTCTTTGTTTAACTAACCAGTGACACTTTTTTGTGAAAATTATTATCACTAGTGGCTGAAACTAACTAAAACCTGCTTGAACCCAGAAAAATAAGAGTCCATAACAGGTCTGCAGACAAAATCAGTCAGGCCTGTGTTTGTACAGCCCCTCCAACTAAGAATGACTTTTACATGCTAAAGGGTTGCAAAAGAAAAGAGAGGCTGGGATGGGGTATGTGACAAAACCCTATGTTGCCCACAAAGTCTAAAATATTTACTGTCTGGCACTTTACAGAAAGCATTTGCTGACTCCTGCAACAGAAGAAAGTATTACACATTGTGTAAGAGAGACGGGAAAAATGATGGGCAAAGAGTAATTTGCCTTTTTTTTTTTTTTTAAGTACTAACATTTAGAAAGGGGAAAGTCTCAGAGAGCTTTTAGGCTAAAGAATATAAAACCTAATAGGAACCGCTCTGGACATCTATCTTCCTAAGACCTAAAAAAAAAAAAAAAATCAAGAGCATTTTTTAGAGTATCTATGGAATAATTCTTCAGATAACGTTACTAATTAGGGCCATATACAAATATTAACTATCTCTGGCATATTGAAGTTTACAGGATACTTACAAACACATGACCTTAATTTGAGGCTTACATATCCCTATGAAGCAGATGTAGATCAGAAATAATTTTTAGTTATTTGAGGAGGGAAGTGGAGCTGAGAGCTGTAAAGTCACCAATCCAAGGTCAATAGTATAAATTCCAGGATCTAATCTTAAGCCCAGGTCTTGAGACTTGATTGACATCCATATTTCCATAATAATTTGCCTCCTGGTTTCCCTTCAATTTGTATATATTGAGTTTCTCAACAAATGAAAAGAAAAACACATTAAATTAGTTATTCTTTTTTAAAATATATTTTTATTGATTTCAGAGAGGAAGGGAGAGGGAGAGAGAGATAGAAACATCAATGATGAGATAAAATTCATTGATTCGCAGCCTCCTGCTCTCCCCACACTGGGGACTGAGCCTGCAACCTGGGCATGTGCCCTTGACCTGAATCGAACCGGGAACCCTTCAGTCTGCAGGCCAATGCTCTATCCACTGAGTCAAACTGGCTAGGGCTAAATCAGTTATTCTCATTTGGGTTTTAATGTCACATTTTTTTCATCTTAGAAAACTTTATTTTTCCTTAAATGAATTCAAAGGAATGAAAACAAAATTCTAAATTTTAAATATAAACTCAAAAGTTTATCTCCTAATGGAAACTAAAGGGAAAATAAACAAATGGGACTATATAAAAATTAAAAGTTTCTGCACAGCAAAAGAAATCATCAACAAAACAAGAAAACCCACTGCATGGGAGAACATATTTGCCAATGATATCTCTGATAAAGGTTTAATCTCCAACATTTACAGGGAACTCATACAACTTAACAAAAGGAAGATAAACAACCCAATCAAAAAATGGGCAACGGACCTAAATAGACATTTTTTTAAAGAGGACATACATAACGCTGAGAGACATATGAAAACATGCTCATAGTCACTAATCATCCGAGAGATGCAAATCAAAAGACAATGAGGTACCATCTCACACCTGTCAGAATGGCTATCATCAACAAATCAACAAATGACAAATGCTGGTGAGGATGCGGAGAAAAAGGAACCCTCGTTCACTGCGGGTGGGAATGCAAACTGGTGCAGCCACTATGGAAGACAGTATGGAGTTTCCTCAAAAAACTAAAAATGGAACTTCCATTTGACCCAGTGATCCCGCTTCTAGGAATATATCCCAAGAAACCAGAAACACCAATCAGAAAGGATATATGCATCCCTATGTTCATAGCAGCACAATTTACAATAGCTAAGATTTGGAATCAGCCTAAGTACCCATCAGCAGATTAATGGATTAAAAACTTTGGCACATCTACACAATGGAATACTATGCTGCTGTAAAAAAGGAAGGAACTCCTACCATTTGCAACAGCATGGATGGAGCTGGAGAGATTATGCTAAGTGAAATAAGTCAGTCAGAGAAAGATCAATATCACATGCTCTCACTCATTTGTGGATTATAATGAACAACATAAACAGATGAACAAAAACAGATGTAGAGACAGAGAAGCATCGATCAGATGTTCAAAACTCAGAGGGAAGGTAGGGGAGGGTGGGGGTGAGGGGGAGAGATCAACCAAAGGACTTGTATGCATGCATATAAGCATAAGCGACGGATGTGGAAAACGGGGTGAGGGTGAGGGCAGGATTGGGGGGATGAGAGGACATTGGGGGGATAAGGACACATTTGTAATATCTTAATCAATAAAGGAAAAAATCAAAAAAGTTTATCTCCTTAAAATATGAGGTTCTTATCAAGACTGTATGACAAAAAAAAACCCGTGCCACCCAATTAAAGACAGCTTCTTCTGTCCAAAAACAAGCATATAAACAAACAAGACTATGATATTGGCATGACAGACATATAGGTAAATGGAATACAATTGAAAGTACAAAAATAAATCCCATACATTTGTGGTCAATTGATATTTCAACAAGGATAACAAGACAATTCAATGGGGGCGGGGGGAGGGGGAAGAGTAGGCTGTTCAACAAATCGTGCTGGTAAAACTATATATCCGCATACAAGAATTAAGTTGTACCATATTTCCTCACACTTATACAAAGTTAATTCAAAATGGATCTGAGAAGAAACATTGGTGTAAATCTTCATGACTATTTCTTAGAAATGACACCTAAATCACAAGCAACCAAAAAATATATCAATTGAATTTCATATAAATAAAAGACTTTGGTGCTCCCAAGGTCACTCTCAAGAAAGAAAAAAGGCAGCCTACAGAATAGAAGAACATTTTTAAAAAATATATTTTATTGATCTTTTACAGAGGGGAAGGGAGAGGGATAGAGAGTTAGAAACATCGATGAGAGAGAAACATCGATCAGCTGCCTCCTGCACACCCCCTACTGGGGATGTGCCCGAAACCAAGGTACATGCCTTTGACCGGAATTGAACCTGGGACCCTTCAGTCCGCAGGCCAAATGGGTCAGGACAGAAGGACATTTTTGCAAACATATCCTATAAGGGTCTAATATCCAGTATATTAAAAACAACAACTGTTATAAAACAACAATAAAAAGACAACCCAATTTTAAAATGGGCATAGAATTTGTATGGACATTTCTCCAAATGGTCAAAGCACATGAGATGTTCAACATCGTTAGTTATCAGGGAGATGCAAATCAAAACTAAGTGGGATATAATGAAAAAGACAAACAATAACAAGTGTAGCCCAGGATATAGAGAAATTGGACCTCTCGTATATTGTTGGTAGGTATATAAAATGATGCAGGCACTCTCTGGAAAACAGTTTGGCAATTCCTTAAAAAAGTCAAACATAAAGTTACCGTATGATCCAAAAATTCCACTCCTGAGAAAATTAAAAACATATGTTCACATAAAAATTATATACAAATGTTCACAACAGTATTATTCAGAATAGTCAAAAAGTAGAAACAACACAAATATCCATCAACTGATGAATGGAAGTAAAATGTGGTACTGTATATCCATACAATGGAACGCTATTATTTGGCCATAGAAAGGGATGAGATACTGACACATACTATAACATGGATGATACTCAAAAACATGCTAAATGAAAAGAACCAGACTCAAAAGGCCTCATATTGGATGATTCCATTTATGTGAAATGTCCAGAATAGACAAATCCATAGAGACAGAAACTTGATTAATGGATGCCAGGGGTTGGGAGGAAGAATTGGGGAGTAACTGTTAATGTCTATGGAGTTCCTTTTTGGGGTGATGAAAATATTTTAAAATTAGATACTGGTAATGTTGCACAACCTTGTGAATATACTAAAAACCACTGAATTCTATACACTTTTACGCCCAACTGGTGTGTTTCAGTGGTTGAGGATCGACCTATGAACCAGGAGGTTCCTGGTCAGGGTACATGCCCAGGTTGTGGGCTCAATCCCCATTGTGGGGGTGTGCAGGAGGCAGCCGATCGATGATTCTTTGTCATTCTCTCTCTCTCTCTCTCTCTCTCTCTCTCTCCCTTCCTCTCTGAAATCAATAAAATCAATAAAAAAATATTTTTAAAAAGCATAAATTCCATGGTATATGAATTATATCTTATTTAATATAATATGTTTTATTGATTTTTCACAGCTATCCTACCAATACTATTGTAAGTCAGAAACTTCGATGAGAGAGAAACATCGATCAGCCGCCTCCTGCACGCCCCCCACCGGGGATGTGCCCGCAACCAAGGCACATGCCCTTGACCGGAATCGAACCTGGGACCCTTTAGTCCGCAGGCCGACACTCCATCCCCTGAGCCAAACCAGCCAGGGCTTATTTAATAGATTTTTAATGAAGTCCTTTAAGTATCCTACCAATACTATTGTAACATAAGGCCCTAACAAGGTCATTGTAGAAGCCAATAAATATAAAACAGATTAGGAAAATATTTAAAGGGAAAATTAATATAAAGTGGCAAAATAATAGCGTAACTATCTGAGTAGATTGGGAAAGTAAAATAAAAAAAATGAAGCTGAAAAAATCTATGATTAATGAAAGTCTTTAGGTACAGAACAAGTTTAGAGGAGAGTAAAGGAAAAATAAACTAATTCCTTTTTTTAATAATTTCCCTTATTTCATTATAACCCTGAATCACAACACCTGAGGCATTTCTAGAGCACAGGAAGGTTATTAAAGTAGCATTATTATGATCCCATTTTATTTGCAACTCAAGGAGATGGAACAAGCTGCCCAGCTTTACACAATAACTTAATGATGAAGCCAAGACATTTCACTGGAGGCTTTCTCGTAATGATTTACCTGCTAGCTACTTTCATGTTGAAAGTATCAACTGCCCGGCCGGGCGTGGCTCAGTGATTGAGCATCGACCTATGAACTAGTAGATTGTGGTTGGATTCCTGGTCAGGACAAGTGCCCAGGTTGCAGGCTCAGTTTCTGGTGGTGGGGGAAGGGGGGCATGCAGGAAGCAGCCAATCAATTATTCTCTCTCAACATTAATGTTTCTCTCTCCCTTCCTTTCTGAAATCAATAAAAATATATTTAAAAAAGAAAATACCAACTATGTCAAGTTTAAAGGTACATAATAAAGCCATATTTGTATCCCTCAGTCTAAACTCACCAAGAATTACTGTTAAATATAAAAGCCAATGTTTTATTCCAGCTTGCATTCTTATATTAAACTGTTTAAAAACTTTCTGGCTGGATGAGAATATTCCATTTTTTGCTTCCTAGGAATTAAAATTTAAATGAAACTGAAATGTTTCCTTAACCAACGTGAAAGAATAATAATTCCTACCTACAATGAAGAATGAATGAATGAATTGTAAAGGAGCAAGATCCTTTAACACAGCCATTCTCTCACCTTAATCACAAGATGCAGACAATGATATCATCTCATTGGAGATTGATGAGAAGGACATTTTGCAAGAGCGCTTTATGTAAATACCAGGACTTGTTGCTTACAATCAAGGGTCAGCATCCTCATTAGCTCTGTCTTCGTGGGATCAGTAACCATAAAAAATATTTGCAGAATATACATTTCATATGTTCCCTTTACTTAATCATCACAACAATCTATGAGAAGAGAGATCAGGAATTATTACATGATTACCCATTTTACATCTCAGGGAAAAGACGTTCAGAATAGGAAAGTGGCTTGCCCAAAGTCACCAGGCTCATCAGTGACAGAGCTGGGTAGGACTCAAAGCTGATCTTCTAACACCAGATCCCATTTTCTTCCCACCGCACCCCCTGCTTCCCCAAGTAAGCTATGTCAGAGGCTCAGGAGATCTACAAGAAGAAAGAATAAGAAGGAAAGGAAAGTAGTGAGGAACTAGAAAGGGACGATGACAGGGGAAGGAGGTGTTTTATTAGGAAGTGAGTCTAACCACCCTCAATTGTCCTAAATGTCCCTTAAGTGGCAACAGTGCCATACCACAAACTACCCTGCTCCAAATTAATCCTATGCCTCTAGCTATACAGCTACTGTTGTTATTTGAGAACCATGTTGGAGACTTAAATGTCTAAAAAAAAAATATATCTAAAGATTGTTCTCCGAGGTCTTGACAGCTGGACCCAGCCCCTCCCACCAAGACCCTTGGGAGCCGAAGAAACCCTGAAGTGTGGGGAACGGAAGGGAAGAGGGTTTCGGTTGGGGGGTGACTAAGGTTAAGCTAAGGACAGGGGGGGCCTGCGGTGGAGCCGTGGTTAGGGGATGTGGGTTTTGCGGCTGGACTTGAAGGTGAGATAGGAAACCAGGTTCAGGGCTGACAGTCAGGGTGGAATTTACAGGTCCAGGAGGGGTTGGGCAGCAGAGAAGCTGATAGGGCTGGAGAGCGACCTGGGAAGGTGGGAGCCCGGGTGGTCCCTGGGGCGCGGGGCTGGAGGCGAGGCCCCTCGCGGACGCCTGGGATTGGATGCTCCTTCAAGTCCCGCCTCCCGGGACCCTCGCTCCCCAAGCCCCGCCCACACCCCGGGCGCGCGCCTGGAGCCGGGAGAGGGGACCCGGCGGGCGGGGGAGGGAGGGCGAGGGAGGCTCGTGCACGCGCCTCGCTCGCTGCGGTGCGCGAGCAGCGCGCTCCCGCCGCCCGCGTCGCCATCTTTTCCCCCTCCGTCCGTCTGTCTGCCGTTGGCTTTGTCCGTCTGCAGCGCCGCCCCTCGGCTCACCGCCCTCGGCTTGGCCCGCAGCTGCCCTCCGCCTGCCGGGGCCCGGTCCCGGAGAGCCCGGCCTGGCCATCCCGAGCCGCAGCCCGGGGCCCATTGTCCGGCGGTCCGTCTGTCCGGAGGCGGGGCCCAGGGACCCGGAGCGCTGCGCAGCGCCGAGGCGCCGGGTAAAGAGACCCCCGACTCCTTCTCTCCGGGGCCGGGCTGAGGATGCGGGTCACCGGCCGTCGGTCTTTTGTCCGTCCGCGTCTGGGGAGGGAAGCGGGGGCTCGCTCCGGCCTGGGGGGCGGGGGCAGCCCGGGCTCCGACCCAGCCCCTGCCCAGGTTGCCCGGGACGCGGCCGGTCCCGGCCAGCTCCCCTGCGGTCACTCCTCTTGCCGCCCCTTTGGCGCGGGAGGGACGCCGGTGCAGCCGCCCGCCCCGCGTGGGCCCGGGTCGGGCTCGGCCGAGAGCAGCCGGAACGGCCCCGGCGTCTGACAGGCGGGGAGGCGCAGGGGGAGGGAGGATGGGCGTGGGAGGGAGGGCAGACCCGGGGATCGGTCCGCGTCGCCGTCTCCCGGGAAGGCGTCTAAATTTAGCCGGCGGAGAAGACGGTGCTGTCTGCGCGCTTTCGGCGGCTGGTTCCCGGGAGTCCGCCCGGCCCGAACTGCAAGAAGCCAGGGGGACCCTCTCGGCGGATGGCGCGCACGCCCCGCACCGAACCCAAGTGAGGCGGCGACGCGATCGGCTTTCTCGTGCTCTCCTTTTTGGCAGATACGGATCGCTGGGATTCAGACAAGTGTACTTTCCTCTGTGGGAACCGCACCAGAGCTGGAGGTGAGAGTGCACCCCTCTTTTCTTAAAGCTTGGCTTTCACCCGTTTTTGTTTTGTTTTGTTTTTTTCTTTGCTCAAGTCGTGGTGTGTCCTGGAAGCTGCAACCTAACGCTTGTGGGAGAGCAGGGACAGTGTTCAGGGGAGACGTTGCCCCCTGCCCCCCCCACACACACACACCCACTCCGCTCCCAAGGACTTTGAACCTCGTTCTACAGACAGACAAAGCTGCCTTCCTTTTTTACATAGAATCCCTTGTAGATTTGAATCTCACCAGTTTACCTTTCTTGGAGATGGTGATGTTCAGGCAAGTTCTCCGTTTACATTTTTTTTGTGTTGGTTTCAGATTCGGGCTTGGGGACTGAGGCAGTGTGTTAAAAGTAAAATTGAATGAGTGACCTTTAGGGCCAGCGTGTCTATGGATTTTATTACCGTTTAATGCCTACAAAACCCTGAGATCTTGTGTGGTTAAGAATGCACTTTCAGTGCCATTTATTTATTTATTTGCAAGAGTCCGCTGCTCTACAGGCTTTCTTTTTTTTGAGGGAGGGAGAGTATTTGCTTAATTTTTCCTGAAAATCCCTCAGGTGTGAAGTTCCTTTGGGTACCATCTGGTCAGTTCCCCATTTGGCCACTAGGAGGATTATGAGATGTAGTGGACATTGCCAATTTATCTACGCAGATGCTCAGCAGATGCTCATCTGTGTCCGACTTGTAGCTTTAGTATTGAACTATTGCCTCACCAAGATGATCGGAATAGAGCCTGGCTCAAGTTATGTGGTCTTCCTTCAGAAGGATCTTTAATATTGCCTTTATCTCACAGTTTCAATTTCTGATCTTGATGGAGAGAAAATTTAAAGATTCATTAAGATTTCATATTTTCCTTCTACAATAGAGTAGGTGTAGCTCTGCAAATTTTAGAACAAAAAAAGAGAGACAACCTGCATTTCATTCAGCTTTCTGCTTTCCGATTCCATAGACTTAACAGGAAAAGTGCATATTACCCAAAGTGTAAAATTCATTCACTGCTTTCATGAATAAAATAACTACTTGATTAGAAAGAAATCATCTACACAAAACTTAGAATGGAGAACATATACCATTAGCATCAGTGGTCGCAAACCGGTGGTCCGTGAGGTCCGAAAGGTTGGCGACCGCCGCTCTAAATAGTTAAAATTGACTTTTATGTATATTTGGAGTTTTGTTTTTGTTTTGTTGTGTTTTTTTTTTGGTTTTTAATTAAAGGTCTGAAAAAGAACTGTGTTTGATATGCAGATATGATAGAAGACTGCCTGAAAGCTGCTTCCCTTGCCACTTCCTGTGGAGGCCTGTCTTTGCCATTTGCGGTTTCTTTCTTCCTTTGGTAAGGGGAGGCAGGATCTGATTACAGGTCTGAGGCCCTTTCTAGCTACATAGAGGAGTTCTGGAGTGCGGAGTATAGCTAGGAGTAGGCTCTCATAATGCCTCTTAAGGCAAAAGCTACAATTTTATCTTTGCTCATTCACTGTGCGTATACTTTGAGAAGGCAGGAACTGAAAGAAAACTTAAAGGGTGACCAGATCCATATTCTTGTCTTTGGTAGGAAAAGGAATCTAGTTCTTTTTAATCAGTCTGTTTCTTCACTTTATCTTTCAAAGAAAATTTCACAGCTTCCAACACTAATTCACTTCAGACTCTCTAACAACACTTACTGCTGGGGAAGTCTTAGAACTAACCAGGAACCTCCGGGCTTACGTGTCTGTTCCCTCCTGTTTCAGGGAAACGGGTGCATGTCTCTGCAGCATGCTCACTTGAGGAGCTTTTCTCGTTGTTTCTCCCACTGATCTCTCTGCTACGTAGAGGCTGGATTGAGAAGAGGCACTAAAGTTACTAACTTTGACCACCGCTCCAGAGCATGCGAGCAGGGCCAGGTTGATGTTCCCCATTGGGGTGCTGAATTAGTACTCAGCAGTGTGCATGGCATCTGGCTCTTCTGGGGAGAGCCCATCTTCAGCACTGGAAGTCGGATTTGCTTCAGTGCCCTGTCACCCACAGTGCCCAGCGCTGTGCCTGCGTCACTAAACACTGGCTCTGTTTCCTGCGTTGTTTTGAGATGTTTTCTTGTCTCAGGGATATGATGCCTTTGTCACCTCCAGGGGAGGTAACACCTGGAGGCTCCCCTTGGGGAGGATTGCAGGGCTTGACTTCCAGTGGGCATGTGAGCTGCCACCTCTTTAGCTTTTGTTGCTTCCTTTTACAGTTCACGGGGGGTTATTCCTTTGAGCCCATGGCACTACTAACGCTGACTGTCCGTGTTATTTGCTTCCTTTTTTATCCTGATCACGATCGCGTAATAGTAGTCTGGATTCCATAGGTAGTTTTAGAGTGGAATTTCTAAATCCTTTAAAGGAGTCCCTTCTTAAACTTCATGGGAACTTGATGTGCCAGAGATGTATTAATTTCTTTAATTCAGTTATTTATAACTGGTGAGTTTGATACACTTAAGAACTATTTTTAAAAATCTTTTTATGTGTTACTTTGTATGATATCTAGGCAAAATGACATGTGCTAACAATATCCTTTTCATTGTAGGTCAGCACCCTGCAAGGAGGTAGTAACATATCCAGTTGTGAAACTGGGAAAGGCCAGAGCTCTTGGATTAGGGAAACATGTCCCGTCGGAAACAGACAAATCCAAATAAAGTTCACTGTGAGTATTGGGCTTTGTCTTCTGGAATCTGGGTGGGAATGGAAGAGTAATCTGAATTTAGGTTAGAGAGGCTTACACTAATTTGTGAAGAAAAAAAGGTTAGAGGTGTTGAACATGATAAAGTGTGTCTGTTTGTTGGAGAAGGTGTTAGGAAACTGTGTTGGGAGTAGGTGTGTTTGATTCATCCCTAGTATTCATATTAATAAACATTTATAGGATATCTACTCTGCAAAAAGCCTTGTGCTAGATGCCCAGGCTGTAAAACAATAAAAAGATATATACAACTATAATGTAGCCATTATTTGATAGTATATGCTAAGTGCCAAATAGGGATGCTATACAAACTGTGTGCTAGAGAAGTTAAGAGGAGGGAGAGAGCTTTGTAGACTGAAGTAGCAAGGGAATGCTTGAAGGAAGAGGCCCTAGACCAGTGGTTCTCAGCCTTCCTAATGCCTTGACCCTTTAATACAGTTCCTCATGTTGTGGTGACCCCCAATTTCATTGTTACAAATTGAACATAATTAAAGCATAGTGATTAATCACAAAAACAATATGTAATTATATATGTGTTTTCCGATGGTCTTAGGCGACCCCTGTGAAAGGGTCGTTCGACCCCCAAAGGGGTCGCGACCCACAGGTTGAGAACCGCTGCCCATGAACTTGAACTGGGTCTTAGAAGGTGGATTATTTATTGATTGATTCTTATTGATTTCAGAGAGAAAGGGAGAGGGAGAGAGATAGAAACATCAATGATGAGAATCATTGATTAGCTGCCTCTTGCATGCCTCCCTACTGGGGATCGAGTCTGCAACCTGGGCATGTGCCTTTGATCGGAATCGAATCCAGGACCCTTCAGTTCACAGGCCGACGCTCTATCCACTGAGCCCAAACAGCTAGGGCAAAGTGAACTTTTTAAAAAGAGGAAGGGAGAGGTAAAATCGGAGAGGGAAAACAATGTGAGCAAAGATGTAAGAGGAAGTACATGTGATATGATCAGGGGACAAGGAGACTTTGAATGAAGCAGAAGTTTCATTTGTCCAGAAGTCATAGGACGTGAGGTTGGAGATGTTTAACTCTACATCAAGCATGTCAAACTCACGGCCAGCAGGCTGCATGCCGGCCACGAGTTACATTGTAGAGTCCTAAAGGCCAGGCCAGGTTCAAACTTCATTCCATAGACAATAAGGAGCTACTGAAGGATTTTAAGCAGAGAGAGTGGAGTGACATTGATAATGCAGTGTTTTGGTATAGATCATATGAGGGAGAGACTGGTAACAGGAAGACCAGGTATGCACTATTGCCTTGCATTATTTCTCAATAGTTTTGAGTGTATGTTTTATGTCAGTAATTGGATTGTAAACTTCTAGAGGGCATATATATTTCCTGCTATCCCTCTCAACTTCTAGCACTGCTCATAGAGACTGTTGAAGTACTTTAAAATACCTTATCAAATTAATAATAATATATCTATGTAGGTCTGAGATAATTAATCAGACAGTTTCCTATAATCTAGGGAGATAAGCATCCTCACCTAAATGTTTATAAAAGAGAAAAATAGCTCCCTATTATGGAGGATTGACTAAATAAAGTACAGCAACATTTGAAGAGAATTCAGTGGTATAATATATGAAATATTTTTTTAAAGAAAAAAAATCCATTTGAGAAGATAGAATAGACAAGGAATTAAGAGGACCAAAATTTATTAAAAAGATACTGTATGCCAGGCACTGTGTACTTTTCCTTGTCTTATTGGATAATTTCAAGAGTAGGAGAGAAAACAGTAGAAGCAGAGGAATTAAGGGGACTTCAACATATTATAGATAATGAGATCAGGGTAGCAGACCTCCATAGACAATTAATTCTTTAAGTCCTGGAAAAGTTTTATGAGACAGATCAAGTTGGATTCTTCTAGGAGTATACTCAAAGTGAATGTGGAAGGCTGCTTGATATAAAAGTGAGTGGTTTAAGAAGGATTTAGAAATTGTTGCTAAACAGTAAAATTTAGTGGGGCTGAATGGGAGGATTGTTAAGAGAGAAAATGAAGCATCTCTAGCGTAGGGAATACAACACAGTGGTCAGGAGGATTATCTTCTCCTCTGGTTGAAGGTGAGTATTGACTGATAAAAGGCACAGATGTGACCCCAAGCAGACAGGGCAGGAAAGGTACTCTTAATAGAGATGATGGGTTCACAAATAAGGCAGTCATAGGAGTTGGGCATTTACCTATACAAACCTCCTGTCCAAAGAGCCTGGTTAGATTTGAGGAAAGATGAGGTGGATGATAGGATGATTGTGGTAAGGCCAAGGGGAGCCAGTAAAGGCTTGTGTGGCCTATGCCCGTGTCCACGTGGCATATACCCATCAGCTGCATCTCCTCCCACCATAGCCAGTCAAATCAGGACGAGCTGGTATTAGAGTTGGAAAACAGATGGACAATCAGGTCATGGACAAGGAGAGAATATCACACGTCTACAGCTGCAGAAACGCAGTGTCCAAAGCAAGGCAACATTATATTGTGGTGGAGTGGGTGGGACTTTGCAGCCTCTCTGGTGGTGCCATGAAGAGAGCTGTGAACAGAAATGTTCAGCTGCCACTAAAAAGCAGACCCAAGGGAGGGGCTATTTTCGGCGAGGGCTTCTCAGGTGATTGACGAAGCTTGACCAAAGAAGAAGACAGTGGGATCGGCTGGTCTCCAAGGGACCTGCTGGTTATTTACTGTTTGGAGACTGAAGCTGATCCTACCTGTTTTGAAAGGTCATCTTCTCATGACAATAGTGGCAAATAGAAATTGGTAATTTCAGTCTTCTGACCACTCGAGTCCCCTATCCCCTTTCAGTGAAATGGAACCAATCAAATGTATTGAATTTAATGCTGCTCGTCTATTTAAAGTAAATGGGATGGACCCAAGGTCCGGGAGGCAGGAAAGCTGCCGAAGCTCTGCTTCAGTATCAAAGCCAGTCAGCACTCTGGCAGAGTAATGGCTGAGCTCCATTAGCTCTGCCTTCTGAAAAGAAGTAGATTGTGTGGCATGAAGCTCAAAGCCCACCTAAAAGAATCTATTAAGAATCCCACTGCTGTAGGCTGGCAGCATTTATCCGATTCACTTCAGAGGCAATGGGCAGGCTGTTCTGACATTTACTTGGCTTTCCTCTGGACTGGCTCTGTATCTCAGAAATATTCAGGCAGACTCTTGGGTTTTACCCAGCTCATTAATAGACTTGATGAGAGCTTTTGGAATAAAAGCCCAGAATTGTTAGTCACAGAGAAACTGCTGAAGGGCTGAAATCTGTTAGACCTTCCTCCCTCCTTCCTCATCTCACCCCTTCTGAGTATAACTTTTTGTCAACTGTTTCTAGAGAGGTTGAAAATACTAGAGTGCCTTGCATACTCTCATTTGGTGTCTTTTTTTTTTTTAATATATTTTATTGATTTTTCACAGAGAGGAAGGGAGAGAGATAGATAGTCAGAAACATCGATGGGAGAGAAACATCGATCAGCCACCTCCTGCACATCTCCCACTGGGGATGTGCCCGCAACCCAGGTACATGCCCTTGACCGGAATCGAACCTGGGACCTTTCAGTCCGCAGGCCGACGCTCTATCCACTGAGCCAAACCGGTTTCGGCTCATTTGGTGTCTTTATACCAAGCAAACCACTAAGAAAAGAAAAACTTTTTCTGAAGAGTTTTTGTTTTCAGATTGCAAAGCTTTCAACTTTAATTAAAAGCTTTTCAGCTTTTACAGAGAAGTAGGAAAAATGCCTTTGTAGTCCCTTCTCTTCTAAAAAGTGCAACTTGTTTTATTTTCATTCAGTGTCCCTGCGAGGTAAATGGTTATGTTCTTAGCATGTGATCGCACCTTGGATTACAGAGACTGTCAGCTAGAAATGGAATCCTAAGCTCCTCACTCCCAATAGTAGCTCTTCTTTTCTGAGTTTGACATCTGCTCTGTTAGGATATGTTTCAGCTGCTATCCTTAATTTCAGTCAGCCAGAAACTACATTTACTGGGTGGACAAAAGTAGGTTTAAAGCATGAGTATGCAAAACACAGTTTCTTCTTTTCTTTTTCTTTTTTTATTGATTTTAGTTAGAGAGGAAGGGAGAGAACGAGAAAGGAACATCAATTTGTCGTTCCTTATTTATGCATTCATTGTTTCACTCTTGTATGTGCCCTTACTGAACCTGCAACCTTGGCATATCAGGACAGTGCTCCAACCAAGTGAGCTACCTGACCAGGGGCAGTTTATTCTTATATTATCATTTATTAATTATTCTATTATTTTCCATACAAACAACTGTAAGCATACTTTTGCCCATCCATGCATTTAACTGCACCAAGGACTCAAGAAAGAGAATTGTAAAATCTTTGCCTTTCTAATAACTTTCATCTCAAGCTTCTCATCTGTTTCACAAACTTGCTTGTATGGCCTTGATTTTATCTGGTTTGAAAAATCTTAACCAAATTAAATAGTATCTATCTATCTATCTATTTTATTTCAGAGAGGAAGGGAGAGGGAGATAGAAATATCAATGAAAGAGAGAGAATCATTGATCGGCTACCTCCTGCATGCCCCTCACTGGGGATTGAGCCCACACTTCGGGCATGTGCCCTTGACCGGAATCGAACCTGGGACCCTTCAGTCCACAGACCGACACTCTATCCCACTGAGCCAAACCGGCTAGGGCTCAAATAGTATCTTGATTTAATACTAAAAACAGGAGAAATGGCACTTTGCTTTTTACTGTGGGAGCATAGATGACTTGTTCTCAGCTATTAATAGACAAATAAATACCCATATTAAATAAGATCGTTGCCCTACATTAATATCTAGAGATTACAGGATTATTTTTAACCTACTCCAACAGTCTCAAGATAGAAGGAAATGATTCTACATTATACAATCAGGCAATTGTATAACACTTCTTAATCACTAGTATCTATGAATCACATTATACTTAATTATGACATACTTTTAGCAAGTATCACTACTTTCTTATGAAAGGATAATTCTGGACAGCCAGATTTTAGGGATTAAATAAATAGTGACTACTGGAAGATTATTCACATATCTTTTCCTATGAGGTCTACCAAAATCATGTCCTTTTTTATGGTTTTTATATAGTTTGCTTTAGTAGATGTTTAAAATAGGAATAAAGTTTACCTTAGCCTTTTTTCTCAAGCCAGGAACAGAATAAAATGTAAGAGCACAGCTTTTCTCTCCAAACTGCCAAAAAGGAATGACACTTAGTTTATTCCACCTGTCCTAGGGAAGATTGCCTTGGTGAGCAAAAAGTGCTAGCTAAGGAAGTTATATGGAATAGACCAGGGGTGGGCAAATTTTTTGACTCGAGGGCCACAATGGGTTCTTAAACTGGACCGGAGGGCCGGAACAAAAGCATGGATGGAGTGTTTGTGTGAACTAATATAAATTCAAAGTAAACATCATTACATAAAAGGGTACGGTCTTTTTTTTTTTTTTTTAGTTTTATTCATTTCAAACGGGCCGGATCCGGCCCGCGGGCCGTAGTTTGCCCACGGCTGGAATAGACCGTTCTCTGTTCTGTGAAGGCCTAAATATTTAAACATCAATAGACAAAAATAAATTTTAAGCTCCAGTGGGAGACCAAACTGAAATACTAGCTGCTATTGAAAGGTACATATACTTTTAGATGCCCTTTTACTAATCCAATGGTGATTTCCTAATAGAAAGGAGTGTGAGGTATATTTTCTAAATATGCTATAAACCTAGCTGGTTTCTGGCTAGGTTTCTTTAGAGATGAGCAGTATCACTGACGAGAATGATCTGTCCCTTGATAATTAATTATATGCTGGTATGTAACTTGTTCCATAGTGCCATATCTGCCCATAGCCACCAGGTCCGAAAACATCCATCTACCCAGAAGAATTCAGTAACTATTCCAATTGGCCATGGTCTTGTGATTACAGTGAAACCAACGTGGAGAAATTAAATATTTTACTTCTGCAAAGGAAGAAGACAAGACACTATAACACAGAATTCAACTTTTGCTTTCCCTAGCAGTAATTTATATCCATGTGTCATCTTGGATATTATGAAAGTGGACTTAAAGCAGCTTATTTTTCCTTTACTTAAGGGCTGTGTAGTTGCAGTACATTTGAACTCTAACCACTTCTACTCCCATTCACAGTATCAGTCAGAATACCCATAATATTAGTTACTCTGACCCAGGCCTGGTAATACCATATGGTATCAGAACCATCAAAATGATGGTTCCTGTTGTCATATACTGGCCCTGACAACATTATTTTGATATTTGAGTTCTATTTATCAGTTTCTCATGATATGAAGTAACAGTACCACTAGGATTGGAGCCATTCTTCTCAGAGACTTCAGCAAAACCACTCTGATAAAGTGCCTAGCCTTCTGCTTACATCACTACTAGAAAGCAGTTTAAAAACAATGGAGAGTAGGCCTAACCGGTTTGGCTCAGTGGATAGAGCATTGGCCTGCAGATTGAAAGGTCCCAGGTTCGATTCCAGTCAAGGGCATGTACCTTGGTTGTGGACACATCCCCAGTAGGAGGTGTGCAGGACTGGGGATGTGCCCAGGAAGCAGCTGATCGATGTTTCTACCTCTCTATCCCTCTCCCTTCCTCTCTGTAAAAAAATCAATAAAGTATATTTTTAGAAAAACAAAAAATATGGAGAGTAAAATTGGGCAGACCTAGGTTTGAATACTTATTTCCACCACAGACCTTCGTTTTCTCCTAAGTAAAATGTGGGTAGTTATACCTACCACATAGAACTTAGCAGAGAATTAAGGTAAGGTAACAACTATAAAGCATTTAACATAGAATCTGGGGCTATTATTAGTGTTCAGCACTTAGCATATAGTAAACTCTCAATGAATATTTGCTGAATGAATGCCTAAGTAATCCCACGAAGTCTACTTCACATCCATTCTTTCATTGCCTGAGGACTAGTAGTGCAGATCAACTAACCTGTTCATTTTTCCTACATCATTGTCTCCTGCCTTGGAACTTGAGCCTATTTACTCCCCTTTCTCTCCACAGTAAGAAAGCGCTATTGGTCTATTGTCAAACATTTCACTAGGGCTTTTATTATTCTCTCTTGGTAGCTGGAGAATGGGGACTGTAGTTTCCACTCTGACTGAGATAATGGAAACCTCGAGAAACCCAATTCTCTTTTCTCCTTATGCCTGGCCTCTTGGAAAGAAAAGAACACTTAAATGTTAACTCTTTAGTGACCACACAGATCCCAGGCAGAGTTCATCAGAAGTAAATGTATAATCAAGGAGGGCTTTTGGATATTCCATACAAACAAACAAACAAACAAACAAACAAACAAACAAAAGACCAAGGACACCAGATGAAATATTTGTTGCAAATTAGATGGCATGTTTCAGGAAGTGTGTTCCTCAGCAGAAGTATGTTCTCCTTTTAATCCAGCAGTTCTCAACCTGTGGGTCGAGACCCCTTTGGCGGTCGAACGACCCTTTCACAGGGGTTGCCTAAGACCATCCTGCATATCAGATGTTTACATTACGATTCATAACAGTAACAACATTACAGTTATGAAGTAACAACGAAAATAATTTTATGGTTGGGTCACAACATGAGGAATTGTATTTAAAGGGCTAGAAGGTTGAGAACCACTTTTTTTTTTTCATATCTGATTTATTCATTTTTTTATTTTATTTTAAAACCCGTATGGTTTTATGAACCGGTGTCTCCCCAATAATTTCAACGAGAGAGAGAGAGAGAGAGAGAGAGAGAGAGAGAGAGAGGAGACATCCGATCTGTGAGTACTGCCTCATTTAGGTTTCAGCTCCCGGGCGGCAAAAATGTTTTTGTTATGTCCTCCGGGGAGGGAGAGAGGGAGGAGAACCACTGTTTTAATCCATTATTCACCTCATTGTTGATTTGCTTATGGATAATTCTGATAGGCATTAGAAAGGAAGTCAAGGAAGAACTTCCAGAGCATGTCTTAAGGAGAGTGAATGAAAGACGGGATTATATACTATTATCTAGATGGATTATTGGAAGCACTGGTTTATAGTCAGAGATAGACATTAACTCATGGCATAATGCTAGTACCTTAAAATTCACAGATTGTGCCCATATTTGTTGCTATATCTTTATCCTATTCCTTTATCTCTTCTTGCCTCTGTCTCCCCAATCCCGATGGAAGGTTGTAAATGGAATTGAGATTCTAAAGCTAAATTTATAAAGTAGCAATTGATCACCTTTTAAAAAGGAGTAAAGATTAGGACAATTTAAGGGAAGCATATGATGCTTTCTAGAGCATCTGGCTTACCAGGAGTAGCTGAGCCCAGAAACAGTTGTAGGCAACAAGCTGACTTGGAGATGGATGACTCCACCACAGGGTATCTGCCTGTCTTCTACCTTTGAATGGTCTGACTTTCCAACTAGCTTGCCTGGGGATATGCTGCCCAGCTGGTGGCCTGACTATTTTTCCTTGTGACCACCAGGGGATCAAGTATTTGCTGGGCTAGAAGAGCAAGCCCGCCAGGCGATGATGAAAACTGATTTTCCTGGAGACCTTGACGGTCAACGACAAGCTATCCAACAACTAAGAGATCAGGACTCCAGTAGCAGTGAGTTCTGCACCTTCTGGTAATGACTCAGGGCAATGGGAGAAGAATTATCAGAGTGTGTGTGCTCTGGGGATTGTGCATGGGGTTGGGAGGAAGACATGCAGAAGGAGATTTGTGGATCCTCAGTGTTCCCAAAGGTGTTCTAAGGTCTGTGGGCATATTCTTATCCAGAGAGCGAGAACAGGTTTGGCATGACAGTTGGTTTGCTTTTTAACTCATGGACTGCAGTACTTGGCACAGTACCATAACAGATAGGTTTTGATGATTGTGAGAGACAGGGCATAGGAATAATTAGTGCCCAAGCAGCCCCTGGGTTAGGTCAAGTGAAGAGAAAAAAATCCCTGTCTCCTTTTGGATCTATTTGTTCATAATTAATAAAATGTAAGAGTGGCATTAGTGGAAATTTTTGCTTGAGGGCCTCGTGTTAATGTTATACAAGAGATATTGCGAATTAATGAGATTATGCATCATATAAAATGCTTATGTCAAGGTCTTCCCTTCCCACACCAAGGCCTAAGTAGATCCCTGTGGTTAAAAGATGGAAAAGACAGTGGCTGGTATCCAGTCGAGTCTTGTGGATCACCTGTTCCATGACCTGCCTGAACATATACACTTTGAGATGTGTTATTTTCTATGATGATTTCCACACTTTACTAATTTCATCCATACTGGTTATTATTAGTGTTAATTCAGAGAGGGATTTCAGATTTTTCTCCCCATTTGGGGTTGGGGAAGAACAAAGAGGGAGAGAGTTCTGCAACCTTCTAAGAACTACAGTTTCCACTCAAACTGTTAATTTAAAAAAATATTTAGCAATTAATTGCTCAGGTAGAGAAAAATAAACCCAAATACTTCTAGAAAACCTGTGGGAGCCATCAGTTTGAGTAATAGGTAGGAATGGCAACATCGATAAAAGTCTAATAGGTTTCCATCCTGGAAAAGAAGCAGCGTCCCTCTGGATAGCATACTTTTTTTTTTTAATCTTTCTAGTAGAGAGATATATTTGGATTTCTGATAAATTACAAAAATGTGTTTGATGCAATGTTATCTTAGACTAAGCTTACCAGTATTCCAGATAAGCTGGTGAGAAAGTATGGTAATATTTAATCTGTGCCAATCCTTCATTATTGAGATGAATTCAAACTAAAGCTTTGGGCTCGGGAATAAGGCCAGATCCAGTATACCAACCAAGTGGAGTATCTAACAGAGACACACATAACTACTAACAGATGATTTGGTTGGATTTTCTTTTCTTTTTTTAATATATTTTATTGATTTTTTACAGAGAGGAAGGGAGAGGGATAGAGAGTTAGAAACATCCATGAGAGAGAAACATTCATCAGCTGCCTCCTGCACACCCCCTACTGGAGATGTGCCCGCAACCAAGGTACATGCCCTTGACCAGAATGGAACCTGGGACTCTTCAGTCCACAGGGCGATGTTCTAGCCCAGCCGTGGGCAAACTACGGCCCGCGGGCCGGATCCAGCCCGTTTGAAATGAATAAAACTAAAAAAAAAAAAGACTGTACCCTTTTATGTAATGATGTTTACTTTGAATTTATATTAGTTCACACAAACACTCCATCCATGCTTTTGTTTCGGCCCTCCGGTCCAGTTTAAGAACCCGTTGTGGCCCTTGAGTCAAAAAGTTTGCCCACCCCTGCTCTAGCCACTGAGCCAAACTGGTTAGGGCTTGGTTGGATTTTCTTAAGAAGAAAGAGAATAGGACCAGTTTTGCCCAGATACTGGTGGATTTAGAAAATGTGCAAGGGATAGAAGAGAGAAGACAACAGCACTGTTAGCTGGGAAAGCTGAATCTCACTGCCCATGCAGAGAGACGGTGAAACTCTCTGTATTTCTCTCTTGCTTGCAGTCAGACCAGGGGTCCAGGAGCCAGGTGAGGTTGGGGCTGGAGTATGGTAGCTTCCCTAGGCTTGGCTTCCACTTGTGATCTTCAAAGTACTAGCACTTTTTTTTCTTTCAGAAAGAACTCCCTTTGTAATTGTGGGGTTTTAAAAAAAAAAAATTTCTCCCTATTTTATAAATAATAGGGCAGAAATTCAGCTCCCACAAACCTTGACCTCCCCACAGCCACATCCTGCTCTCTAAACTAAAACATTCAATTCTTACTTTAGTCACAATAAATTACATTTCATTCTAAGTAAAGAATAACCTCTACCTAATGCATCCAGCAAATAATCCAAAGAACCAACAGAAACAATGGATTTATTTAGCCTAGAATGCTGAGTTACTAGCAGAGTAATAAGAACACAGTCAGATACCACTACAAACTGCCTGAGGTTGTTTGCTGCACTAATTTTCCACTGTACTGAACAGTCTTTTCCCTATGCCCTATAAAGTGACATCATTTTAACCTAATTTACTACTGCCTCCTTTATTGATTAGAGGAAAGAAAAACTTGTTGGTGTTTATTTAAGTGTGCCTTGGGGTTTGTTGGGAGAGGACAGATTAGCGGGCCTCAGAATAGAGTAGTGTATGTGACACCATGGAGAAATTGTGCGAGGGGTGAGGGGTTATGGAGAAAAGTCAGGTAATAAAATCAGTGCGAAGTGTTGGGAAATCAGAGGTGGTATGTTGTGGGAATGAGCATGGTGTGAGGTATGAAGGAGGTGTGATTTGAATATGAGATATTTGGGAACCATGTGTAAGAAGTAACTATTTTTATGATATTGTATAAGGCCCAATAACCATTTCCCAGTGCAGTTTTGCCTCAGATTTTCTCTTTAGTGTGTATATGGCATTATAAACAACAGCTATAACTGGTTTCCACTTAACATGATTTGTACCCAACTAAGAACTGATACAAACTATATTATGGAAGATCTAAAAATGTTTTTCATTATAACTGCAAACTCTAGGGTGGAAAGCAACTCAAGATGTATTCATTGCAAAAATCAGAACAAGTGACAAGTTTGTGTGTTCCAGGTGACAGTGAGGGTGATGAAGAGGAGACCACACAAGATGAAGTCTCTTCCCACACATCAGAGGAAGATGGAGGGGTGGTCAAAGTGGAAAAAGAGTTAGAAAATGCAGAACAGCCTGTTGGTGGGAACGAAGTGGTAGAGCATGAGGCAAGTGACAAATGGCTCCTGAGTCTGGGAGATCCCTTACTCTTCTGTTTGGCCTGATGCCTCTCGTCCATATATAACAGTCTTGCCTCTAACAGTCTCCTGGGCCTTCATATGAAGCCCCTCTTCCTTCACAGCGCCAGTTATCCAAACTTCAGACACAATTCTTATCACACCCACTTACCTTTTCCACCGACATATCACTCCGCCATGTACAGCTCTCTTTCCAGACAGAATATCCACCTTTACAAAACTATTAGCTGACTTCCTGAGGTATGCTCTTGAATATATTTGCAAATTTAAGTCAAACTGTTACCTCACTAAATTGTTTCCTGAGGATTCCTGCAAGAAGCATGGCAAGAGGAAAGCTAATCCTTTCTCTCCAGTTTACCTTGGGAAAACAATAGCTAAGCTCTCTCTGGGGCAGGCCTATGCCCTCATGGCAGGAAACCCTGGAGAAAATAAAGATCAGTGCAAGTTTAACTCCCATCTCCCTAGTAGTTTTTCCTTTGGTCCATAGGGAAACCTGAGAATAATACATGATATCAGGTTGTATTTTTTATAACAGGATACCCTGTAAAAGAAGTAGGGGCAGGGAAGAGACTGGTCAGCAGTCTTAATGAATTGTCTGCTTATTGAATTGCAGGTCACAGAGAATTTGAATACCGACCCCTTACTTGGACTCTGCCAGTGTCCCCTCTGCCAACTAGACTGTGGGAGTCGGGAGCAGCTGATTGCTCACGTGTACCAGGTATGGCGTGGGGAGCTGCGTGCTCTGGAACTCGAGGGCCAGCAGCTTGTTTAGCCTTTGTCTCCACCTCCCAAAGGAACCTTGGGTTGTTGTTCTCATTCAGACTCACTCCAGTCCTCAGAACATTTTGGAGAATAAGTGGAATATGCTGGGTAAATATGTCCTGGGGTTCCCAGGCAGACATACTATGAAAATGAAGTTCCATTTTAAAAAATTACTTAATGCATATTTTAAACAGTGAAATAAAAACTAACACCTATTAATAATGAGGGCTCTGTTTTAAAGAAAAGATGAGTTAACATAAATGTTTCTGAAATACTGGAGAAAGTTAGTGTAAGTAAGGGGATGAGAATAAGACAAACTTTTTTTTTAATCCTCACCTGAGAACATGCTTAGAGAGAAGAAGGGAGAGAAAGAGAGAGAGAAACATCAATCAGTTGCCTTCCGTACGTTCCCTGACCAGAGATCAAATGCCCAATCCGGGCATGTGCCCTGACCAGGAATTGAACCAGCAACCCTTCAGTGCACAGGACCATGCTCAACCAATGGAGCCACTCCGGCCGGGCAAGGCAGACTTTTGTGTTCTTTTCCCCCGATCCAATCGCAGAGCACCTGTGCCTTGTGAGCTGTATTGAAAGGGCTTCAGCACACATGGCAGCCTGGGTTATAGTGTAAAGATAGATAGTTTATGAGGAGACACATTTCTTCAAAAGACTGTCTTTAAAAGATTAAAGGAAAGGCAGGGCACTTGTACCTTTTGAGTACCAGTCTTCCCAGTTAGCTTCTGGACTGGCCTTCATTGATCCCTTCACTTGGACTTGGACCTGCACAATGTGAGGCAAGCATTCAGAGAGAAATTACCCCACTCATGAATTCTCTCAGGCTTGGAAGACAGCTCTGGAGCCCATTGTTCCTTAGTTCAGCCACATGTCCCAGAATGTAATCAACAATCTTAATGAATTGCCTACTTATTGAACTGTACTCAATAAGTAGGCAATTGCAATTCAATAAGTAGTAGAACTCAAACTAATGAAATGTGAGCAGTGGTCTGAATGGCCTGGCCCTTCTGAAAGCCCATTAACACAAGAAAGTTTTAATTGTCCGGGTGGTAAAGAGGGAAAAGAGTTGCAAGTCCCTTGTTCTGAGACTAAAGAAAGGGGACGTTTCCCCAAAGTCGTTTCTAAATGGGTGTAGACTGTCTTGGAGGCGGTGTGAGCTGACAGACTGAGGCTTGTTTTACAGCACACTGCAGCAGTTGTGAGTGCCAAGAGCTACATGTGTCCTGTCTGTGGCCGGGCCCTTAGCTCCCCAGGGTCATTGGGTCGCCACCTCCTAATCCACTCGGAGGACCAGCGGTCCAACTGTGCCGTGTGTGGAGCCCGTTTCACCAGCCATGCCACGTTTAACAGGTTAGCTGGGCACCTAACCCTCTTGTGTTGGGAACAAATTACTGGGTATGGATTCTGCTTTCCCAAGTCAAAGAAAAGGCTAGAGATCAGTAATGCAAAGGCAACTAATTGATTCTTAAACTCTTTGGAAATACAAATAATGAGACCAGTAAATATGCCCCTTCCATTAGCTATCTCCAAAGGGAAATGAATCCCTATTTCTTTTCCCTATCAGTATAATATTTTCATCTAGAAAGAGATGTGGGGAAGTCTAAGAATATTCATGATAAAGTATGGAGAAAAGTTATAGGGTGCTGAAAGGACCCTGATGTTGGGACATAGTCTCTACTGTATCCCAGGCCGCCTGGAACAGTGTGAATTGTGTCCTAGTCCCATTTGCTAGCAAGCAATGCAGAACTGGCCAGGCAGGAGCTTGAGCCAGTGGACTGTACCTGCCCTGAAGGCAGCCTGTACCTCAAGGACTGCCTCCCACCGCAGGACTGCTCTGCACAGCGTCTACCAAACACCACCATTCTGGCTTGAACAGAAAGGGCTCGTTTTAAGGGTTTGTCTGATTTTTAGTGGCTTGCTGTGGCCTTTGGTTCAGTCTTTAACTCCAGGTGGCCTTTAAAACTTGGTGCACACCCTAGCCCAAAGAAGAGCAGGGGTGGAGAGGAAGTCAAACTGACCCCTAGTGGTGAAATTGGAGCAACTGGCGTAGTAGGACAAGAATAAGTCAGAATTGAATACCAGAGCCTTGTTAGAAGGTGACACTAAACATCCAAAATTTTTGCTTCCCAGTGAGAAACTTCCTGAAGTACTTAATATGGAATCCCTACCCCCAGCCCACAGTGAGGGCCCCTCCAGTGCTGAGGGGAAGGACATTGCCTTTAGCCCTCCAGTTTACCCTGCTGGAATTCTGCTTGTGTGCAACAACTGTGCTGCCTACCGTAAGCTCCTGGAAGCCCAGACCCCCAGCGTACGCAAGTGGGCCCTCCGTCGACAGAACGAGCCTTTGGAAGTAAGGTTGCAGCGGCTGGAACGAGAGCGCACAGCCAAGAAGAGCCGGCGGGACAATGAGACCCCCGAGGAGCGGGAGGTAAGGCGCATGAGGGACCGTGAGGCCAAGCGCCTGCAGCGCATGCAGGAGACAGATGAGCAGCGGGCACGCCGGCTGCAGCGGGACCGGGAGGCCATGAGGCTCAAGCGGGCCAATGAAACCCCGGAGAAGCGGCAGGCCCGGCTCATCCGGGAGCGGGAGGCTAAGCGGCTCAAGAGGAGGCTGGAGAAGATGGACATGATGTTGCGAGCTCAGTTTGGCCAGGACCCTTCTGCCATGGCAGCTTTAGCAGCCGAAATGAACTTCTTCCAGCTACCTGTGAGTGGGGTAGAGTTGGACAGCCAGCTCCTGGGCAAGATGGCCTTTGAGGAGCAGAACAGCAGCTCTCTGCACTGAACCACAAACACCTTCCTGCCTGCCCTCCTGCTCACCCGCCCACCCAAGCCCACAGGGACCAGTGCTGCAGCCACCCACAGGGCCCTGTCCTTACTGCCAGAGGCAGGCCCTGGTTTGTTGCAGATGGACCTGTGCACTCCTTGCATGTCGGAGCAGGATGATGGGGTCAGCAGGAAACCAGCTCAAGGCTGGACAAGGGAGCAGGCACTCCACAGAACTGGACTCCCCAGCCCACCGCTGCAGGGCATGCTGTAGGACTGTGGGGCCCCCAGGTGGCCCATGGAGTTGTAAGGGCAAATAAATTAATTTTATCTTTATTGGCCATTTCCTGCTTTTCTCTCAGTTTCATTCTAGCAAATGAAGTGATCTGGGAGAGACCTGGGTGGAAGTTTTCAGGCAGACTTCTGGCAGTGGTTCTTTTCTGAGGGAGGGTATGCCTCAACTTAGGCTCTCCAAGCAAAGATCCCTGGGTATTTGGGCCGTTACAAGTTGATGAGACATAACTATGACATTGAAGAACGGATGCTGACTTTGTGAGGGTCCAGTCCCACAACCCTAAAGAAGGTAATTAACAGTCTGAAGGACTATTAAAACCTAACTTACCTTTTCCAAACTTGGTAGTAGATGCCTTTCTTCATAACTGGCATTTTCATTTTTTAAAAAGTGGTTTCATACTTCTTTATTCAGGGGGTTCCATTTTCACTCCTCAGTAGATTTTGTATATTTCTCATATGCTTCTTCACAGTTCATGTAGTTCTGAAGTGTTACTGAGTGTCATCTTGATCAGCCAATCATCTTCATAACAAGATCTGTTGACAGGTCCTGGATTTTCTGCAAGAGCTTCATCAATTTCAGTTATTTCTCCTTATAGAGGAGAATAGAGTTCACTAGCAGCTTTCACACTTTCCAAAGCAACTTGTTCAATTTTGTCCCAATTTCAGGCAGACTATAGTAAACATCTCCAAAACTTTCTGTGCAAAATTGCTAATCCCACTGTTCCAATATAATTTTCTATTGTTATCCATTCATGCTTCTCTGTGAATTTACATAGAGCAAATTGGGTTCGGTATGCAGCAATGGCCTCAGGCCCCAGGCCCACGGTGGGCAGGGCTTAGAGTATGTGTGTGTGTAGGAGGTGGCTGTTGTGGCAAAACTCTGTGGCACCCACTAGTAGGGGGCATAACTGGCATTTTCTAAAGAGAATATGGTATTTAGACTAGGTGCTGGCTACTTTTCCCAGCAGAATTCAGTTTGTCAAACTTTTTTCCTCAATATCTTTTTATTTATTTTTAGGGAGAGAGAGAGAGAGAAATATTGATCAGCTGTCTCCTGCATGCCCACTGCTGGGGAATCAAGCCCACAATTCAGGCATGTGCCCTGACTGGGAATGGAACTGGTGACCTCTCGGTGCATGGATGACACCCAACCAACTGAGCCAGTTTGTCAAACTTTTAAAATCCCATCCCAGAGAGCAGACAGCAGCACTTAGGAATATGTTAATATAAATAGCTGCAATATTAAGGTCCATAGCACCAAGAAACTCATGTTTGAGAGAAGAGGTAATTCATCATTTTAATCATTTCCCAGAGCCATTGTAGGATAATGCAGAATTAAGGTGATATGAGAACTCAAGTCAATAGTGGGTCAGGGCCAGAGCAAAGTGACCACTCTGGCAGTTGGTATGGTTGCCAAATCATGGAGGAGACAAGAGCTGAGGTCATTTCTAAAAAGCTTCTGTGATGGTACAAAACAAGCACAGAACTTTCCTTAGCCTGCAACAAAGGTTGTGTACAGTTTAGATAATTATAGATCTTGAGGTCCAGAAGGAAGTGCCCTAGTTAACTTGTAGCCAGAAAAATAACTATGCCAGGAATGTGGACCTCTTCCAATATTATCACAAGGAAACTTGGACGCTTCTCTGACCTCCATAGGTTCAAGGCTATTCAATCGTGTTAAGTGACCCAACACCCGCAACCACCGAACTAGGGTTGTCTTTCCAGGCAGGTTGAAATATTTCTGTTCTGAAAAGTACAAGAATTTCAATAAGCTTAGTATGACGTACTGGACATTTAAAAGAAAGTAATTGAACCAAATGCCTTTTTCTCAGAGCTCCTTATTGAAGGCCTACTTGGGATCCTTCAAAATGGTTGTGTATTCACTATGTGTCAAAGATTATTCTGAGCATTTCACATGGATTATTTCATTTAATTTTCAGAACTATAATAGACTCAAGAGTTAGATGCCTGGATTTAAAATTCTGCACTGCTATTTAATAACTATGTAACTTCAGGTAAGTTATTTGACCTCTTTCTTGGTTTCCCCACCCATAAATTGGAAATAACAATACTAGCAATAAATGATTATTAATATATAATGCACTTAGGATAGTTTGTGGCACATAGTAAATACTCAATAAGTGTATCTGAGTCACTATCTTGTATCCCAGTGTTTCACCTCTACCGTGGCAAGCTTTCTAAGAAGCAGTAACTATCATTGCAACTGACTTATTCCAGCAATTTCTGGCAGTATTCCTGAGGAGAGACTTTTACAGGTTCTTTTGACCAACTGTGGAAGTATCTAAGTCTATAAGTAGACTTCTGGGTCTCTGACATACACAGCAACAAAATGTGCAGGCCATGCTTCAGCACCAGCTCACATAATCTGCCCGGAGTCCACCACATGAAAATGGGCACCTCTTGCTCTCTATTACAAGCTCTCCCACGAAGGGTTTCTATCCCCCACCCAATGGCCATCATCTAATGCTAGGATAGGAAAAAGGCGCAAACACCAAAAGGAAAAGCTAGTAGTTTATATAGATAGATATATAGATATATAGATATTGATATATATTGTGTTTACATAGTCCACAAGTTAAATGCAGGTATCCATAAGAAGAGCATTAACAATAAAAATACAATCTGTGTGTAGCCAAGTACAGAGACTTAAAATGGTAAAACAGCAAAAAGGATCTCACAAAAGTACAAATATACAGTACAAATTGATTTATTTAAAACAGTTACAAAAAAGCACAACAAAATAGAGATTATCCTTAGAATTATTAATGCTTTGTTAAAGATCAGGTAGGATTAGAGGGTAAGAAATGGTATGGGTGGGGGGAGCACCTGACTAGTTCTAAGGCTTTAGATACAATGCAGTTGATTACATATTAATTTAGCCATTACATACTGGGGATGGTAGTTGGGGGTCAGTAATTTATCTACAGGGAACTCCTACACCAATCAGATCCACCCAGACCTCCCCAGTGCCGACCTTCTCTATTCCTTGGGACCCTAAAGCCAATTGAATGACATTCCCATCCTTTCTCCACCCCATTCCATATTCATATATTCTTCCCTCCCCTAAGGTGCTGTGCAAGCTGAGAGCAGTTTGCTCTCTGCAGCTGGAACATATAATTTTGGCTACAGGGATCCTGTATTTGACTAGGAAGGTTGTAGGGGACAGCCTTATTTTTAATACTTCAAGTTTGCCACGAGAACAGTCGGTTTTCCCCCCAACACAAGATTCTCTCAAATGTGAGTATCAAACAAATGAGGGATGAACTCTGCCTTCAGCAATACCAGCAATGCACTAACCACTCAGCTCACAACTACGTGCAAACTCCCTGTCCAGGGAGTGGGTGTAAAACCACTGTGTCATCAGCTCACACTCGTGCTCTCTCTCTCTGATGAACCTCAGTCCCCATGACAGAAATAAATGCTTGCAAGTTTGACAATAGGTAAAGGCACATGGGCTTCTGCCACACACACTGCAGACAGGAACCCAATTTGAGGCCACCTTCACTGCTGAGCATTTGCAGTTAGAATGGCTTTGGGACCACACAGACTTTTGAGTTTGCAATCTACAGAGGGAGAATCTAGGCTTAACAGAACTATTAAAGAAACTTTAGTGTGAAAAGTGCATTTATTACTACTGTTCCTGCTGGGGAGGTTCAGCAGGGCAAACCACACCACCTCTCTTCCTTCCGCCCCAGGCACTGTGCATAGTCTGCAGGTAAGGAGAGAGTGCAGTCAACGCTAGCATCTTGAGGGCCAGTGTTATCTTAGGCCCAGACCAGGCTTCTGGTCCAAAGAATGATCCTAGAGTTGAAAGAGCCACTGACAGCTGCAGAGACCCAGGTGCTTGTTTTATTATTGCATAATGTGGAAGGCCTTCCCTACTCCAGGGAAGCTTGAAGGGCGAAGGCTTCCCAGCAAAGGGCTAATAGGTTCCTGGTCAACATCCAACTTAGCACAGTTCAGCTCTTCAACTGTAGTGTACACTTTTTCCCATCTGGAAAGTATTGTAGCTTCAATGTGGTTTAGTAAACTTAGCCCTAGGAGGCCAAGAAGCCTCCCTAAAACTTGGCCTCTGCCCTATTTACTTTGCTTTTAAGACTGACCTAATCCCCCATGGCCAATTAATCAGGTTATCTTTACTCCAATGGACCCAGGCCCTTTCCCAGTGAATCCATGTCCACCCTCATCTCCAGTGTGATCACTCAACTCTTCAATATGCCTGCCTGTTGCAAATTTCAATCATACCACCAACCTGTGCATCTCCTATGAGTGAAAATAAAACTAAACCTCACTGAGCGGGGCTATTTCAAACTTCAAACCCTTTCCCAACCCCAGACCAGATGAACTGGAGCCAGGTGAACCTCCCTGGGATGCTGGCACAGGTCCTAACCTGGTTCCCCATCATTCATTTTTAAAAATAGAAGATACCACAAAGGAGAGAAATTAATACACAGAAAACACCCACTTGTAGGACCTGCTTGTTTCTCCCTCAAGACACTCAGATATTTGGAGCCAAAGGGCTTCTGATAAGCACTAAAGCCACATCCCTTTGGATTCACCAGCCCGCCAGCAGCAAGTCATACTATTCCTAGTCACCGAGACTTTGCTATAAAGTAACACTTGCACAGGTGAGAATTGAAAGGATGCCTGGATTTCATGTATATGGCCAGAGACATGGAAGGACAGAGCTATAAAGGGCAGCAGGCAGGACAATGAGCAGACAGCAGCAGTGGCAAAGCAGCACAGACCAAAGCCCTTGGCATAATGATTAACTGGGACCAAGAGTGTAGAAGGGTAAGTCCAGATCCACTGGGGCCCCTCCGCATAGATACGAGTGCTCAGCTCTGAACTCTCAGGCTCTGCTTCCCCACATAGGCCCCTCCCACTGCCATGTACACTAATCTTGATAGGAATGGTGATGGCAATACCCATCCTTGACCTGGTTCCCCTCCTTTCAAAGTGGTATAGTCATTTCCACTTTGTGTCAAAGTTAGCAGTCCTCCTTTCTATCCCTAAGCTCTGGGAATGTCCTACCCCTGACAAGGGACCGGCTCTGGCCTTCTTCAATTGCCTATTCCCCCAAAAGCTGACAGCTTCCCACTAAAATGCTCACTCTCTCAAAACCACTTAGATCTCTTGCAAACTTATGAAATTCCTATAAGGAAGAATGGACATGCTATAAGTTACTCTTACTCCTCGTGCCTGGAAGACTGAACCAGAGAGAAAAGGCAAAGGGAATGCCACAGCTCTGACCAAGAATTACAGCACAGAGCTTCTTTTTCTGGGAGACCATATTTTACAAAAGACACCTCTGCAGCTCGGCAAAATCAAGTATTAATATATTAATTACATGCTCACGGCACAGTATCAGGGGAGCTGCTGGCATTGCTTTCCCAGCAAGAGACAGAAGAGGAACAGCAGCAGAAAGGGCAGCGCCCAACTTGTCAAGGTGCACAAGGTTTTCTCTTTCCAGGATGAAGTGGAAGTTACCGGGCTGGGTAGAGGAGGGTTATTTGATTTAAACTACTTGGCAGGTATCTGGTTAGATATAGATTTGCTCCCATGAGAAGGAAGCTCAGTTGGTGTCCCTGATGGACATTTCTTGAGTGTCTACCATGTGCACGTCACTATATTCAGTGGATGAGCCTTCCTATAGGAAGGCTGTTTCTGAGAAACCCGTGCAAACAATAATCCCTAGGGATGAGTTGCTCCTGGAACAGCCAGAGAGAAGACCTTCTCCAAGGGCCATCCTCTGAGAAGATTCCTCAAGACTCAGCCCCAGAGGCCCCCACGGTAGGAAATAAACCAAAGAAAGCAGCATTCAGAGAGAATGGGGGAACAGAGAAGGGAAAGGGCATGAACCCAAATGAGTACAAGGTTGAGTGTTCACCAGACAAGGTTGGTGTTTGGTTCTGAGTGAACCAGAGACTTAAGTACTTGCGGTCAGGTCAGCAGCTTCCTTTGGATGAGCCTCCAAAAGGCGACTGACCAGGTAACTGCTCTCAAGGAATAAAAGAGTGGAGTGTAGGGCTTGTAAAAAACAAGCCAGTTTCAGCCACTTTGTTCCCCCAGGAGAACAACCTTTAGCACCTGAACACTAAGAATGACTCCATTCTCAGAACTCCCCCTCCCCCCAGGAGGTAGGTAAGATTATTTATCCCCATTTGGCAGCTGGGGAGGAAGTGAAAGAGTGAGAGGTCACAAGACTTGCCTAAAGCCTTTGACAGAGCAGAGATCAGACCTCAGAGGTTTGAGACTCCTGATGACAGGCCAGGCCTTGACCCATCCGAAGACATTTCTAAAGGAAATGCCAGGATCGTACCCTGGGAGAAGCCTCACCAGAGAGCTAGGTGGACAATACCCTGAGTTGCTTCAAGAGTCTAAAGACCCCTGAAATACAAACAAAAAACCCACCCACTCACCTGAAAGCTGGTGGGGGAGCCTAATTCTCAATACCCAGTAGAATCCCACAGCCTGAGCTGCTGCTAAAAGTTGTAAAAAAAAATGTGGGCTTAAGACACAGAGGGGCAAATGCAACTAAGATTGAAAATACTCTTTGCAGAGGAATACCCCACCACAAAATGAAATCTAGGTGACTTCAGGTATTGAACGTCATCGAGACTATCCCAGAACCTTAGAGCTGGCTGTAACAGGGGACAGCGAGGAGAGGAAGTGGAATTAAAATGGGAGGAGCTGTGTAAAAACTGCCCTGCCAGGTGTATTTGCCCTGACCCAGGGCACAGTTCTCTTCTTGTTTCTCCACCAAGCTGTTCTGCTGCAGAGGGGACATGATTCTTTCTGAGTTTTTAAAAACAGAGAATATAATTGAAGGGGAAACCAAAGAGACCCCTACACACCAAAAACTAGAGGTCTTGGTCAAAGTAAACAAAACCAGTTTTGCAGAAGGGGAAAGGCAGTGCAGCTACAAATTAGGCCCAGGTCAAGAAACCATGCAGAGGGGTTAGGGCAGCAGAAGGGTGGGAGCCACGCAGGCACTTAGGCACAACACAGACAGAGGAGGGGTGCAGGGCCTGGGGAAAAGGGTCCACTGGTTCTTTCAGAAGTTACCATTACCAACTAGATTCAGTACAATTTTGTAGCAGGTCTGGCATGCTGGGTAGGAGGAGCTTTGTTAGGTCAGCTACCTTTCCAAAAAACCTGCCTAGAGCCCGGTCAGTCTGGCCATAAGGTCTTTCTCCCAAAGTCCCCTGACTGGGTCCCCGCCAAAGCATTACTTCTCTCTCCTGGCGCTAGAAGCTTGTGGAAGGAATGGTGAAGAGAAATGGAAAAGGGCTGAAGCAGGATCAACCAGAGTCCCGCAGATGAGTACTCCTCCCCCACAAACCAGCCATAGACATCTGTGTAACAAAATTACCCTTTAAAGTGCACAGCTCTCAAAAGAAGAGTTCTGGGTGGGAACCCCCTTATTCCAACCATGGGGCCTCCTGCCCTCCCACCACAAAAAAGGAAAAAAAACTTCAGACAGTTGAACTGCTACTATAAGCTGTGTATCATCATTTTTGGCTCTTTCTTTGCTCCCTCCCTCTGCCACCTGCCCCCCAAACCTGACTTTCCCCTTTCAGGAGCTAGGAATGGGGAGGAAAGAACAGGGAGGCCCTGATATTTGGAATGTTTCTTATTCTGCATGCACCCCCTTACTTCCTTGGCCCAGGCCTGCTGCTCCCCATCACAGTATCCTCTGGGGATGTCCTAAAGGATGCCACAGGGTAATGAGCAACAGACCCTGCCTTGGGAGGCTGCCTTCATGCCTCCTCTCCCCTCACCTCCCGCCCCCAATCTCACTGCCAAGAGAGCCATTCCCTGCTCGACATGTGCAAATCCTCTGCCTGCTCACGGTGAGGCCCAGCTCTGGGGTAGAGCCCCAGTCTGGTCAGGGAGAGAGGTTCATTTTCCTGCATTGGAACGCCCTTCGATGGACAGCTTTACCTCCTGTGGAATGAAAGAGGGACGGAGCATCGCAGCCCGTGCCTCCTCCCCTTGCATGCTGTATCTTTGGAAGCTCGGAGCTGGCCAGCAGGCCTGAGCACCAGGCTCTGGCTGCGGGGGCTCTACCATTCGGGAGCCCTCGCCCGACGGCTGGCTCTTCCCCTCACTGTCACATTGCTCTCTGGGTCCCAAGACTGTCCTCTCAGGCCTTTCTCGGGGGGTACCCAGCTGGCCTGGGGGAGCACAGCTGGCCTGAGAAACTGAATTACTGTTCAAGCTCTGTAAACTGATAGAGATGCAGACATCTCCCACCTGTAGCCGATGGCAGGGCAGAGAGAAGAGCTGTGCAGTCCGCCCAGGGCTGCAAGAGGACCAACCCTGACCATAGACAAAAAAAGGGTGCTCGGGGGGCACTTCGATGCTCACTTTGCTCTGCTGCTCACCAACCACGAAATGCAGCATGACAAATCCAGGCCACTGGCTCTCCTGAATGTCCACGACTGTGCTAGAGTCAATCTTCAGCCCCCCGCTCACTTCGGCACTGCGCACAAAATCCTGGGTCTGGAGGTCCTCCACCCGCTTCAGCTCCCCTGTAGCCAGCTGGATGATGGCGCCTTTCATGAAATGGGAGGGCAAATGGGAAGAGGTAATGGGGGGTGGCGTTGGCTCCTTGTCTGTGAAGATGGCTCTGGCCTGCGTGTCCGAACTTGATGCCATCAGGATCTCCGAGCCCATGGGCAGCAGGCCTGCATCGGTTCCAGTGGGCACCAGGTTGCCATTGGCTACAACCATTGCTTTGGGTAAAGGTCTATGTTTCACCGGTTCCTGATGGGACTGAGGGCAGAACCCCCGGGCCTGGTTTTTCTCGGCCATCTCTGCTGGGTTCCTGGCTGCCCCTCGCCCCTCACCCTGATGGTCAGGGGTATGATGGGACAGGTTGAGGGGGCTAGGCTCATCCTTCCTCTGAGCTGCCACCACACGATAGTCCTGAGAAGCTAGAGCGCCAACCACCCGCTGGACCTCGAGGTCGGTGTCGGGGGTCCCTCGGTGTGCTGGCACCGCCACCTCTACCCGTGCAGTCTGAGAACCTGAAAACAACTGTCCATCCACCACACATTCTACCACTGGCACCGGTCCCTGGCCGTCGCCCTTGTTGTTGGGGGAGTCGAGGGCTTCGCTTTCCCGTCTTACTAAATTTCTCTCTCGCTGTCTCTGTCCATTGGCAGGGGCTGCTTCCAGAGCAGACTGGCCCTCCTGAGGGGTAAGAGCTGGGCTGGCACCAGTTGGAAGGGCTTCATGCAAGGTGTACCCAGCAGGTAGCCTGGACATCTGATAATAAATGGGCATCCGGCCTGGAGCGAGGTCCAGTGGCTGAGTACTGGAGTGATGTGGCAACTGCCCAGGTGGGGAGGTGGCAGAGGGGGTTTTGTTGAATGAGTGAGCCGGGGATGAAGCCTGGGGGGGAGGAGTGGTTCCTTCTGCCAGGAGCGAGGCATATGGCACGAAGTGTGGAAGGTGGGAAGTGGCAAGGTTGGCAGAAGGGGAAAGGAGGGGACTCGGTAGGAAGTTAGGTGGCACAGCATAGGGAAGGCTATAAGGAGACCCAATAAATTGCAGAGAGGTGGAGGGGAGCTGAGCATAGTGGATTGGGGGATAGGGGATTCCTGGGTGTTGAATCAGTGAAGAGGCTACATTAAATGTGGGGGGCAAAGGGCTCATGTTCACCACAGATGGGAGGCCAGTTGGGGAGAAGGTGGCAGGTGGCACAGCCACCTTATACAGCATGCCATACTGGTCCACCGTCAGGCCAGTGATGGCCTCAGCCCCATCACCCCCCAGGCTGACTCTGGCTCCTGCCTGGCTCTGCCCTGCCACCACCACCCCTCGGGACCACTCAGAGGCATCACTGGAGGGTGTGTGGTTAGTTGAGCAGCTGGTAGTTCTCCCCATATCCTCGCTGGTCACGGGGAGGTCTCGTTTCTTTGGTGGAAGGCATTCCTGACTCCTTTCATGAACAGGTTTCATATTGCTTTGTGATGTTCCTGGAGCCTGGAAGGGGTCGGCTTGCTCCTTGGGGCATCAGAAGGGGCTTCTCTGTGGCTCCCCTGAACCCTCTCTGCTGCTGGCTGGGGCGCCCACATCTGCTAGGGAACAAATCAGAGGCAAAGAAAAGTAACCTAGGGGTGAACCAAATCAAAGGAAACAGCAGGAATGTGCCCACGCAGGAAGATGTAACAAAAGGGACTTTGGAAAAAAGGAGGTATGAGAGAGGGCCAGACAAGGATGCTACCCTCCTTACTCATTCAGCCTAGGACATGAAAGAAACAGTCATAAAACCACAGAGCTACAAGGACAAGCATTCAACAAACCCAGAGACCAACAGCTTCATGATTAGTTGTGCCTCTGATGGGGACCTTGACTATTCTCAGCATTCTTCCCTAAGAGGGAATTGAACACATGGTCTTTGCTGCTGGCTCTTTCCTCCTAAATTTCTCCTTTTGCCACCAAAGACTACTGTGCTATCTTCTTTCCTGAACATATGACCTCATCCTCACTTCCTTTTGCCAGCCTCATTTGGATTATGATCTCACCTATTCCCAGTCCACCACCTCAGGCCTGATTAAACTCTCATTCTCTTTTGCCTCATATCACCACCATTTCAAGAACCCAGGTGTAAATAAGTACTCAGGTCTGCTTGTGTCTTTCTTTTTTTAAACCTTGCTCCCTAAACCTGTTATGAACATTAGTATCTTCTTTGTTCCAGGAAATAACCACATTCAAACTTGGACTCTGTGGGGAGAGTGATTGTAATAGTGTTCTACCATTTATTTGTTTTTCCTCCTCCCCAAAGAGCAACAAAACTCGTCTGACCTCACATAGACTTCGTGTTCCCTAGTCTGGCAAGACTTCTTTTCTTCTCATTGACCACCTGCAATTTGCCTTCTTCATTCATTCCCTTTCCTTTTTCTTTTTGTGTTTTCTTTTGTCAATGGCTCCTTTTCCACTGAAGGTCTGCTCTAGGCACCGCTTCCTAAAATTCTGATTCCATTTCTCCAAATATGCCTGTTTGTTACTATCTTAGGTCTGTATGATTGGTAAGAAAGTTCTTTCTCCCCTTTCTCTTGTTGTCACCTTTCATACATGCTTTTGTCCATTGTCATAAAGTATCTTTTTGGTCTGAACACTTCAATGCATATGAACTTTGTCACCTATTTCTTCCAATCAGGCTCCAGTGCTTTAGATCTGAAAAGAGATTTCTATATTACAGTCTGTTCTGTTTTCCACTGTTGAATCCCAGATATATATACATATATATATATATATATATTTTTTTTTTTTTGCAAAAAGGTATCCAAAGCTCCTGTAATACCTGAGCTTCTGAGCAGCTGTAGTAAGAAGCAGTGTTCGCCCCGCTGGTGTGGGAGCCTAGAAAACAGACATAGGGATAAAGTAAGAAGGAGCCTCACCTCTGACCCCTCCCAGGAGCATCAAGAAAAGTAATTCAAAAGCCACAAAGACATTAAACTCCATGAATCCTTGCCTAGTACTCTTCTCTAGCGGCAACAGCACATGTATCTGTAGGAAGACATCCCTGGAAAAAACTTCCCATGTCAAATCTCACTGTTTGCCTTAACATTAGATCCTTCGTTCTCTACCTGTACCTCTTCCCCAAAGGTTAAATTTACTTCCAATCCCAATCTCAGGTAAATGCACAAATACAAGTGGAAGACTCAACATTGTTCCCAAGTGAACAACGGGAAGCAGGAAAAATCAACTTCACAGATTTCACTTTTACTCCGACTGATGAAAACACGGTTGTGGAGGTTATTTAAATGAGAAAAGCGGCACTAGAGAGAAAAGAACAATTATTTATGTTTCTGGGGCAGAAAAAGAGGTCAAGGGGGAGTTACTCAAGGGGAAGCCTTACTAACAGATTTTCAGGATTAAAAAAAAAAAAAAAGAAAGGTCTCCCGTGTGTGTGTGTAAAATTTCCTGAGTGACAACTCTGTACAAGTGCTGAATCAGGTAGGACAAAAATGAAAAACATTGCCTTGCTCCTCATGCAGCTAACCGTGGGAAAACAAACTCCTGCCAAACTCAAAATCTGAATCCACACATGCCAGAAACATCAAGTGCTGAAGCACAGAGCCTTCATCCCTGAAAACACAGAAAGCAGTACTGACCAGGGCTCAGAAACTACCCATTATCCCGCCCAAGTCCTACAGAACCAAGCTGAAGGCAACATTTCTCTTAAGATTGGCCCAGTGGGGATATGTATATATACACACACACACATATATACATCCATACACACAAGAAGATGAGGAGAGGAGACACCAAGCTGGAAAGACAAATTCTTAGTCCCACAAACACGAATTACACCAGGGGCACAAGTCGTGCATCCCTCCTTTGCTGGGCAGTTCCAGTAAAGGAAAAGCCGTCAGCTTTCTCCCTCATGCCCGGCCAAACACTGGGGTCACACCTTCAACCCTAGGCATGAGCCTGGCTCCCTGCAACTAAAACACTCAAGAAAATAACCTGCCTCCAGGTCACTGCGGGGTTAGCCAAACACAAGCTCCTGAAAGGGCTGCAAGAGGCAAAGGGTCTGCGGGAATGACAACAAAGGGCCCAGCCTGGGTACCGGGTGCCCGCCGCGCCAAACCCATTTCGGAATCGGAAACCTCGGCCTCGGGAGGGGCTCCCGGGGGGGTTTCCCAAGGGGAAGACGCAGCCTGCCGCCCCGCTAACGGGGGAGGGGGGCTGCTCCGGAGAGGCTGCCAACGCTGCCAGCAGAACCCAGGAACCGAGAGGCTGAACCCTGCCAGGGACCAGCCTTCGCGGGGGGCGAGAGGTGCGCCCGCCAGGAGGAGAGGGGCTTGGAAGATCCCAGGGGGCACGGCTTCCTGGGACGCCCCAACCCTTGCTCCAAAAAGGGTGGGGGCCCGGATGGGGAATTCGGCGTTTGGGGGGGAGGGGTCGTCCCTTCAAGCAGAGGGGCAGGGGCGAGGGCCCGCAGGTGATGCTTCCTTGTTTGGGGGCCCCTTCCTGCCCCGAGGACTCGGGACACCCCGGCCAGAGGGACCACAGCCGCGGGGTGGCCGTGGCCCGAGGCCGCCCCCCGGGCAGCGTCCGCGGGGAGTGCGCGGGGGTCCGAGCGCGGCCTCTTTCGCCGCCTCGGTCCGCGGTTCGACGGGGCGGCGGGCTCCGGGGGCCGCTTCCTCCGGAGCCCCGAGCCCAGGCCCGCTTGGCCTCCGCGGGGCCGGCGCGGGGCCCTCGCTCCCGGCGACACTCACCGGCCCATCTCACGGCGCTCTCCGGGCTCCACCCGCTCGTGCCGGAGCCGCCGCCACCGCGGCCGCCGCCATCCCCGGCCCCGGAGCCGCCCCACACCCAGCGCCCCCCCCCGTCGGGCGCCCGGAGATGACGTAAGCGCGTCCCGCCCCAGGCGCGCGGAGATGGCGTCACAGCTGGGCCCGAGAGTGACGCCCCGGAGTCCGCCCCCCCCACTGCCCCCCCAACCCCAGACGGGAGGGGGCTGGCCATCTGCCTGTCACCTCCGGCGCCCGCTCGGATGGGAAAATGAAATCTTCCCCAGGGGGCGGGGTCACGTGAACAGGGCTGGGCCGACCCCTCAGCTTGACCCCACAATGACCCCGCAGTCTTGCTACTCCAGGAAATTCTAGGGGTTCCTGAGCTGAACCCTGGGGTGTGGCCATTGGCGATCCCGGGCTTTCTGGGCCTGATTTCTTTTCTTTTCTTACCTTTCCTTTTCTTTCTTTCTTTCTTTAAATATATTTTTATTGATTTCAGAGAGGAAGGGAGAAGGAGAGAGAGATAAACATCAGTGATGAGAGAGAATCATTGATCGGCTGCCTCCTGCAGCCCGCCCACTGGGGATGGAGCCAGCAACCCCTGCTTGTGCCCTTGGCCGGAATCGAACCCGGGACCCACTGAGCCAAACCAGCTAGGGCCTGAGCCTGATTTCTGAAACCCCGGAGGCCACCAGGCCCAGGAGAATAAAGACATCCCCCTGGAGACCCAGGGTGGAGATGGGAGCTCTTTAAGAATTCAGAAAGGGCCCTAGTGGATAGATAGAGCGTGGGCCTGCGGACTGAAGGGTCCTGGGTTCCTTTCTGGTCAAGGGCACATGCCCGGGTTGCAGGCTCAATCCCCAGTAGGAAGCGTGCAGGAGGTGGCACCATCAATGATTCTCTCTCATCATTGATATTTCTATCTCTCTCTCCCTCTCCCTTCCTCTCTGAAATCAATAAAATTATATTAAGAAAAAAAGAATTCAGAAACCTCTCTGAGGGGATCTAGGGGGAAAGTGAAACAAGCAGTGGGAGGTTTGTGAGAAATGAGAGGAAGGGGTTTAGTACAATGGGGAGCCGCTTGACTATGTGATGCAATGTTAGGTCAGCCTTCATTGCCAATTAACTGCTAGTCAACTTCATAGTAACATGAACTTCTGATTAACTTAACTGAAATAAAATGGACACCATTTGAATTTGTGCTTCGGTTACAATACATCTATGAAAAAAAAAAAGTAGTTCTGCATACAGAAAAAAACAAACTAAACTGAGAAAAAAATACGTTTACCTGTTGGAGAGACATTGGATTCTGAGTGGATTTTTCCCCTTGCAGTTTCTGCAAACTTTGTTCAATAAATAATCATTGCTTTTTGGCTGATTTAAAAAGTACTGACTGTGCCCTGGTCCCTACTAGTTCCTATCTGGCCTTTGGAAAGTCATTTTACTACTTGACTTGGGTTTGCACTTCTGCAAAATGAGAAGCTCAAATTAAATGAAGGGGTGGGAGTAAAATGTAAATAGAAGAGCTCTAAAAATTTTAAGTTAAAAAAATAGGCAAACATGTACAGTGCAATATCATGTATTTAATGTTAAAAGACATAACATTATAGTTGCATAGGTATCTGTATAGAAAGAGTGGAAGGATGTGTAACAACTAGCTAATGTTGGTTATTTTGGGAGAGGAAAGTGGAATTGGATGGTGGCCGAAAGAAACAAAAGGAACTTATGTTATTGTTTGGATTTTTAATGAAAATATTACCTTACAAATATTAAAATAAGTTAAAATAAAAATAAAGAAATACAAATAAAGTGTATGACCTCTAAGATTCTTTCAAGGGAATCCTTAGATCTCAATTTCAATATTTTCTCACCTTGATGGGGACAAAGAATCATCAAAATTATTGAACTGCACACACAAACACACCCACACCCACACACACACACACACACACACACACGCACACACCCCTTGAACCCGTGGGTAAAAAATAGTGAAGCTACTGATGTGTAGCCATCTAAATCAGAGGGCTTTGCTTCATGAATATTAATATTACTCATGATAGTCATCTCTCTCAGTTTGGCCAAGAAGGAAGTCCTGTGGTCACTCAGTGATTCCGTTTTAGCACTAGCTGGCATTCTGGTTTCTAGGTTCATTGCTTAGCTCACTAAACTGGCATTAAGATTATAAAACAGACCTCCTTGAACCATCCAGGTGTATTCAAGGGTAGCTCATTTTTCCCAGATCAAGAAACACACTCCGAGGTCTGTTTTTCAGACAAGTTGAAAGAGCAGACACAGGTAGATGCAAGCAAAAAAAAAAATGTTTTTGACTACCAGCCATTAATTACAATTACGTGGTGCAAAGGCATGTCTGGTTAAAAAAACAGGATGTTCTGATTGGTGAAACACAGGTTGATTTCCTGGTTTGGTGCTGCAGTCGCAAAAGGGTGGGTCATCTCTCTGCTGTCTCCTGTTTTAGAAATCTTTACTCCAAGCAATCCTGATGTCTTTGGTCGTACATATTGATGGTAGGAAGCTCCATCGTGTCCGTTTAACAGGAATAGTAGTGATAAGTAAACTAACATAGTTTTTAGACTTAAGACACTGAAATAACCAAATAACCAAAAGTTACCTTATCTCTCTAAAAAATCTGTATTATTCTCTGATATCTGGATAATTCTTATGTAAGTTATTTCTATTAAGTAAACCTGGGGTCTTAGACACTGTAACTGGCTCAATAGATAGTTGTTGAATGAAATCTCACAAAGATACCCCACACCGGGAGACCTTCCTTGCTAATTCCTTTGCTCCCATTTCCTCATTTATGTTCTCTTACCTAGTTAACCTGTTTGCTATCTGTTCTCAATCTCATCTGAGAGTCTTTCTGTTTTATTTCACCAAGTTTTTTTTTTCTTCCCCCCACAGAGTTTAAAGAACTGATGAACTGAAAGGAGATTTTTGAAGGTATTTGGGATATCTGGGGACTGGAGAATTAAACTGCAATGTTTTTTTCCACCTCTTCGCTTCCCCTAGGTTCATATTGAATTCCTGCGATGTGTGCAGATTGAATTTGTGCGATGGGAGAGCCTACGCTACCCTGTTGGTAGGAAAATAACGACAAAACCCTGCCGGGCTGGTTCTGCTCCCTGAGCAGGCAGGAGTTTCAAACCAGCTCTCCGTGTTGCCTGTTTCCTCTTTGTGGTTTTTCTAGACCTGTACCACAGGCATGGAAAGCTCAGACCATTATCCCAGTTTGGTTTTATTTTTGGTGTTTTGTTTTTTGTTTTTTGACGTTAAGGGATCAAACCAGAGAGAAGTACTTGTAACTTGGGAAACCATGTGTGTCATACCAAGGGGAGGAGGTGGCATTTTTCCTACTGTCGCATCTTCCTGCTTGTGTGCTTCAGCATGTACAGGTGTCATGTTAGGAAAGGAGATTCCACGTTGCATGCCAGTGGCAGAAGACAACAACTAGCCTCAAGCATGTATTGAAATTATTGAGATACTGAGCAGATTTTAGCTTTCCCTAGGAACATGTTGGTGCCTGGCATTGGATGTCCAAATATGGAAACGTGCCATGTTTTAAGCTTGTGTTTTATCTACTTCTCTGAAAAATTCTATGTCCTCATTCCCATGTGCTTTTAATGCTATGTGATCTCTTCCTATGGGGATTTCCCTTTCAAATTCATTAATATTTTATTTAGAAGGAGGACTTACAATTTCTCCATAAGTGAGTAATATGTCCTGTGGGGAGGGGAATCACACTTTATTGTCTGCTTCCTTAGACACTTGCCAAAGACTTTCATGTTTGTCAGAAACTTCCTGCAGAACTCTCAAAAGTTTCAGCAAAAACACTGACGACTGGAATAAATTGGAGGAAACGTAACCCCTATTTGAATGGCAAGAGTCATGTGTGTGGAATGGGTCCGTGGAGAAGCAAGTGCCGCCAGGCCATTACTGAACAGTTTGGAATTCATTCCATGGGGCTTGTTGAATGAATAAAGTGGATGTTGAGAAACTGGAGCTCCCATGACACTGATAAACTCTCTCTTTCTCTGGGAAACTTGCTCAGAGTTGCTGTGCCTTGTGGTGAAATCATGTTCGGCTCTGTCTTCAAAGCTGATCGCCTTCGGGTCAACTTGCAACTGGTTGTCAATCGCCTAAAACTCCTGGAAAGAAAGAAAAGTGAGTAATACTCCAGGCAGGCCAGCCAGCTGCCTCTCTGATCACTGTGCAATCTCCCCTCAACTCCAGTGCGCCGGCTGATATACCTCCTAAGACCTTACTAACCAACTTTGGAATTTATTTGTTTTAAAACTGTAAGAGAAAGTTTATTTAGAAAGTCACAGAGGTAGAAGTGAGCTGTAGAAGTGTAGAAGAAATGGACTCAGGAAGCATGTTACAGAGGCAAAGGAAGGGCCCTTGTAGCTTAGGAGAAAGGGAAACACCAACTTTGGAATTAAAATAATGTTTCTGACTGGGGTGAATGTGGGAATGATTATTACAGTGATCAAATCATTTAAAAATTTCCAGTGTCAGCTCTGTATCTTGACTGTATCAATATTGCTGTCTTGGTTTTGCAAGATGTTATCACTGGGGAAAACTCAGTCAAGTGTACCCGGGGTCTCTCTGTATTACTTCTTACAAACTTCAAGTGACTCTACAATGATCTCAAAATGAAAAGTTTACATTTTTAAAATTTATTGTTGACAGTATTACAGATGTCCCCCCTCCCTCCCCCTTTAGCCAGTCTCTCCCCCTCCCCAGGTCTTCACCACAATATTGCCTGTGTCCGTGGGCTATGCATGTATGTTCTTTGGTTAATCTCTTCCCTCCCCTCCCCTCTGAGATCTGTCAGTCTGTTCTATGCATCCATGCCTCTGGAAAAAAAAGTTTAATTTTTAAAATATGTTTCCAAAGGTTTAAAATGTAAAACAATATCCCGATTCCTGGACTTCTCTCCACCGAGGCAGAGAACTTTATCTAGTCAAACTTTTTCAAATGTGCAGTAGCTATGAAGTTTGAACTCCCAGGCACATTTTTTCTGGAAAGGATTCCTTATCCTTTTTCAAATATCACCCCCCCGACCACCACCACCACCCAAGCCATTTCTTCCATCAAGTGACAGCTCAAGTAGCATTACACTCATGCATAGAGGTAATACGTGTTATCGTCTTTTTTTTTTTTTAATCTTCTATCTTTAAGTCCAACTGACTAGTATTTTCTGTTGCCTTTTGCTCTCTCCTCATTCCACTGGGTCACATGAGTGGTTAACCCCTCGATAAATAGAAAAACTGATGATCTCTGATTATGAGGAGGATTCCAGTGAAATAAGTATTGTACATAAATGCAGTTTTCTGAGTGCCCCCAGAAATCTAGGGTGTCCCAAAAAATGTATTGAGTAAGTATAAAGACTGTGTTTATTAAAATACATTTCATTTCAAAATTGAGCTATCAGCTGTCAAAGTGTATATACCTTTTTTGGAACACCCTGTATAATTTATTGGTAGAGAGGTAGTAGTTGCTCAAAGTTTCAAATTGATTTTTGGGCGTTACTTAGCCAAATCTTGGCAGCGGGTGTTTGGGCATTATGTAGGTAATAGGGGCCTAAGGAAAGTACCCCAAATAAATGAAATTTAGCCAAATCCAGTGGTTCCCCTTTTGTTACCATGAACAATGAAGATGACATTGATGACATCCACAGAACTTGTGAATTTTAAAATGCATGCTCACATATTCTTTTATTTGATCCTGATAATCCAGTGATGCATATTATTATCCAGATAAGTTTTATACTCTTCTTACAAATGAAGAAATTTAAACAAGAAGTACCTGAGTGATTTGAGATAAATAAAGCAAATTAACCCTGTCTTATCTAAATTGATTTCTTTAAAAAAAATATTTTTATTGACTCCAGAGAGAAAGGGAGAAGGAGAGAGAGATAGAAACATCAATGATGAGAGAGAATCATTGATCGGCTGTTTCCTGGCACGCCTCCCACCGGGGATCGAGCCCGCAACCCGGGCATGTGCCCTGACCGGGAATCCAACCATGAAAGCTCAACCACTGAGCCACAACAGCCGGGCTAAATTGATTCTTTTTTTTAAAGGAGGTAATAATCTTGACCTTCCAGGGTTCTATTTGTAACACAAACTATAACTGGACACACAATAAATGTTTGTTGATATTAGGATGGGTGTAACAGCAGCTTAGCATTTATCTGAAACACATCCATTTTTCTATGTGTGTGCTTTATGCTGCAGCCGAGCAGGCCCAGAAAGCAAGGAAGGAGGTCGCTGACCATCTGGCTGCTGGGAAAGATGAACGAGCTCGGATCCGAGTGGAGCACATTATACGGGAAGACTACCTCGTGGAGGCCATGGAGCTCCTGGAGCTGTATTGTAACCTGCTGCTGGCCCGGTTTAGCTTGATCCAGGCCACAAAGTGAGACCTATTGAACTGGCATTGTTTCTCAGGCTCAAAGGAGTGATAAGGCATCCCTGCCCCCTATGGCTCTAACTTTTTGGGACTTTGTCTCTGCTTGAGAAGAATATGTCAGTCCAAAGAGCCATTTAAAAATAAACCAAATAGATGTCCTTCCTCCCTCCCCCGCCAAGCTGTAAAAATATAATATAAACTTGTAGTTAGAAAAGTTGGAAAATACAGCCAAAAAGAATCCATGATCACCAAATCTGGAATGAGGATTTGATTTTGGTATATTTCCTTTCAGTTTATATATGTATACTTAAATGTATGTATGTGTGTATAAACGCAAGTCTGTGTGTTATATACTTTTACATACATATATGTACATAGAAGTCCATATTCTAATTTCAGCTTAAAAATTTTATTATAACATTATATTTTGAACTTTGTCCACGGACTACCTTTGAAGCAGTGAAAGAGGGAAGCAGAAAGCTCCGAGCTTCATGATTTTGTGCTTTGCTTAGGGACCTGGATTCTGGTCTGGCTGAATCTGTGTCTACACTAATCTGGGCAGCTCCTCGACTCCAGTCAGAGGTGCCTGAGCTGAAAATAGTAAGTTTGATGAGTTTTAACTACATGTGCCGTGATTGTAAGTGAGAGTATCACTAATGTTACTCATTTAGACTTGGGGAATCCTATCCTCTCTTAAAGAATAACCCCCTCCAAAAGTATTTTTCCGTTAGTCTTTAAGTGAAAAATAAATACTGTTTTTAATGACAATGTAGGGGGGGGGAACCTTGCCTAAAAAAATAAAACTTGAAATTAAGTTTCTTTTATGGGGGAAAGGGTGTCATAATTTATATGGTGTTTAGAATTAGAGGTTTATCAGATACTTAAAAACAAAGCAAAGTGCTTATTTGCCTTTATTATTTTTTTAAATCCTCACCCGAGGGTATTTTTTTCATTGATTTTCAGAGAGAGGGAAAGACAGAGAGAAATATTATGTGAGAGAAATACATCGATTGGTTGCCTCCTGCACCCTTAACCGAAATCGAACTCGGGACCCTTTGGTCCGCAGGCTGATGCTCTATCCAAACCGGCTAGGACGCAAAGTGCTTATTTTGTTATTGCTGTTTGATGCTAAAAGAACATCGTTCCAGGGAGGTAACATGCAAGTGGTTTTTGCTCTTTCGGTTGTTCTTTATCGAAAGCAAATCTGCCATAACTTGACGCATTTTGCCTTTCTTTCTTTCTTGGTGATGGTTTGCTGCAGGTATCTGATCAGCTGTGTGCAAAGTACAGCCAAGAGTATGGTCAACTGTGTCGAACCACTGAGATTGGAACTGTCAGCTCTCGGGTAGTACCACTTCCAGAGGCACATTTTTCTAAACCAAGAAGTCTGGGAAAAGCTGAGCAAACTCAGAACACACAATTCTGTGCAGAGTGAAAGAATAATAGAAGTAATTTTTGCATTGGAGGCAGAGGAACTTGGATAAAGCTCTTGGATTAGGGAACTCAGAATTATTTTGGGGGGGACTCAGATCTTTTAAAGGGGGTCAAATATATGGTGACAGATAGGAACTAGATTTTTGGTGGTCAGCACCTTATAGTGCAGTGATGGTGAACCTTTTGAGCTTGGCGTGTCAGCATTTTGAAAAACCCTAACTTAACTCTGGTGCCGTGTCACATATAGAAATTTTTTGATCTTTGCAACCATAGTAAAACAAAGATTTATATTTTTGATATGTATTTTATATATTTAAATGCCATTTAACAAAGAAAAATCAACCAAAAAAATGAGTTCGCGTGTCACCTCTGACACGCGTGTCATAGGTTCGCCATCACTGTATATAGTGTATACAGATATCTATACTAATAAAAGGTTAATTGCTAATTAGGATGGACGTCTTCCGGATGACCATCCGGATGTCCTTCAGGACAAAGCCGCAGTGGCTGCCTGAGGCTCAGGCAGCCATGGTGGCCACCAGTGGCAGCAGCAGTGGGGTGATGGGGGTGGCGCCTTCCCCTGATCAGCCAGGTTGCCTCCAGCAGAGGGAGGCCAGACTGCGGCTTAGGCTGGGGGCCAAGGCAGAGGCAGTTAGGGGTGATCAGGCCGGCAAGGGGGGAAGGTAGGGGGGATCAGGCTGGCAGGGGGGCAAGGTAGGGGTGATCAGGCCAGCAGGGGCCAAGGTAGGGGTGATCAGGCAGGCAGGCAGAGGCAGTTAAGGGCGATTAGGCAGGCAGGCAGAGGGGTTAGGAGCCAGCGGTCCCAGATTGCGAGAGGTATGTCCGTCTGCCCATTTAGGCCCGATCCCTGGGGCCTAAACTGGCAGTCGGACATACCCTGAGGGGTCCCAGATTGGAGAGGGTGCAGGCCGGGCTGAGGGACCCCCTCCTCACTCCCCCTGCACAAATTTCATGCACTGGGCTTCTAGTTGATTTATAATGTTCTACACCTGAAACTTATATAATGTTAGTAACCAATGTTACCTCAATTAAAAAAAATTAGAGTAGCCCTGGCCAGTTTGACTCAGTGGTCAGAGTGTCAACCTGCATACCAAAGTATCTCGGGTTCAATTCCCAGTTAAGGGCACGTACCTCAGTTGCATGTTCAATCCCCAGGGAGCGTGCGGGAGGCAAATAATCGATGTGTCTCTCTCACTTCAATGTTTCTCGCTCTCTTCCCTCCTTCCCCTTTCCTTCCACTCTCTCTAAAAATCAATGGAAAAGATATCCTCCCTCCTCGGGTGAGGATGAAAAACAAAACAAAAACTAGAGTCAATAAAACTGAGATGATTCTTTATTTTTTAAAATATATTTTTATTGACTTCAGAGAAGGGAGGAGAGAGATAGAAACATCAATGATGAGAGAGAATCATTGATCGGCTGCCTCCTGCACGCCCCCTGAGGGGATCGAGCCCTGAAATCTGGGCATGTGCCCTGACCAGGAATTGAACCTGTGACTTCCTAGTTCATAGGTCGATGCTCAACCACTGAGCCATACCACCTGGGCTGATTCTTTATTAAGAAAACATTCATTTTCCTAAATGTAATTGGCCTAATAATACAAAAGAAGTTATTGAAACTTTGAAGTTTCAAATTTTGAACATCTTACATAATTCAGGACTGACATTCAGCTGGACACAGGCATCTGGCTGAAGTAGTTGTTTCAGGCTGTTGGACATTCTCATCACTCAGGGTATCCATTCTGATTCCTTAATATCTTGCTGTACTTGTTGTTGTGTATGGTGAATATTACCTCTGACATAATTCAAATACTTGTCATAAAATCAGAATTCTTGATTCACAATATTTTTATGTCTATTTTTTTCTCTTATTCTACTTGGTTTGAGGTTCCTTCACCCCAGGAAAGGGCTGTCTTATAAGGAGGGCCCCTCCTTGTTGTTGCTAAATTATATATCTTTTTTTTAAAAATCCTCACCCGAGGATATGGTTTTCAATGATTATAGAGAAGGAGGAAGGGAGAGGGAGAGAGATGTGAGAGAGAAACATCTACCAGTTGCTTCCCATATGCGCTCCTAAGGGGATTGAACCCACAACCTGGGTACACTCCCTGACCAGGAATCAAACCCTAGACTCTTCTTTGCATGGGAAGATGCTCTAGCCAATTGAGCCACATCGGCCAGGGCATTAAGTTATATTTCTTTTTAAAATCATACATCTTAAATAACAGTGACCAGAAAGATGAAGAGCAATGATGCAGAGGTGAAAAATCACCTACACTTTTTTTGTTTCTTATTTTGTAAGGGTGTGTGTGTGTGTGTGTGTGTGTGACCAACTCTTGTTATGTTCTTTATTTTGCAGGTAATGTATAAATTAAATGTGAACAGTCTACCCCAGGTTTTAGTGGAACAGTATCTGATAGAAATTGCTAAGAACTATAATGTGCCATATAAATCCAAGGCAACCATCAAGGTGAGTACTTTCAAGAAGGGAGGATTGATTTAAAGCTGAGGTTTTTATTGTGCACTGGAAGATTTTTTTTTTCTACTTATGAATGTGGCTCTCGGGGTAGCTGTCAGGATTGTAAATCAGGTGAAATTTGTACCTTTTCTCCGCCCACATACTTTTCCTAACAGAGTTTGACTTCTGGTAACCGTCAGATGACCCTTCTAAGTTGTTAACAATAGAAGAGAGATAATAATTGTTAATAGTTATTAACAAATCTCATAAGCTTGTCGAGATGATTAAATGAGCTAACACGTACAAGGGATTTAAATGCAATGCCTGGCCCATCACAGATGTAATCAAATTTTGCTTTTTATCATCATCATTATTATCACCGAAGGTGGATTAAGCTTCCACAAGGTGGTCATGGTCTGTTTTAAGGCCAGAGGGATTTCTCCCTAATGCCTCTCAAATCACCTCATATGGGAAGTGACTTATTTTAGCCATTGATAAAATTGTCTGTGGTAACTTTATAAAGGATAGCCTTGTCCTCAGGCACCAAACGTGTGCTTAGTGCAGGCATGAAGCCACAAGGGAAGTCTGTTCCGTCCTCTGTGTTCCCACTGGGCTGCCTTCCAATGGATGAGCAGCATGCATCATGTTGGGTTGTGGTTAAAGGGCACGCTTGTCTTTTCTGGTGCTTTGTTCCTGATGGTTTCCTGATAGGGACTATTTTACCCATTTTTTTTCTCTTTCAAAGAGTTATATGTTTTTTTGAAAAAAAATGACACATTGTAAAAATATAGATAATACCAAAAGGGACTGTGAAGAAGTAAACGCTACATGAAATGGTAGTAGAGATGTGCCCAAGGGCTCAGCCTTGGACCTCTTCTCTCTCTTCCCTACTCTCTGGGTGATTTTATCTAACATCCTGGTTTTCTTTTCTTTTCTTTTTAATTTAATTTTGTTTTATTTCTTAAAGTATTACAAAGAGTATTACATATGTCTCCTTTCCACCCCGCCCCCTTGACATTCCCCCGGCCTCCCCTACCCCCCAGTGTCTTGTGTCCATTGGTTATTCTTATATGCATGCATACAAGTCCTTCCGTTGATCTCTTACCCCCCCCCCAACCCTCCCCAGGCTTCCCACTGTAGTTTGACAGTCTGTTCAATGCTGCTCTGCCTCTGTATCTATTTTTGTTCATCAGTTTATAATGGTCTTTATTATCCATAAATGAGTGAGATCATGTGGTATTTTTCTTGGCTTCCCAGGGGCCGGCGCAGCCTCACAGGGGCCGTCTCAGCCTCACAGGGGCTGTCTCAGCCTCACAGGGGCCGTT